TTCGAATATTTTCTCTTAAAAATAAGAAAGTAAACTGTCGTGTTGTCAAAATGGACTTAATAACAGTCTAATTAGGTTAAGTGCCTAGAATTTTATAATAGATAATCCTAGTGAACTATCTTGTGGTATGCCCATGAAATACATGAGCATTTGAAGCAAAAGTGTCATGTGCTGTGGACAAATCTTGATATCTGAACAGGTCAAGCATATGGAGAAAAAACGTTCCCCTAGGAAATGATTTTCCCCAATAGTTGTTTGCAGCTGTTCAAGCCATTTGATGAAGCAATGAAGTCTTGACACTGAGTTCTAACAGATTTTCAGGACTAGAGTGAGGATCGTAAAGGTTAAATATGAACTTCTGGAATCCTTGGAATCCTGAATCCGCCTTTTCCCCCTTGGTGTTGTACAATTATTGTAGGTTACTTGAAAAGGTGGTAGCTTTGATTTTTTTTATAAGCTTACTTTCTCAATAACATCGATGCAAAAAGAATCAAAGCAGCTTCGATTGGCAGAAGGTCGATCTCTCATCTAGCCTTAGTCACTTGAGTGAGATGCTTGTACAAGTAATATACAACTAAATATTTATTTAACTAACTGATTCGTTTGTAGGAAAGTCTCGTTTGGTTTTTTCTTAGCTAGCTATTCGAAGTCTAGCGATTTTAAAACATCTCATAGGCATTGAAAGAATTCGATAACTATTCAGAAAAGTTACACGTCTGCACTGATAAAAAAATCGCCGAATGATAAACGTTTAAAGCGTCTATGAAAATGCAACGTATGATATACTCTTTTCTACCGTTTAGCAACATGCGATAAACCCTTTTATCTACCCATCAAAAGACGAAATAAAAAGGTTTATCAAGTGAATATACCGCGTGCCGAAATGTTTATCATAGCGTTTATACGACTGGACAACATTAAAAGGGTGTATCATACGTTTCATTTTCATAAATCCTATCGAAGGTGCTGGAGAGTACTCTAACAAGTTATTTATTTATTTATTTATTCTTATACATTCTTGTTCCGTCTTTATACGTTATGTATCTCTTATATGTACAATCCTTTCTCTCGTGCGTGATGACGTAAATAATGGCATCGTTTCTTCAACTGGAATTTAAGTACATTTATAGAATGATGCACCATCATCTTTATATACCAGATAGTCTAGTCGAAGAAACAAATGCCTTTTCTTCCTTTGTTTCTTCTCTCTCTCTCTCTCTTGTGTGTGTGTGTGTGTGGGTTGTATAGTATAAATAAGAAAAAAAAGAATAATACAGAAAAGATTAAGATTCATATTAGGAATCGAAAATAGGAAATTTGTTGTTGATTGGTTAAATAGAGATATAAATTTCTATTTTGTGAATTGATTTAAGTTACAGCTGGGCCTCTGTAACATTTTATATCTCAGGTTTTTCAATATCTTCATATTAAACACAAAAATGCATGTTTATCTTTCCTCATTTTTGCTGTCATTATTATCTACACTGCTATATTGTAAAAGTCAAACAGATGGCTAATGTAAAAATATCGATGATCGAATAAGACTACTTACCAGACGATATCAAAATGCTTATTTTTTAATGTGAGTCTGCAAGAGGTACTACTTTGTATATATAGTGGTTACATATTTTTTCTTTTTTTCTAACATAAAATGTTTACCTGAATCAATGAAGTGTGACTCTAATTTTACTGCTTTTTAATTTCGCGTATCAAAATATTGTTTCATGTACACCGCCCGTTCACCAAATAAGTGGTTCATATTTTTCTTTCAGTTGTGACCAGTGCAAAAAGCGATGGGTATCTTACTATTTCTTTTCACCAAGTTAGCGCGTGGATGATTGTATAAAATAACATTAATCACATCCACACCCTCGATTGATTGAAATCCGAATCTCTAAAAATCGAACTGGTAGTAAGGGTGGGCCATTAACATTAATTTAATATTAATGTTAATGTTTCTCATTAACCATTAATATCAATGATTAATGAAAAACATTAACATTAATTTTAAAATTAATGTCAATGTTCTTGAATGATATTAACGATTCACGGAAACATTCACCATTAAGATTAATGGCTAATGGAAGTCATTAATTAATGTCATTAATTAAGTTCCGTTAAAAAAAATGCTCCACCACTAACTGGTAGATTATCCATCGATTGTTTGTAATTACTGTAGTTGAAGCCGATTTTAATTCTATAATCAATGAAAAGCTTCTTAATCGATTGGAATCTCAATCTTTCACAATCGAATTGTGTGATTAGCAATCGATTGTATGTTATTAACTCTTCCGAAACCAGATTTTAATTAAACAACCGATTAAAATCTTCTTAATCCATTAAAATCCCAATCTTTTACCATCGAAATGAGTGATGATCAATCGATTATTTTTAATTACTGCAGCTGCGCTGAATTTTGCTCGAACAATCGATTTTAGTGGATCGTAACTGTATTTAAAACACTAAATAGTAAGTGAATTTGCTAAATAGTGGTGACTGCAACTTGAATCTTTTCCTATTATGGTACGTAGCCCAATGATAGATGATTCCCATTCAAACTGCAAGTTATGCACTTAACCTATGATTCGAAAACTCATTGTAGATATTCTAAATGTCATTTATATGTGACATAAAATTTATAATTAGTTTATATTGAAGGTGACCTATCATTGGTGGTAACATTTCTCCAAATTGCTTCTCCAGAATTTCGTTTTTGTTATTTTTCATAACTTTTACTAATACTGTTGGTTGTAGTATAAGAATAAATTAAGATACAATATAATTAGACTAATATACTTATTTTCCAGTTCTCGGATATAAAATACACAAGTATTGTGTGATTCGACATTTCTTATAGATATCGCTAGCTGTAAATATACTATTAAAAGTAATAAAAAACGTATTTAAACTCTATGAGAGTATTATATAAGTAGAAAGCACACATTATATGAGTAAAATATAAAACATTATCAGCTCTATCACCGCTATGTATTTAGACCAGTACTATGTATAAAACATTAAGTATCTACATTGGACGAATTGAAACTGATTAAAAAATTTTAGTTAATCGCAATCGAATTTTAATATTTTTAACCGATTGTTTTTGTCATATTGCCATCCAAGTTCAAAACAATTTATATCGCAGCTTCAAATTTAGGTTATCTGTGAGATTTTAATATTTTAATAACTATATTTTAAGCATCAGAAATCAAAAGAATCGTAAAAGTTTTGTGTTAAACATTTGACTATCAAGAAGAAGCACTCGCTTTCTATGTTTATTCATTAATTTAGTTAACAAGTGATGATCGACTACAATTGATTAACAGGTAAAAAAATGTTCCATGCGATTTATAGTTAACAGTCCTAGCTAAAATATTTGATTTTTTTGATTTTGATCGTTAGGAATTCGTTAGAGAACCATGAAAGATTTGCTATTTTTTCTACAGATGGCTACTAAATTCTGAAAGAAACTTGTACACTAAATATTTTGAAGATTTAGACAGTAGTTGAACCAAGATAATAAAAATATTTTGTACAGTCTTTCTTCACTTTTAGATCATTATTCTGATAGGATTTAAACCATTTTTATACGAAGACTTCTTCTCATATTTAGTAGAATTGTACTTTGCTTCCTTCTAAATATGCTATCTTGTGATAACACAGAAGCAGCCGATTTTCAAAGGTGAACAGACAGCCAAAGAATACATAGCAGAGATATTTAAGTTTTTATTACAGAAATAGATCAGCGTTTCTGGTTGAACAGTGGTATACTATTATGTAAGAATTTATTGCTAGATATTTAAAATTCTGAATTTTTGTGAGTGAAATTCTACTTGAGTTTCAGATAAAAAGCACTCCACCGAGTTCCTCAAATGTGATATCAGTCTTCTTTTGTTCAGTTGAAAATATGTCGCTACATTTATTTTTATTTTCAATCTAATAGTAAAATATTCTCTTTAATGATCTTTAATGAATAATTGAAATTATAAACACTTTTACTAAAAGATTTCTAACGCGAGGAAAAATAAAGGGGCTCTTGAGAATTTTGTCGGGGCTGCTCCAATGAATGGTCGTGATAGAAATGAGAGAAGAAATTGTATTAAATTGTATGTTAAAATAGAGTTCTAATAAATATCACTCGGTAAAAAGGAAGCAGCAATCACATGTAAAACCAGGTCGTAGTCAGAATTTGATATTAAAACGTCTCTCTTTATTTTCCTCTTACCATTTTACTGGAAATATATATAACTGTAACTTAGATAATCTAAGAATGCATTGAAATAGATTCAAGTTGTGTAAATGGATTAAACTTATGACTCTGGTAGGACTCACACACGTAAGCTTAGTTATAGCTTAAGAAAACGTTTTCAAGGAATATCAATCAGACAGATCAGATGGTGTTGTTTAGGCAAATTGAATCTCATCAGCACTGTTACTATGAAGTAGAGAAACTTGCAAAATTTATCGTCTGCCCTTTATAGGGAGCTAGTTAACTTTTGAGTCAAAGGAAGACTCCATCTATAAGGATGCTTTTCGGACTTGCCCCTAGATTATATAAACATAGGATGAAGCCGGAAATTTCCCATAAGTTCTATTCTTAAAAAAGTAATATCAACTCACTAACATCTACCGTTTCTAAATACCATTGAAAAACTTTCAAAGCCGACTTTTTTTTATTCAAACTGAATAGTTAGCTATAAACGAAGAATTAAAGTATCAGAAACAGTAGATGTTAGTGAGTTGATACTATTTTTTTAAGAATAGAACTTTATTTTTCATACAACGTTTAAACATACAAAAAAATCCTTCATAAAATTCACTGCTTTTTTGTGCGCATTTCATATTTCTTTGGAAAAACATTTTCCCCAAAACTTCATAGCGGTCAAACTCTCAGATTTTCCAACTTGGAATCACCAGAAGACTATTTAGCTTTACATTGGATTAGATCACGTTGAATGCTTTCCCATCTTACAATTTAGATCTAATCGCAGAAAATCATAATGTCAACAAACTATCAGAATTATCCCCAAGGAACACCTGTCATTTCACAGTCACAGCAAGTAGGTAATCAGTCAGTTTATATTATACAAAACCAGAGCAGAGATGTTCAACATGGTTGCCATTGTATACTTTGGTTACTAACTGGTGGACTATGGACGCCCTGTTGGTTAGCAGCTTGTTGCGGATGTTGTAAGTAAGTCGCCTTGATTCTTTACTCGAATCGAAAATATGATGAGAATCTAAGCTATATTTTTCGATATTTTAGGTTGTCAACGGCCGTGTTAGTTCCAATGCAACTCGTAATTGACAACCATACCTTTCGATGCGTGCGCTATAATACTTTTCATTTCATTAATAATGAGAATACATGCTTGAATTTAAATGAATGATATACTACAGTAAAGAAGGACTGCTTTTAATAAAAAGGGTGTGGGTGTGGGTGTGGGCGTAGAGAATAATTGCACCAACCCTCAAGATACGCATTTTTCATCAAAATGAAAAACATTCTGATCTCAAAAGATGGCATTTTTTCAAGAATGTCGAAACTGAAGATTGATCAAGAAGTTGTTTGAAGCATACCGCAAGGATGAGCGTGAGAATTTTTCAATCCAAATCGATCGATAGACCTTTTCAAAGACTTCAATCTGTCTATCTTGTTTACTTTTTGTCGTTAATAGCCAACAAAAAAGCGTGAAGAAATGATTTTTGTGATTTTCAATCCAGAGGATGCAAAACAAAAATTATTTAAGAAATACCAAGAGGCTTATTTATTCTGCAACACTCGTTACTTTATTTTCGTATATAGTTATGTTTCAATAATAACAATAGATGTCAACATTGTTCTCAAATTAATTGACTTGCAATGAATGAGAGAAATATTTAAAAATAATAATAATTCGTCAAAAGAAAGAGGCGAATGTTTGTCATTGCGTACGTACAGAAGCAGCAATCACAGAGTTTCGTACGCGTGTATCGTGGCCAATTAATGTCAAGCGAAGAATTAGGTATTTTGATGAGCGATGAAGGTCACATTATTCACATGAACTCGTTTCTCTCCACAACACTCAGTCGAGCTCTTGTCTTGTTTTTCTTGGGTGACACGACTGTTGTGAGAGACGATGAACTACACGCCGTGTTATTTGAAATTGATCTACAACCGTGCTCCGATGATAGGGTAACCCCCCCNCTGACATAAGTGGAAAAGGCATGATTCCTGAAGAACAAGAAGTTCTTATCATGCTTGGCGCTTTGTTTCGTATTCAAAATCTAACCCATGAGAGTGAGACTGCCGTATGGGTTGTGCACATGAGTTGGTGCAACAATGACGATGCATATCTGAAGTAGCTGCCACAATACGAAATGCTCTTATCTACACTATCAAGCATTAAGAACTCCGACCGCTTTGATCATTTAGACTATTGACTCACGATTACGTAGTCAAGTATATGTACGACAGAAGAAGAGCAAAAGGTGACTTGGAATCTCCAGAGTGTCGCCAATCGTAACTTTGAGTTCCAAATAAAGAGTATAGAATCTTCGATTTTGCCCTGCAGTTTACTTTTTCATTCGAAAACATTGTATAATATGACAACAATACATCATAAGGGTGTGGGTGTTTGAGTGAAGGAGAGATCTACACCCACACCCACGCTATATGTACAGCAATAAATCAATATGGTTCATCAATAATTAAATATCAATTAAAAATAAATCATTTTAAATATTATTTTATTCGGCATTCTTTTTTTATTTGGAATAATTTTTATTGGAATTATTATTTCTTTTATTTTAATTATTTTTTCATTAGTTAATTATTATAGAAAAAATAATAAGAAAGAAGTACGAGAAAAATCTTCAACTACAGATGAAACAATATCATCTTTAACTAAACAACAAGATAATATTCAACATGATTATCAAGATGATATTAATTCAATTATTCGTCAACATCATCAATGTAACTTTTTTCTTTTATTATATTTAATGACTTTTTATTTACTTTTTTAGAATATACTCGATTCTGATAAAAATGATTTATTTAATTTAAAAGACAATAGAAAATGATATTCAACTGTTGTTTAAACAAAATATTTCATTTTTCATCTTCAAATTTAAATAGCGATTTTATTCATAAAGATCAACATGTTTTATCTCATTTTAATTCAAGAAACAAATCTTTCTTTTTTATTCTCACATTTTTTCAATTTCTTCGACAGTTTTGTTTTTTCCTAAGAAAGTAAACATTTTATGTGAAATTATCAAAAATTGACCGTCAACAAAATAATAAATGAGTATTAATCAAACAATGATTTTCATAAAGTTATTATTTTATCCAATAAATTAAGTCAATTAAAATTCTTGTTCATTCATGTTTGTTCCATATATCTATAAAGAATCTACCAATGAAATACGATACAACTGACCTATTCTATATTAGAAAAAAAGAGATTCAAAGATTAATAAAGATTTTTTACATTTTCTTTAGCAATGTCATTCTAGATATGAAAATCAAAATAAGGAATCAAAACTTCGTTCATGATGTAACAACGATAATAATCATAATAAAAGTTCTTCTTCTAAGGATGTATCATACATCTTATATTAATCTTTTTTTATTCATGAAAACCTATTAGCCACTTCTTTCTCTAATTATTAACCGAGAAATATCTAATTTTTTCCCGACTTGCAACACTCGTTAGTTTTAAAATGAATAATCTCAATAACCTCTCGTAAAAAACATTTTGAGTTCCAACAGGTTAATATACCAAAATAAATATTCTCCTGTACAAATAAATTTTGATTTTAAGTGAACAAATATACTTTATGTATATATAATCATTTTAGAGACCTTTTTTTTGTCAATATCATTTCATAAAACAAAATTATTGAACATATTAATAATGGAATATATTTTCGATCACGAAATAAATTTATCTGTACAAATATAATGAGGAGAATTCATATATATATATAAACTATTTCCTTATTATCTATTCTTTTATTTTCCTTCATTTTTCTTATTAAGGGGAGAAAATGTATCACAACAAACAGGAAAAAAGTTCTTTTTTTTATTGTGATGATGGTAGTGCTGGTGTTTCATCGCTCGAAGCAGCAGAAACAGCACTAGCAGGAACAGTACCAACACCAGCACCCATACGAGATGCCTGATCCGCCACAATGGCGGCTAGTTGTTGAAGAACGGCCGAAGGAAGCAAGTCGACCGACATCGCTTCGATAAAACCAACCGAACCTTCAAGTGTATATGGTGACGTGGTGGTGTATAGCGGTGGTGGTGGTGGATTAATATATTGTTGATGAGTCAGTGGTGGTGGCGAGGAAGAAGACTTCTATAAAAACAAAAGAATATGATAGATTGTTAAATATTTAATTTTTAATACGATCTAAATTCTTAACCTTGAAGTCATCTGAATACGAACGACACATTATTGAAACGATTTCACCAACTTAATTCTATGTACAAACGCAATGGAAAAGCGACGTTAGAGACAGACTGACATGACCTGACGAAAAAATATTTTTATCGGACGCACAGAACGGGGAAACAAAGAACACTAATTCTCTTGTTATTTCTCTTATTCTCTCTCGTTATATAGAGAGAAGCTTTTTGTTCTTTCGTGACGTTTCTTTTATTTCATCTGTTTTATGTTCTCAGCAGAAAAGCCTTGACTCATTTTTCTTTTTCTCGTTCAATGATCTTATAGGAAGGATTATTCATCTATAAGGTTGCTTGATGTTCACTTACGTATTCGGCTAGTCTTTTCCCGATGTTGCTTTCGTTTGTTCTTTATTGACTCATTATCTAAAAGAAACAAAAAAAAATTATTGCAGTAAATATTCAACAGGAGCAAAACAAATGTTTACTTCACTGGTGATTGAAAACAAAGTTGACCAGAAAAGATGTGGAAAATATCGAGACGTAGGTAAAACAAATAATGAACTATTACTTGATTGGTTGTTAAAAGTGATATAGATTTTACTCAACTTATTAAAAACTAGCGGAGGTACCCGATGTATGGAGATGAAATGATAGAATATATCTCACGGATAATAACACGATGTTGTCACAGTCCTCAACAGTTATTAATCTGTAATGTCAAACGCTACATTCGAATCTTTTATTTTTCAATTTTAATATTTAACATATTAAATCTGTTATAGACTTTTTTATTTTTTATATTTTTATTGATGAGCTTCTTCCAAGCAAAAAAACAGCAAAATAGAATTTTTCATTGTAAAGCTGCTTGGTACACGATGTTCTTCGTTTTTCCATCCGGAGCAAAAAAATACAAATTCTTTCCAGTTCCCACTCTCGAGCATGCCACATAAATTTGGCCGTGAGAAAAGCAAGGAGTTTCTAAATTGATATCAGCAAATTTAAGTGATTGCCCTTGGGCCTTATTAATAGGCATTGCGAATGCAAGCTGTACTGGAAATTGAAGTCGTGTAAATTCAAATGGCATATCAGAAGGGAGCAAAAGGTATTTTTGGTATGAATACATCTTCACCTTTTGCACAACCTGTCATAATCGTTGTTTTGATTACATGAGGCACTAGAGTTTTGACACATAGCCTTGCACCATTACATAATCTTGGTGCATCCAGATTTCTTAGGAGCATAATAGATGATCCAATTTTCAGATGCAAGTTATGTGGTGGCATTCCAGAAGGTTCAAGTGAATTGAGAAATTCAGTTGGATACTGAACTACCATGTCGATATTTTTAACTGTATCAACTGATTTGTAAGATATAACTTCGCCAGGAAGCTGTTGCTGAATTTGTAGATTGATGGCATTTACGTTGACGTTTTTCGGAGCCAGAACAGCACGTTCACATAACCATTTGTGATCCTTGTAGTAAGTTTGAATGTTTGGAAGCACTTTACTTTTGAGTTCTTCGACTGATTCAACGATATTACAAAAGTTGTCTGAAATATTAATAAGTTCAGTGACTGGGTCAGCAGATATTTTGCCATTTCCAATCGCGAGAAGTTGTTCAGCGAAACGGCCACAGATACGTCACCTTGTAAGTGCACTCTCATGTTAGTACTGAGTTTTAATGATCAGGAGCGTAAATAAGGGTGGGGGGCGAGTGGAGCGTAACGCCCCCCTGCGTTCGAAAATTAATAGGAAAAGGGCTATTTACGCCCCGCTGCTTTTGAAAATTTCGTTTTTTTGCTCACCAAAACAGAAAAAAAATTATCCCCCCCTGCTTCCAACATGCATTCTGATCAAATGCCAATGGGATTTATGGCTGCGGACAACATGGAAAATATGCGGAAAATGTTTAAAGTAAGTTGCTTTGCACTNAAAAATTATCCCCCCCTGCTTCCAAAAGTTTCATTTTTTAGGTCATGAAAACAGAAAAATTACAGTTACACCCCCCCCTGCTCTGAGACCTGACTTGCGCCCCTGTTAATGATGCAACATGTCTCCAAAGATACGAAGATTTCAAGCAAGTCTTAAGCTCATCAGGCATGGCACCCTTTGGAATAACTGGTAATGTTTGCCTAAAATCGCCAGCAATAAGTACAACTACTCCACCCATATTCTTTCCATTGTTACGAAGATCTTGTAAAGTATGGTTCAAAGCTTCTAATGCATACCTATGAGCCATTGTGCACTCATCCCATACAACAAGTTCACATTCTTGCAGAACCTTTGCTTCGCCAGTTCCTTTGGTAATACTACAGAGATGAGTTTGATTTTCCAAAACCTTAAGAGGTAGCTTTAATGTCGAGTGCGCAGTACGACCACCGTGCACCAGCGTAGCAGCGATACCGGAAGAGGCGACCGTAATCGTAATCTTTGACTGATGCCGGATTTTAGCCAATAGCAAATTAATGACAAATGTCTTCCCTGTTCCATCAGGTGCATCAAGAAAGATTGTTCCACTAGTTTTCCTCTCGATCTGAGTCAAAATCGCATTGTATGCAGCTCTCTGATCCGGCACCAACAGTGGCTCATTTGCTGTTATATAAGCATCCAACTCTTTCACATCATAACTTGTTTCTCTGAGCATTTCACTGTTTAATCGATCACCCGAATTTCGTTGAGAAGTTGGGAGCTCTAATTTCTCAAGTTCTTTGCCACCCATCTCTAAAACTTTACTTTCAATAATAATCAGTGCTTGGTTAAACATATCTGGTGTATAATCCAAATTCATTCCAGGATTTTGTCTGCAAGCATTTGTCAAAATGTCTTCAGTCAAGCTTTCTTTGTACGACTCCCATAATTGTTTTGGACTGGATGGTCCATAAACTTGAGGGTGTGGGTGTGGGTGTGGCTATTTGTACTCTACTCATTCACATTCATACCCCCACACCCACACCCACATCCCATAGTAAGTGGGAACAAGAGTATCGACGCCGACGTGAATTGTTAAGATAACCTTAGTGAGAAAGTTTCGCACAAAAAAAAACTACAATTTAATTCTAATAATTTTGCTGATGAAACATCAGTATTTATAAAGTATATCTGAAACAAGTGTTCTTGTATATTTAGTTTGTATTAGTGAAGTGTACAAATGAGTCTTCTTTTACTCAAGGCACTGTATTACGATTTACAAAAGAAGTAGTTTGTCAAATACGCTGGAAAAAAGGTAGCAGTTGACTTTTTAATTTTAATAGATTCTCATATTGATAATACTGAATGATAATGCCTATTTAAAAAGTCACAAATCATTCAATTTTTTCTCATGAAAGATTTCTAAGTTACCAAACCACCATCGCACACTTCAAATGAACATTGAACAAAGATAAATTCTTTTTAGAGAAACAATGCTTTGACTTGCATTGCAAATCCTTCTTAATGCATCTTACTAAGAGATATTTTCAACGTGCAGTGGAACAGAGACGAAAATTTAAACCATCAATTCTTGATAAAAGCATTTATACATATTCTAAAGATACTGTTTTCAGACAAATATGAACCATGTCTAATGAAATACTTACCATCGAACGATGACGATAGAAATCTATACCTGAAAATTTATTTTCAAACGTTATTAAATAGAATCCCACATGGTGTACATTAGAATGAATCAACCACAAATAAGTCTTATTTTTCTATTGCATACGGAGCACAACATACGAATTCTGCAAGATAAAATATAACACAATGATCTCTAACTGAACATCTTTATTTTTGAAAAGAAAAAAAGAAAATAACAACAGAAAAAAAACATTTTATCGTTTGATTCGATTACGAGGACAACCAGTACGAATGCAGCTGTTGGAGTTCACGTGATTGATTTCACCACACACTTCACAAACCTAAAAGAGAATAAAAATCAAGCATTTCATATTTTAAATAATTCGACAAAATAGAATTTTCTCAACGCCAAAACACACAGCTTAAGGTACTTATCCAATTTCCAAAGAGCTTATCTTACATATTAACCGATTTATCTTTTTGACTCATCTTTATTTCTAACTAATATTCGCGAGAATGCATGGGTAACGAAATAATTAGTACTGAACTCTATTAAACAACATCGATTTGGGTTACTAATACATGATAAACCATTGCATTCTTGAATCAATTTACGTTCATATTTTACTTCATTTCTGATCATATAAGCTATACTATTAGTGAACCATTTTACGCACTAATCGCTGAAGGATTTATAGGGTAACTTCATAATATTTTTTTGTCTTTAAAAAGTTCCTCAAAGAGATCGGATCCATTTTCGTGATACTCAAGTTCTCTCAAGAACAGAATTCAATTTTTAGCAGTCTAAGAAAGGAAATAGTGCAAAGCAACTTACTTTAAACATTTTCCGCATATTTTCCATGTTGTCCGCAGCCATAAATCCCATTGGCATTTGATCAGAATGCATGTTGGAAGCATGATATTGACTTGGTCCAGGCATTGAGCCCATACTTAAACCATAAGCTGGAGATGCATATGTCGCAGGATGGCTTGGTGAAAGAAAACTATTTGGATTAATATTGTTGATAGTTGGATTAGCATTCATATTAATAACAGGCTGTGGTTGATTAACCTATTCCAAAAAATAGAAATAGAAATCTATATGTTCTATGCATGAATTGAAAATGGTCAAAGTGAACTAATGGGAATTCATCGTGAGATTCTTTGTCTAATAGACACGCTGAAAGTAATAAGATGATATTATGCTATCATGAAAAGCTCAATTTCATTGAAGAAAATAACTAACTGCTCTTGTAAAACTTCGAACGAAAAAGCATTCTTACAATCTCAACCCTTAACTTGGTTTACAGGTGAGTGTTGATAAAATGAACCTTGGTCGACAGACTAATTGATGAATGGCGATATCTCATAATTTTATACTATAAACTAAACAGATGGATAGTACCAATTAGATAGTAGGTCAACTCCTTGTATCAGGAACAAATCCAGTTCAAACTTGCGCTCACTATTTCTTTCTTTTCTACCCGATTCTAACACGCATATTTGAAAATCCTGCTTCAATGGTCAATGTCAAAAAATGTTGCTTTAACTAGCATTGATAAAAAGAGAAATGTATAACATAGTCTCTGGCTAAAAACATCTTTATTCTGAATTCATATCATCTTCACTAAACAAATGAATAGACCCACAGAGGTCTAATTGAGGTTTATATAAACCCAAAAATTTTTACATAGATCGACTGAGTGTTGACTATATTTCAGTGTAGCCTAAAAATTAAAAACTTGAATAGAACTTTGTCGGAACAGCCCATCTGTAGTATATTACTATGCATTTTTTTCAGGCGCATAACCCTGGGTTAACGATAAGTAGAGAAACTGCAAAAGAAACGAAGGTAATCTAATAGTACTGTCATGGGAGAAAAATAAAATAGAAGTAAATATCTCACCGTAATGTGAAAGTGGAAATTCATTTTTCTAAACAAGTGAATGCACGTAACGACTGAATGTGAACAATATAGTGTTGAGTATATATATAACCTTTTTTATTGTTTCCTTTCGTTCATTCATATGCAAAGATGACTGAACGAGACACTAAATAAAAAAGAACGAATACCATGTCGAAGTAGCAAATAGCGATATATTTATCATATTTGACGGATATATATGTGGACGATGAACATAATGACCGGCGATCATGTTCAGTGACTGAAGAAAAAAAATCGTCGGTTAAATTTCTTTCTATGAAACATCATCTTTAAGAAAAGAAAAACACTGACGCTACAAGTTTTAGAACGGCTTTCATTGTCTCCTTTATCTGACAATCAATTTGTTTTCAACTTATAAATGTTGATGATAGCTATTGTTATTATTGATGACTAAAATCAATGGTCACGATAATACCTTCATCCTCAGGTTCCACTGAGGATAGAAAGTTCTCAGCTGATGCATGCCGTTTTCAATGATATTTTGTTGATAAGTCGGAGCACTATGGTAAGAAAAAACTCTAAGAGCCTTTAGACAGATGTAGCTTCCTTTGCAGGTTGTTACCATTTTACTGCTTTTCCTGTCTGGTACAAGGTGTGTGGCAAAAAATTCAACAACGGAATTTCATTCTGAAATTTTTGCTCATACTTAGTTCTCGTGATCATTGAACACTCTAAACGTTTCATTGCGAAAAATACTTTCTCCTTGAGATATATATTTTTTAAAATAGTCAATTGTTTAAAATGTTAGAGATTACGAGACAAGCTTTTTAGAATCAATATTTCGACAAGAAACCATTTTTCTCCAATGACACTTCTAGAGTATTTCATTGATCATCTTTTCTCCACATACCTTGTGCTAGATGGAAGAATCAGTGGAATGCTCATAACAATCGAAAGAAGCCAAATGCGCTCAAACCCTCTTACGATTTTTACCTTGGAATAACCACTTCGGTATATGGACAGACTATCAATGACAACCGCATGGATCATTTCGGCATCTTTCCTGTTTATTAGACTTTCAACACTAAACCCAGCATACGCGCGAAATTTAAAGCATTCTCAAGGAACTCTATTGAGAGATAGATTCAACTAACAAAGACAATATTACCTGAATGCTTTGAAAACATTGTAATAAGTTCTAAAAAATAGTATCATTTAATAACAACAGAGACTATCGACAATGATACATCTACCTGAATTTGTTGATGTGAAAACATATTGATTCGACCTATTTCTGTCGTCGCTATCATCCATGAAAGCTACAATAATAGAGATATATAAAGCTGCTTTCAAATTTTGTCTACAAATTACAAATGGTTTATTTCGTTCTGGTAACATGAGTGCATATTCATTGTTCATCGGTGCCTTATTTGATGCCAGTGTTTGGAAACACAGCTTTGTATGTGTAATAAACTGTCGAAACGTGATTGGTTTATTTACCAACATTTCAACCAGGTGATAGTAATCCGCTAAAAATTCAAGAAGAGACATGTAAATTCTATAACTTTTCTTTCAACTGCAAACAGAAGTAACAAAAATCGCTATTTTTAAAAAATAGATACCAAGAACATATTTATCTTCGAAGAAACAGAAATAAAAACAATCTTCATTTCGCAATACAAGAATGAGGAAATTATTTATCTTTGGAAAAGCATAAATAAAGAAAATCTTTGTTTTGAAAAACAAACATAATGCATTTAATTATTCTTGGAAAAGCAGAAATAAAGAAATACTTTATTTTAATCAAAGAAAAAATTTAACTTCGGGATATCACTTATAATTATAAGGAACATGTTAATCATGAAAGGCAAAGAGAAGATAAATATTTATCTTCGGAACAGCACTAGTAGGGAAAATGTTTTGTTGCAAAAACAAAGATGAGGTAGATATTTATCTTTGAAAAAAGCAAAGGAAAGCATTGCTTTACCTTAAAAAAACAAAGAAAATATTTATATTCGAAGTAGCAGTAATGATGGAAGTTTTTTTTTGGAAGACATAGATGGATGAGCATTTATCTTTGAAATAGTACAAATAAAGGAGGTCTTGATATTTTGAAACAAAGATAAAGAAAATCTTTTTGTTTAAGAAATGGGAGGAATGCAAATATTTGTCTCAAAACGAAGGCGGATCAAAATAATCTTTTTGTTTGAAAAGCATAGAAAGATAAGGAACAGGAAGGAGAATTTGTAGAGGTTTGATTTAAAATGTTAATCACAAGCATCTTATATTCGCTAAACTATTCGATCATTTTGTTCTCTTAAGGATAACATTGTCTCGCTTAACCTGTATGTGTGTGGTAAAAATTTCACTTACCTATTCCGCCCCACAAAAGTCTTTCGTTTTTTGCTGTGTCGAAAGTTTCAAGAATAACCCGTATGAAAGACAAATGAATTTCATCATTGCATTCGATCTGTAATATGGCTGTCAGACATGGATAAAGTTTTTTGTTACAGTATTGTATATTGTATATCGAATGAGCCATTTGGAATCAATTTGAAGAAGAAATAAATAGAAGATATATATCAAGAACTAAAAGGTAATAAAATAGACCAGAATTATGTCACATTAAATTAAGCAAGCAGATAATAGTAATTCTTTCTGGTGATGTAAACAAACTCTTTCAGAAGAAAGAAATGTTCTTAACACGACAGAACGATTAGAATATACGAATATTTCTTCTCGTTCATTAGTCACTCGGCAACTTGACTAGAAATAGATAAAGCAAGTTATAACATTCTTTTAAAAGAAAAGTAACATGAACGACCTAGATATATTTTACTGTTTCGTCCGTCCCTTCGTAATCCAATTAGAATATAGACTTTTCTTCACACATAATGGTGTCGTTATGATTTGATGAGGACTAATTTAGCAAGAAAATTTGTATGTTTCTAATGGAAGAACAGATCCAAATAACCAACTAAAACTTTCTTTATATGTAGCAACATTAGTCCAACAAAATACTATCTTAACCTATTGTATTATTGATCTTTCCTTACACATTACAACAATTTTCTATTTATTGTTTCTTTCCCTTTGGAAGGGATTTGTCCTTTATACAGTGACTCCCCTTAGAGCGTGTCTTGTATACTAATAAGAAATGGATATAGAAATGCGAAGACCGGTCTATACTAATTGTTCATTTTACACATATTTTGAACGATAAATACACACAATGCACTCGCGGAAGTGTTGTTTTCAATCAATTTATTTCAATATGAATTTAGCTCGACTGTATCAGTATACTGAAGCAGATTAGTATGAATTATTTACTTTCTCAATAATCGAATAAAGACAAACGAATTAACAAGAAAAATTCTCTTCGTAATCCGTTTACATCAGGTCAAAAGTGGTTTCTAAAATTATCTATACAATAAAAAGATAAACTATTATTTGGTAATCAATAAATATGAATATTGAAATAATGCTTTGACCTTATTTTGGTTCGTTAAGGATATTCGAACGAAATCTATTTCTCGGTTCTCACTGCATGCGTTTGGTATTAGGTTTATCATTAGCTGTGCTTGTCATTTATATTTCTACTACATAGTTGTTAGCAATAGTGTTAATTGAAACTAGTATATAAATGCAAAAAGTCATTAAATAATACAATCGAGAAACAATTGATCGACCGTTGAAAGTGTCCATGCCAGAGGTCTCATATGAGCTTAAATATTTGCACATGATTTGATATCGAAAATAACTCAGTTCCACCTGTACATTTCAGATAGTCTAGTTAGAAATAAAATTTAACGTCACACCATATTATTTTTTTTCTTCCTCGATCAATTGTTTTATTTTTCCTTCGTTCTTCACAACGCCATAACCCATGTTTTTGCTGATCCTATTTAAATAAAAACATATACTGAAGAAAAATGTTGTTTTGATTGTTTCATTTATTTTCTCTAAGTAGATAATTCGAGGTGCACCAACAAATAGAAAATCAATTGATGCATTTTTTGCTTAACATCTTTCATTTCCTTTTCTTCAATATAAAGAACATTTACATGTTGCTCGTGCTGAACGTCAATTTATTTATGATACAAGTGGAAAACGTTATATGGATTTTTTTACTGGTATAGTTACTGTTGGTGTTGGTCATTGTCATCCACGATTGATTAAAGCAGCAATACAAAAAAATGAAAAAATATTGGCATGTATCTGCATATTATTTGCAAGATCCTGCACGTGATTATGCTGAAAAATTATTAGAACATTTCAAGGATGACTGTTAGGTAGTGGCGCAATCTGTGATCCCCTACCTCTCTTCTATATCTTATTCTCGCCGTTGGTCATTAGATCAACTTATCTTCTTCCTTTTTCGAGTAGTTAAGTAAAATTTGTTGTAAGAGGAACTCGAATCAGTGTTTCTAACAGCAAGTGTACACAGCAAAAGCAAAATATCTGGAACACCTGCTGTTTCCGAAATACACTCTGATTTACATGTTGCTCAGAAAACAAAATTGTAAGGCGTACACTTTGAAAAAGAAAATAACACTTTGATGTTAGATCACGAAAACTCATTTCGCTAAATCTTTGTCTGTTTGGACGGAATTAAATTACTGCCGTCGTCATCATCACTTCCCAGGTCGTGGAGGTACGACGAGAAACGGCCGGAAAGCGCTGGAAAGTGGAAGCAGTATTCCGATCGGAAATTACCGGGTTTTTTCCTGTGGATTCCGGACAACTCCCAGCTGGAAAGCACAGAAAACTGACCAGAATCCACAAGAAAAAAATCCGGTAACTTCCAACCAGAATACTGCTTCCACTTTTCAGCGCTTTTCGGCCAGATACGGTAATTTTTCCGCATCTTTCCGGACAGCTCCTACGGTATCAGCCCTCTGGAACCATTGACCTGGGTTGCTGTATCAACAGATTCACATTGTGAGGTCGAAATTCTACGTAAAAATGTATTTATTAATTCATCAAAAACCGTACATGTTATGAATGAAAAGTATTCAACTGAATGTGATAATATTGGATAAAAAGTAGCAACACCTAGTAATGCTCTTGTTTGGTTGTTTATAATTTATGTGACTTTCTTTCTCTATGAAACAGATAAAAAAGAATTTTTCTTATTATCTTTCTAGATTATCTGACCTCTTTTCGTTTATTTACACTTTGATACACTTTGTTTATAAAATCAAAGGGTGAAGATACACGTTTTTCACATAAACATAATGTACAAAAACATTTTACTTCAGATTTCTATTAGAAACACTGACTCTAATTAGTTTGGTTTGAAGAAATAAAAGATATTAGTTAGTGTTACCGACTAACAATGATAAATATGTATCGGTAAGCATAAACATTGTAATAAATAATAATTAGAATTTTTCTTTCTTGTTTTTATAGGTTTGTTTATTTGTAAATAGTGGTTCAAAAGCAAATGATTTAGCATTACATTTAGCTAAAGAACATACAAAATAGCATGAAGTTATTACACTCAGGTTAAAATAAACAGAAGAATTCAATTAATAGTCAATTAATTTGTTTTCTCAATAGAAACTCTTATCATGATGTTATTCAATCGACTTTATGTTTAACAAATATTGGAGGATGAATTAAACTTTGTTTATTTTTATTTCTTTTATAAAATTCGTTTTTTAATTAGATTTAAACGAACATAGTTAACTGAAAGTCGAGTTGCTATGAATCCTGATCCATACTGTATTGTCAAAAAGATCATCGTCAAGCATCAGACCGATATGTTGGACAGTTAGAAGAAATACTTAATCATGAAGTTTCTAAAAAGAAAGTAGTTGGAATGTTTATTGAATCAGTTCAAGTTTATTTTATCTATTTTTCAAATGATAAGACATAAATAAATTATTTGATCTATTTAAGGGATATGGTGGTTCGGTACAATATCGAAAGCATTACGTTAAACCAGCAACAGGACGTGTACAACAAAATGGTGGATTATATATTGCTGATGAAGTTTGTTCAAAATGATAGCATGATTCTTTTTTTATAAATATGTCTAATTTAGGCTCCAAGTGGATTTGGTCGTACAGAAACTCATTTTTGGGAATATCAAGGACATGGAGCTAAACCTGATATTGGGAAATAAGATATTAAAATGAAATTTATTTAACATTACTTTTGTTTTAGTTGTTATGGCTAAAGTCATAACTAATAGATTTCCATTTGCTGCTGCTGTAACTCGACCTGAAATAGCTAAAACTGTTGAAAATTATTTTAATACATATGGTGGAAATCCTATTGGATGTGCTGTTGCATCAACTGTACTTGATGTTATAAAAGAAGAAAAATTACAAGAAAATTCTCTTCGAGTTGGAACACATTTATTAAACAGTTTAGCAGAATTACGTGATCAATTACCTAATGTTATTGGTGATATTCCCGGAAAGTTTACTTATTGGAATGGAAATGGTGACAGATAAAGTAATACAAAAAAAATTTCATAGAAATGTTTAATTGCTTTATGTTTTGATTGAATAGGAATCACGTAAACCATTTCCAATAGAAAAAATGAATGCAATTTAAAATCATTGTTGAAATAGTGATTTATTATTAGGTAAAGGTGGTCATTTTGGAAATATTTTTCGTATAAAATCTCCAATGTGTATTACAATTAAAGATGCAGATTTTGCTGTTAATATTAGATCTTTCATTAGAAAAATGTTCTTTTTTATGCAAGACTTACGATTTTACATTTTTTTAAGAGCCTGCTTAGACTTTTTAATTATTATAAATAAAATATGGTTTCCATATCCATTTCAGTATTTGTGATCTCTGTTGACTATTCATTTTTCTACGTAGAAGATAAAACATAAACTTTTCTTTGCTTTTTAATTGAAAGATAACTTTCACACCTTCATTTATTTGTTGGGTGCGGGTGGCTGAGCGGGTGTGACTGTGGGTCCATCCTTGAGAGAAGCAGTGATTTCCACACCGACATAATATGATGTATGCAACCGCGGACTAAAATCATGGACGAAAGAAACGTATATGACAAATGAAAAGATGAGTCAAATTATCTTGTTAGTTGGCCAGAATGGAGAGCAATGAGAAAAAGTCGTTTCTTGTGCACGCAGTAGTTATGATGATTCATCACCATATATAGATAATGTGAACTTTTGAAAGAAAAAAATTTCGCTGAAAGAGCTGTTGCAATGCTATTTTTCACTATTTATAGCATTTGGTATTTGGCTTGTTGTCAGTCTGCGCTTTTACTTAAATGAATTTTGGCTGTGTCCATGGGTTTGAATGTGGTTGATTAGAAGACGAACAATCCAAATTCCATGAGATGCCTAGTTCGAATTCGAATATAAATGGAGACCTAACTGCATGGTATCCATTCGAAAATAAGTGATAGAAATAGATTTAGTTTTATATTTAGTTTAAGATGGAGTGGGTGTGGGTTGAGTGAGACTAAGGAGTAACTGTGGATGTGAGGGAAGGGTACCCGGAAGGGGTGCAGGGGGAGTATCCGGGATACTTCAAATGTGGTTATGGGTGATGGATACCATGGAAGAGTGCTCAAATGTGGGTGCGGGTAAAGGGTATATATGTATTCATATGTTGCATATATCGGAGAATTAAACTAAAACTAAATCTAGGAATAGATTTAGTTTTAGTTTAACTTTTTCTTTTCTCCATTTATATTCGAACTCGAATTAGACAGCTACTCCATCCACACCCATTCACTGGTGCTGTGGCTGATTTAGATGCTGGAGACTGATTCAATGATGTGTCAATATGTCAGTTTTTTTAATGCGATGCGGTGCATAGCATTTCTGTAGTCCGTCGCGAGTTTTTTTTTACCTTCTTTTTTACTTGACCATAAGCATCATTTCGTCGTTTTGTGATGCGATGATCTCGAGAACCAAAAATAATAGGAAATTCTTTGAAACACGAGATCGATTTATCAAGATCGAACTTTTTGCCCCTGTTTTCCAATCCTGAATCTGCAGTTCAGTTCGTTCGTAAATGTGGTTCCAAAATGACGAAAATGAAAGAAATTTGTCTCGAGATAATTAAAGTGACGTAATCAACATATGTTACCAAATACTTTATTGGTTTACAAATCATCTAACCTATTGATCATAGAAATAATGAAACGTTCAATACGAATGCAATAAAAATAGAGAATACTGACGAGCCATCTAGGATAGTTCATATAATTTCTTTTGCTTTTGCTTTCTCGACGTACGCATCTTTTTCGTCATTTTGTGACGCGATGATCTTGAGTACCGAAAATCATAGAAAACTCATTGAAACAGAAGATGAATGCATTCAAGATTTCTCTGAATTGAGGATTTTTCGTGAAAATCCGTATTCCTACTTTGCATCGCATTTCGTATACGAGTGCAACTGGGATACCATCTAGTTTTCATATCGACCAAACTTGGTCGAATCGTGGGTTGTACTTTAAGCATCTTGATCCTGTATGGAATCTTTTTCTCTGAATAGTTTAGTGAGTTCTTTTAATTTGCAGAAAAAAATGAACAAAGAAGAAAATCATTACCAAGTTCTTGGTGTTGACCCAAGTGCATCGATGAAAACGATTGCGCAGGCTTATCGAAAACAAGCTCTGGTACTTCATCCGGATAGAAACTCAGACCCGCATGCAACTGAAATGTTTAAAGTTCTTCAGAAAGCATATGAAACTCTTGCAAATGAAGTCACTCGTAATGAATACAACGCAAACATGGACTTAGATGATAATGATGATGATGATGACAATGATGTCATATTTGGCAAACATAGTGAACGGGCACAACTGCAAATGGGCAAAAAATGGTCAGAAAATTATTCCGAAAAAATAATTACTTGGTCAAACGAATATGAACGTTTGAATATTCAAGATAATTTTCATGAGGAATTGAGTACAGTTCTAAGTGCTACACTGAAACAATTTGATGATTATTTTGATATTAATGGAAAAATTACCAATTATAATGTATGTCAAACATGTAAACAAAGTTTCCTAAATCTGGATGATCATCAATATCAAGTTACACAACCATATAAAAAATTATTTGAAGTATCACAAAATGCTTCAGTGTCTAAAAATGCAGCAATTGCAGAAATCGACAAACAATTAAAAAAATCTATAAAATCAAACACCTGGGATTGGATGCCCTGCGTTTTACCAACAGACTATGCCTATATATGGTCAAGTTCTGAGTGGCAGTGTATAAAAACTATGATAGATCAAATGCAAGAACCAATTCGAATCGTACAATCAACGTCATTGATTGATAGATCAAATATTTATATCGATGATAACAGTGACAATTACAGACAGTGCGAGCGTGTTATACTTAACTTAATAGGAGCCAATCGTTATCAATACTTACCGGATAGAACTATTATTGAAGAGGTCGAGAGTTGTTTCAGTAGTGCGCTTTATTCTAATTTGAAATCATTAAATATAACTAAAATGGCCACAGAAACACGAGTGCCTTTATTCGATAAAACTATGCTGTCCTATAAGTATCAACAACTGCTTAGTGGACCTATCAATGCGGATGATTTTTATTATATAGTTCAAAACCCGTCGCAAGTAATTCTTAATAATTCACAAACAAATTGTCATGATTGTGGAAAAAAATTTAATATCTTTCGCCATCGCTATTATTGTCAAGTATGTGGCGTAATACAATGCTCTGATTGTCAACTGTGTGAAAGCGTTCCTCATTTGGGTTATATTGGACCAGTAAAAATATGCAAAACCTGTGCCGATGAGAAATTAGTAATAGCTAAGAAGACTATATATAATTGTCTCAAACAAGCAATTCAAATAGGTACTTCCGACTGTCTCAACATTTATTTAGCTCTTCTGCAACAATATACTACAGAAGATTTAAAATCTTATTATAGACAAACAGGAGAACATTTTTTTCAATTACAAAACTATTCGTTAGGATTACAATGCTATTATTATGCAAGAATCGAATACAATGAGCTGTTAAATATCATAGCAGTGGCATGTCTTCAACAAAATTACTCACTTGGAGTTACTTGTATTGATGTGATCACAAAATTATATGGTAAAGATCGAGAGTTTTTACACGAACGATTTACTGAATACTGTACATTGGCAACATCTTCTATTAATGATTCATATAATAATACGTTAATAAGTCTACTGTTCGATATGGTATTAAAATTAAATAGTGAATATCTACTTTTAAAATGTATTGCTTTGGATGAAGCAAATAAGTACGATGCATGCCTATTATATTTGTTATACATAAAATCAAAAAATAATGCATCAATCGATTGGAAGAAAATTGGTCAAGAATTTTTACAGAAGCATCAACTTCAACTGGCATTGTTTTGTTTTGACACTGCTAAACTATCAATTGATAAATGGATTCAACATCTCGATCTGTTATGTTCACAAAGTCAATACTCGACAGTAGCAACGATATTAACGCTTATTAATCAAATAATGCATAAAAATCTAGTGAAAGTCTATGAAATACAAAATCCGATTGTTTCTCACCTAGGTAAAGTATTATTGTCAACACACGCGAAATTAGAAGATTGGATGAATTATGCAGCATTGCTAATGAAACAAAATGCTGAAAGTAAAAAAATCATTTGGTGTTTAGTATTCTTACATGTACAATTTGGCAACAATTGGAAGAATCTTAAAATTAACTATCATTCGCAGCGGAAGCGGGAACATGTCTTATTATGCAATAAAATGGAACAAATTTTAGACAAAAATGATGGCGCATCGCTCCAGTTTAGTGGCGATATATTTCAAACGAACCAATCATTCGCCATGGAAATATTAAATATGCTAAATATTGAATGGGAAACACTAGGAAACTATTATTTTAATGAGAAAAAATATGAGCAAGCATTGAATTGCTACTTGAAAAGTAATTCCGACAATATAAATAAGTAAGTAAGGAGTGATTGGGACGTTTTTAGGATCTTGGTGGAAAACGTAGAAAAAGAAAAAATCGAAAAGGAAAATGTCGAATACATTCGAATGATGTTACTAAAGAAATTCTATTTTCTTATTCTGATTGGCGCAGGGACGGATCTAGGATTTTGAAATAGGGGTACGACTTCCTGAAAGGATGCGATCATAGACAAAAAACACATTTTGAGATATATTCCAGGTAGTATGAGCGTGTTTTTCGTTCGTTTTTGCTGGGAAAAATAATAAAAAAAATTATCGAAGGGGGTACGACGAGGTGATCGCACCTCCTAAATCCGCTACTGCATTGGTCACTCTTTCGCTTCACATATTATATTTCTGATCGAATAAAGAAAATTTTCAAATATTCAATTGATATATTGTTAGAATGGCGACAAACTTAGATTCTGAAAATAGTTCATGTAAAACCCAGCATTTTGACATATCGTTTTCTACATCTAACAAGGGTAAACCATTATTAATATTTGTACGGTTTATCATTGTTGATTGGAAAGAAAAAAATAGATGCACTTATATTGTCAATTTTCTTTAGTCTTTTTCATTTTAAATTAACAAAGGATTAAATATCTCATTCATCAAAAAGATAAAGCTAATCATTTCGACATTTTCCTTTCGAGTATTTTTTTTCTACGTTTTCCACCAACCCCGTTTTTAGACACGACGGTTTTGTTTACCTCTGATTTGCTTGAAAGTGTTCCGAACGGATGATAACAAGAAGTTTGTGCTCTTCTCTAGTATGAACTTCGAAAACTATGTTTCAATTAAAGAATAAAAAAATCATACTGGGAAAATATTCCGCACGCTTTTGTATGTTCATTATCGTGCCTCAAAGCTAAAAGCTGTGGCCTTTATTTATACATCAGAAGCTACCCTATACAATGTATACTATGTGAAGTTATTTTTGCCTACCAACAAACCAAATAAATTCTCTTTTACCTGAATATTCATTTCTAAGAAATCATCTTGCCAACCGAAAGGCATTTTATGCTGAAAGAAGTCCTTGTAGTCGCACTTGGATAAAATCTACACTTAGTTCAATAGAATGTTTTTTAGAAAAGTGTTTGTTCGACAAAGCGGTCGACTACAACAACTTTTGGCATGTTCGAAAGAGAAACAATAGGATAAACAAAATGCTATGGGTTCGTAGTTTAAATTATTTCTCGGACCATTCTAAAAATCTCTCACCATCTTTGAACAAATATTTTGTCTAAAAGTTTTTCGATCAACCTTTGGAATGTCGTAGCAGCTTTGTAAGATCATTATATATTTGCAGTCATCTCTTAACACAAGCTTCAAAGTGTGATGACAAAGATTTTAATCTTCTTTTTAACGTTGCGGTTTACCATCGAACAAAGTTCAATGAATGTTTTCTATCGACTTTTATCGATCGTGTTTATCAAGGTTTACCTTTATCAAATTATACAAAAAGATGCCTATTGATAGAGACAATTAAAATAAATGAACTAGTGTCATCAATGGAAAATCAAACTTTTAAATTTCACTTATTTTTACTAACCGAGCTAGCTAAAGACGAAGAATCATCTGATTATGATGCACTTATGGCTGGTGGACTTCATCTCACCATCCAATATGAAAATCTCACAAGTGAATCCTTGTCCAAGTTAATTGAATTAAATAGAAAATTTACTGTACATATGAACGGCATTCTGTACAATAAAATCAAGGCAGCTACTTACTTGTCAATACAAGATTTTGTCAAAATTGTTGAACAAATCAGTGAACAAACAGTTTTAAGAATTATGTTGAACGATAGTCTAGGTAAACAAAAAATATCGGAATTAATTCCTGTAAAATATCGAGCAATGCTGTATATCATCGAAGCCCAAATATATAAACTTGAAAACAATATTTCACAATCGTTGACTAAGCTACATGAAGCACTTCTGTGTTGTCCGATTGATGATGTTATAGAAGCCGTTGATTACTTTTTGAGACAAGTTTATTTCCATGAAACAATAGTTCAAACACTAGTGGATGATGTGAGATCAATCAAAGTATATTTGAATCAAACCGGATCGAGCAACCTAGCAAACACTATCTTAACTGATGATCAATTACCAGACATGACATTAAGTGGTAACGGTCTTAAGAAGACGCCACTGTTGAATATGATTCGAAAATATGAACGAGCCATTATAAAACAAATGAAAAACGATCATATGAATGCTGCTCTATCCTATATTGATCTGTCAATGGCAGTGAAAGATTTAACCTGTATCTTATCAAATTTTGTTTTGGCTAGTCTGCATTTCTATGAACTTATGAAACAAACTTCAGATACTTCTAAATTATACGCTTATAGAAATGTGATCATTGATCTGGTAGTTCAAATATTTTCTTTATCACGACGATATTTGGCACCTCATATGGAAATATATGTGTTTAAAATAGCGTTCACATTAATGATCAAGTCCACTCAACTTTTTCAATCCCATATCAAATCGACCAAACAGTTGACTGGCAATCAAAATCAGACTCAGTTATTGATAACAAAACAGCAGAAACTAATCTTATCCGAACTGTTGAAAAATATAATACTACTTGCCAGAATATCACCTCTTTCGCAACTTCCATTGTCACGTAGTTACGATCTGTTATACATTGAAGTCGTGGGACAAGAGCTTCTCTCTAAATTTTTGATAAATTCAGCAAATAGTGATGGGGGCACATTATATGCGCCGTATCTATATCAATATTATGTATTTGAAGGCGTATGGTGCGACTGGATAAAGAATGAAACGTTTGACGCTGCAAGATTCAACTGCATGCAATCGTTACTAAGAAGACGACATTGGAGCATGCTAGACGTGCAAAATCTTCTGAACTGGTCGTATTTACGACGAACTGTTGATGGATGGTTACCGACAAAAACATATGCTCTAAATCTTGATCGCCAATCTCAGTTTAAGAAAGTAAATGGCATATCATTCAACATTAGTACGGGAAAAATCAAATTTTTGCTTCAAGTAGCCCAATCAAAAGAGCAAGGGTTGTTTGATGCAAATGATGTCCAAGAAGTTTTAACAAAAGGCATAACAAATTCATTGTTCACATTGGACCAACCTGCTGTTGAGTTTCCGTCGCATCCATTTCAAGAGATGCGCTATGGACCAAGCAGTCTATCAAAAACAAATTTTTTATCAACACTATTGCATGCTGACTATTTGTTGAAAATGATTTCCACTGGTCTCGAAGTTTGCTCAGAGCCTCCTTTTCAAATTCGTGACGCTTCTGATGGTTTTATGAAGCGTCTACCGGAGTGGTTGCAAGAGGAACTAAAACCGATTGATGAAAGAAACGATTGCGCAATTATGAATAGTGTACATCGATTTTGGATTGAAGCAGGCGAAATAGCCTATCAACATCAATTCGACGAAAATAACAATATTATAACATATTATCTGGATGATGTACCCATGCATGTAAAGAAGCAATTGATGCAATATGATGAACAAGGAAATTTGATTGACGACGTTTCAAAACTAGATGACGATCATTCGCCAGAAGGTGAATTCGCCCAAGCGTTTACTCGATACTATGATCAAATTGGCTCGTATTTTCCTGAATTATTACGACTCAAAGAGTTATTAAAACTTGGTGTTTTACTTTTATTTATTCGATCAACATTTGAAAATATTCAAAAATATATAAATAATATTAATATTGAATTCGATTCAATAAATGATTATTTGCAAAGAATTCGGAACCAAATAACGTATCCTTGTGAAACTGATAGCGAAATAAATAGAATTTTCAATAGTTGCTTGAGTGGTCAAAACATTTCCTACTCTCAAGTTCCATACGAACAAATTAAAGAATTAAAGACAAAAATCCGATCACAACTAATCGAAGCCGACAAAAGTAACTTGAAGAAAGTAACAGAAGGTATTTGTGAAGCATGCCACTGTGCCCATCAAACGGCCACAATAAAAACCTTGGTATTAAATTGGTTGTTGTACAATCAAAAAGTAGAGCTTATCAGCTTTATAGTGCATTCATTAGAAACATATAAACGAGAACAATATTCAAAAGTGTTGGAGACGATTGTTTATATGGGAGTCCATCTTGATGAAGAGAAGCAGTTTAAGTTAAACAATTCAACTTCGGAGTGTTCGTGGGTTCCTGCTGTATTTTGTTCAAAGAAAAAGAATGGTTTGAAAATTTACGGTGGTGTGAGTTTACAAATCAAGTTGAAAGAAGGAATTGTTCAACAAAACAATCGGCAAGTGACAATGATTGATGCTTTAACTATGATGAGAAATATAAGTCAAAAACAACAACACGGGGAGTCCACTACTGTCAGAAGTGGCGCAATGTCTGACAGCAATAGCAATCGAGTCGGCTCTGTTAGTGACAGTGTAAATGGCGATCAAGGGTCTCGTAATAATGACTCTTATCGTGAACGACAGCCACTTGAGTATGAACCAACCGGCAGAACAGAACCTAAAAACCTCAACGAACAAATAGCCATGAAGGCTGCAAAAGCAGATGCTGCAAACGGTGAAACCTTGAAAAATATAGTCCTGCGTGATGCAAGATGGTCTCCTGAAGGTGGTTGGGTGAAAAAGCAATATTTACATAGATCCCTAGATAAATCCACTAATATTGAAATACATTATGTTTTTAACACCCTCACTGGCGAAGCATTGGACTTCAAATTTAAAGATTATCCTCGAGAAAAATAACTTTTTTTAAAAATTCGCCTGTTTTTAGGAACTTAACATGAATAATAATAAATTCAGAATCGTTATAAGAGGATAATCATGTGCTTTAAGTAATGTATGCTCAGATTTTTGGGTGTGGGTGTGGGTTAGAGCCCTTCATTGGGTCCAAATTTTTCGGGTCCGACCGGGTCCAAGTGAGGAGCCGATTTTTTTAATTAAAATACTTCAGTTATGATGCATTCTGTTGCTTTTCTAAATACATGAGATGAAAGAGAAAACATTTCTCTACAAGATGCACGCTTAAATAATTTATTAAGATGAAAAATGATGGAACGACTGATACTTCTTTGGCAGGACCTGGAAATTGTTGTGGACCCGATGAAAGACTCTAGCGTGGGTATTGGTATCGCTGCTTCTTTCATGAAGCCTAACACCCACATCCACGCCACACTTCTGTCACATAATCTACGATAAAAAAGTAATTCATCAAATTTCAAACTCTTTTATTAAACAGTGAAGAACGTATAATGAAATTTGTTCACCATAGTTATTATTGATAGAGGATGTAGGTGTAAACGACCTGCACCTACGCTCATATTCACACCTTTTGATACGAAAAAAATTCATTTTTGATTTAAATTAAATTTATTATTGTGATATCAAATCAGAAAAAAATCTTAACTATGACAATCTTCCCCCGTCAACGAAGGGCAACCATGTTACATAGATATCACGCATCACATGCAGACATGACAAGAAGTACTAGCGGAAAATCCCCCGCTCGTTTCAACGTCATAGCACTTCATGCTTTTTTTAGAAAATCCAATGAAGTCAGCCAAGTGCGACATCTATACTACATGTGATTCTTTTTTAAATATTTTTAATTATTTCGAAAAAATAAATAATAATAAGATTTCAATTAAAAATTTTCTCGAATAAATTTATAGGATATTTTACTTTGAATATTATTGTCCTATTGCTAACACTTCCCAACCAAAGGTTACTCATTAAACGATTCATTGATTTTTCTCAAATCCTCTCCGCAGATAGTCTTGTCCAACCAGAAGTAAAAGAAAAAAGATCAAAACGAATCTGCAGCCTTTTCAATATTGGTCACATCCATAACAATCACCGCTGTGTCGCTCATACCTTTTTTGCACCGTACTTGCGTCATTCGTATCAAAGTTTTGTGTGATTTAGTTACTCAATTTTACGTATTACTTTATTCACAAGCAATATGACTGAATTTTGGAAATCAGGCGAACGACATTTTTGTACATTTTGTAAATGTTGGTTAGCTGGAAATAAAATCAGCATTGATCTTCACGAAAGTGGAAATCATCACAAGAGTAATGTGAAAGCTAAACTGGATCTACTACGTAAGAATAGCTTAGAAAAAGAACGTCAAGATAAACAACTAAGTCAAACACTTGGTAAAATGGAACGTGCTGCTAATGAATCGTTTCGTCGTGATATGGCATCTACTACAATCAATGGTTCAAACTACAATCAAGCAAATAATTCCACAACAACAGATCCAAATCTTCCTTCGAAACTTAAACGACCATTAAATCAACCTGTACAAGTACAATGTAAAAAGCCAAAATTTGTTATTAAAACTCCAACACCGAAGCCAGTTTATGAAGCTATTGAAACACCAACTGACGAAGTCAAAACTCCTGAACAACAGCCAGAAGCAAAACCAACAAGTACCAATCATGATAAGAAAGGTACTTGGTATGAATCGAAAACTGAAACACAAGAATCATTTTATTGGAATGATGTAACCGGTGCATCAACATGGACACCACCTGATGTCTATCTATCAATCGAAGAGCAACGAGCAAAAGGATTAAAAGTTTAATTTAATACTCGTATAGTCAACAGTTCTTCTTGTTGTTTTCTTTTTTGTATTTCACATTATGTATAAAACAAAATATAGCCTATATGTTCTCGTATCTAAATTTCAGATATAATATCCTACATAATTGAACGATGTCGAATAACACGCGAAAGAAAACTTATAAAAATACAGCACTCGATAGTGAAGAATTACGCAAGCGACGTGAAGATCTTACTCTTTCACTACGAAAAGAAAAACGAGCAGAACAGGTTTACCAAAATAATAGAAGAATTTTTCTATATTATATTTCTTCTAGCATTTCAAACGGCGAAATATAGCCAGTACAAGCGAACAAGAAACACCAATTTCATTTCCTGCTACTACCGAAGCTATCTCGAACATAGGACCAATAGAACCAGCAAGAAAATTGGATTGAAGTGTGAAAATATGATTGTCGATTTTTTTTCTATAGGTTATCACTAGTCAGATGGTAGCTGCATTGTATGGCGATGATGTACAACAGATGCTTGATGCAACTGTTCGTTTTCGAAAGTTACTTTCAAAAGGTATTTATTTTTACAGAATTTCGCAAAATAGTGATATGAGATTTTGATTCTAGAACCAAATCCACCTATTGATGAAGTGATTACAGCTGGTATAGTGCCTCGATTTGTTCAATTATTACTATTTGAACATTTTCAAGTTCAAGTATGTTTACAAACATATATGTATTTGTTTAGAAATATCTAATGTTCAATTTAGTTCGAAGCCGCATGGGCGTTGACCAATATCGCATCGGGCAATTCAAGTCAAACGAAATATGTTATTGATGCAGGTGCAGTACCGGTCTTTGTTCAATTATTAAGCAGTTCGAATGAAGACGTTCAAGAACAAGTAAATATTTGTTTTTATATAAAACATATACATTTGCTTTTTTTTAGGCTGTTTGGGCGCTTGGTAACATTGCTGGCGATAGTCCCGATTGTCGTGACTATGTTCTTAGTACTGAAGTACTTCAACCGCTACTCACGTAAATATAAATAAATTGTTGTTATTTTAAAGTACTTTTTGCGATTTTTTCAGTATCTTTACTCGCCATACTCGGTTGACAATGGCACGTAATGCAGTGTGGTGCTTATCGAATCTATGTCGTGGCAAAAATCCAGCTGTTGATTTTAATAAAGTAATTGAAATAAGAAATTTTGAAAGCAAAAACTCATTTTGCTTTTATGGTATCTTTCAGGTTGCTCCAGCATTGCCTGTACTCAGTCAACTACTGCATAATTACGATGCCGATGTATTGGCTGATACTTGCTGGGCTGTTTCATATTTATCTGATGGGCCCAACGAAAAAATTCAGGCTGTTATTAACGTTGTTGACATCCGACGACTTGTTGAACTTTTAGTGTAAATATTTATTTGCTAAAGATTAGACCAATTTAACGTTTATTATTATTATTATTAGACATCCAGTTTTGAATGTTCAATCATCTGCACTACGTGCCGTAGGTAACATTGTTACTGGTGATGATCATCAAACACAGGTGATTATATCGAATTTAATATCAGAACAATAAATATATATGACCTTATGTCCATAGGCTGTTCTTGATGCTGGTGTTCTTCCACATCTGTTAGCATTACTTAATAGTACGAAAGAATCAATCAAAAAAGAAGCCTGTTGGACATTATCGAACATAACCGCTGGTGTCCAAGGTCAAATTCAAGTAAGTAGCTTCTGAACACTTGCTAACTAAAATTCTAGTAATTTTAATAAACTCTTAAATTCGGATTTCGAAAGTCTATGAATATTTACGCATGTTCTTTTCTAATTAACCGAGAAGAAATTCTCTTTCAGGCTGTCATTGATGCTAATATTTTTTCCTCGTTGATCAATATTCTTAAACACGGCGATCATAAAACACGCAAAGAAGCAGCTTGGGCTATTACAAATGCAACATCTGGCGGCTCAGCGCAACAAATCAAGTAGGACCTTGTTTTGGTTTGAACTTTTTGTTTTTTCTTTATTCAATTTGTTTAGATATATTATCGAACAAGGAGCTATTCCGCCATTGTGTGACTTGTTGAGCGTTATTGATGCTAAAATAATTCAAGTAGCTCTGAATGGTCTTGATAATATACTTAAAACGGGCGCAGCTGAAAGTAAACTAAACAACGGTCAAAATGCATATGCTATGATGATTGAAGAATGTTACGGTTTGGATAAAATTGAGTATCTACAAAGTCATGAGAACATTGAAATCTATCAAAAAGCTTTTCATCTTATTGAAACATATTTCGGCGTGGATGAAGACGAACATCTTCCGGCGGTAAATATAAGATTTCAATGAAATTGCTATTTTTAATTATTTTATTTTCCAATAGCAAGGAGAATCTCGCCCATTTGAATTCGGCACATCGACAACTACTGTAACTGCACCAACGAGTCAGCAAGGTCCATTCAAATTTTGAACGATGAAAAACAGAATCGATTCATCGAACATATAAATATTTTAGGCTCGACCATTTTTCTTTTCTCACTGTTGTCATCGCGAACGAAAGAGTAATTAGTGGTTTTGTTCTTTTTTCAGCAGAAAACCTTTTTTTTTTGAAATTGCCGGTGACGTCTGTTTGTTTGCGTTTTTCCTTTTATGGATTACATCAGGATATGAATATTAATAATAATGATGCCAAGTTTGAATGTATGCATAGCTTTTTTTTCTTCCGTAAAGTCATGTATTAATAACTTATTATGATCATGAGAGAGAAAAAAAAAGCTTGTGCGTATTAATGTTCTTGTAATAAATAAAAGAAAAGAAAAGAAAAGAAAAAATTAGTTTATTTACTCTGGGGTGATGCTGCTATGACAAATTCGGATTTTTTTATCAGTATAAAATGACACACAACAAAAGCGAATATTATACTTTTAGATTTTTACAGCAAAATATAAAACAGGTGCTGTTACTCGGTCAATATGTGTCGGCCAAAACAACAAGTATGTCAGTTCTAAATAACAATTAAACAAAAGTGGTTTTTGCAAACACTAGCTTTGAATTTTAAATAGCTGCTAAAAAGTTCACTAGAATATTATTATAAGAGAAAATCGAGGTCTATTAATTATTATTGTTGATCGTAATTGTGATTCAAGTGAAAGATAGAGCACTCATTAGATAATATTTCTTTACGCTGCGTCGTTCGTCGTCTTCATGTTGCCGGCTGTGAACTTCGTATGCGTTTTTTTTTCAATTACTTGAAATATGATTATTATAGGAAGATTCCCAAGAGCAAATTGTCGATCATTACTATCAAGAACAACAAGACAATGCTCTCTACGCAATTATGATAGAACAACAGACGGAACTTGAACAATTAATTCAAATAGCCGAGAATCTCAGGAATGATATTATTAAACTGCATGATAAAGAACAAGAAATAATTGAACATTTAAATCTAATTAAAACATCTCAAACATCTTTGTTTGATAATATATATTCGTTTATATCCAACAAAAGTGTCCTTTTCTTTGGTAAGAAAACTTGAACTAAATAAACAATTTTGTCATTATTTTTTCTTTTAGTTTCCGGCATTGTTACAGGTTTTTATATTATTCCTACTATAAGTAAATTATTTTCTTCAACACGTGCTTAATAATAAAAAAATTTGTTTCTCTCGGATATTTTCTTATTCGCTTTTTCTTTCTGATGTTGATAATTTTCAGATGGACTCTGAAAGTAATGAAGAGCGAATTATATTCGACACTGCAGTGGATTATACAAAAGTAAGAAAAACAAAAGATTATTTTATGTTTTGAAATTTAACTTCACATCTAGGTCGAGGCGATCAATCAACGACGTCAAACTGAACATATAAATCAATTTTTACTCAATACAGTTCACTTTTTTAATACCTTCAGTGCGCAAGTTGAAAATAAATTTCAGAAACTTGAAACTAACTTACAACGGATCGATGCTGATTTTGCAATTCTGGATTCTAAAGTAAAAGTGCAGTCGAAAATTCAATCAGCTTTATTTTATTTCTTATATTTAGCTTCGTTCAACTCCTGGATATCAAGCACTAGATCTCGCTGATATTGTAACCCCAACAACATCGACGTCTACTCCACAACAAACAGCTATTTCAAATCCACCTCCTGCACCACCGCCACAATCGACTGGCGGGCCACCTCCACCTCCACCTCCGCCACCATCAACCGGTGGACCACCACCGCCTCCTCCTCCTCCACCACCACCACCTGAACCAGAAAAAGTCGAAGATCCTCGAACAGAAAAATATCGAAAAATGTTGCTTGTGGTATGATAGAACAAATGCGGAATTCAATGCACTTTATTTGATGATTTTATTTTATTTTATAGCGTATACCGCGTGATGCTGTTCGACATAAAATGATGGGCGATGGGTTTGACCAAGCTACGATCGAGTAAATTCATTTGAAATTCTCTGCTTTATACATACTTTTGTTTTTAAATGTTTAGATCAGTGATCGGTCCAGATTCAAATGTGCAATGATTGAAAGCCTTGTTTTTTCTATATTTTCTACTGGTGTAATTCCATTTATTATTTTATGAATAAATTTATTTAATTTATAGTTGTACAATTATTTGATAAATCATACTCTAGATAAATATGAATTTACATCATCAACATGCGACAATCTATGCATCGGCTCCTAAACTTGTCGAGCCCTTTCTAAGTGCTCCTCGTTCAACAACAGATCGAAATGATTTCATATCTTCGCTTGTTCATACTCTAGTACAGTCTGATAGTGCTAAACAGTCATCCTTAGTTGAATCTCTTCGACATCAACAGCAAATTATCGGTACCAATTCGAAAAATATTCATCAATTCTCTCGACAAAAACGCAAACATCTATCGCGCAAAGGAAATAAATTGCTATCGAAAACAATAAAAAAAGTTCGTCATGATGCACAACAACTACGTAAAACAGAACTTCAAACCGATTATAAGAATTATTTATTCATGAATGATCTATGGAAACAATATACAAGTGAATTATTAAAAGATGCAACAAATAATGAAAATATTCTTCAACGTATTCTCACGGCTGATTATCATGGCTGTATAATACGAGTGGACAAAGCAAAAAATCGATCGTTACTAGGAAAAGAAGGCATTGTTATTCAAGAAACGAAGAATATATTTGTTATTATTGATAAAACTAAAAATCGAAAATGTTCAATATTGAAAAAAGATTGCCTCTTCGCAATAGATATCACTGTTAAACATAAACAACAGACAGTATTTTTACCAGGTGCAGCTATTGCTGTACGTCCAGAACAACGTGGTCAAAAACGATCGACTACTATTGAATATATGCATGAATTTTGTTAAAGTTGTATTTAAAAAAACAAAAAGGATAATAAAAACAGGATATTGTTTTTTGAAGAAATTCAACCGTCGTTCTAAATAATCAGTATTTCAGGAAATTACAATATATTCTAAAATCCCATCGATAGCACATTATCGAAAACCGTTTCACAAAGCTCCGGTAATATTTACGAGGGAACATATCCAACGGATAAATTGCATTTTTAGTCGGAACAATGTGCATCATGTAGGTCCTAATTCTCAAGTACACGAGGACAAAGGATTTTTGGTCTGAAACTTCGCACGAAGACAGGCCTCGACTAAAACGCGATTTATCAGTTGGATATGTTCGCTCGGTAGTTGAATGCTGTGAGACCTTTCGTGAAAATTGAAGAATTGCAGTTAGACTAGATCTTGCTTTTGTCTTTTTCAGATGCCGTACTCATCGAATGTCAAATTTCCACGTTTCATGATGCATTTTTCCTATGCTGGTCAAGCTTATGCCGGTGTCCAAGTGAATGCAAGCGCGAAAATTGACAGTGTACAAGGTGTTGTCGAACGTGCACTTTACCATTTTCAATCTAGTCAGCATCCGCTTCGTTTCGGTGTTTCATCTCGTACTGATCGTGGTGTACATGCATTACATAATACGGGCACATTCGACTGGATAGCACCCATTGATGTAACAACACTTGTTCAACCTTTAAATGCGTATCTAGCCGAAAAAAACGAGCAAGTCCGCATTCTACGTATACATCCTATATCACCGCAATTTCATTTTCGTCGTCATTGTCTCGGCCGTAAATATGTTTATCGATTAGGTTTTCTTCAAAAGAATGAATTTACAAATGTCAATACGGATATTCCATTTCTAAGAAAAAAACAACGTTTTCTCTTACGGGATATGACACCGGCAACTTGCAATCTATTTGAAAAAGATTTTATTACGTACATTGAACCGCCCTACGATCTCGACGCATTTCGTCAAGGCATTGAAGTTTTTCAAGTAAAAAGTTGAGAATTATAAATTAACCTTTTATTTTATGTTTTTACGACTAGGGCCAACATAATTTTTCTGCATTTACAAATACTCAAGGCCGACTAAATATGGCAATAGAACGTCGATGTCCTGTAAAAACGATGCGTCTTGGTTTTGTTGAAGGTGAACCAATGGTACCATTAATGGAATCGTCACCACTTCATTCGTCAATGCGCGTTTATAATCTTGTTTTTGAGGCTGAAGCATTCCTTTATAAATTAATTCGACGCATCACGGGTACATTAGTACATATTGCTAAAGGACAAATGACAACTCAAGATGTTCTCGATCGTTTCGCTTGTCCACCTGATTACTATGATAGTCCATATCCTACAACACTCAAACCACATGGTCTATTTTTGCATGAAGTTAAATATAATGAACAGGACTTTCTCAATCCACCGTTATTTCGACCTGATGATGTTGATGATGATGACGTTTTGATGGAAATACAAGACGACGATGAGGATGAAGAAGAACTTGATAGTAAAATCATGTCTGTCAGATAGTGAATGTATTTTTTTAGGAAATAAATTTCTTAAAGTTTATAAAACTACAAACCCCCATAGGCCTTTTTTATGATTCCATCAGTAGAGGCTCGAAATGAATTTGAAAATCATTTTTGTTTGCCACCATATGTTTATTATTTTCAATTATTAGCTGACAAACATGGTAAGAAGAAAAAAAAAAGAGACAATAACAACAAAAAATAATAAAGCATAATAATCAGATCATTTCGAACACATACAGAAAGTTAAACAAAAAAAAGTATTGGAACAAAAGAAATATTTTAATAAAAGTCATATAAGAATTCTATTATTTGGTTGTTCATTGACTTATTAAAGATAAACGAACGAAAAAAAAATGACTAAGACACCAGTTAATATACGCTTGAGAAATTATCTAATAAAAAGAAAGAAAGAATTAGAATTAATTAGCGTAAGTTTGAATACACCGAAGACTCTCAATTCTGTTTTTATCAACGATCTTGACAACATCACATACGAGAAATGTGAGAGTGTGAGAAAAAAAAGTAAAAAAATAAAATATAAGACAACACACATACACACAGCCATTCATCTACATGTACGACGACGACTAGAAAATTAAATTCAAAATGAAACATAAATTCACACACGCACACAAATGTAAGTATATAACATTTTATTGAAATCCATTTGTACCTATAACACTACCGACGGTTTGCGCTTGTAGTGATGGATGAAAGAGTGGCTGTGACGACTTGGAATGACGCGTCACTGCCTTATGAGCTGCCATACTACCGATATGGATTTTTTGCCAACAGCGTTGACAAAAATAGTCGAAGCAAGCAAAATTTCGACAAAATAAATCACCAGCAGCTGTCTTACATAATGAACAGAATCGATATTGCAAATGAGGTTCAATTTGAAGACGTTTGAGAAAACGAGGCGTTCGAACATCGACTAAAAATAATCAGGATTTCCATCATAATTGCAGTCGAAATAAAACTCATCAGATAATTTCCGGGCAAAATAAACAAGATTATTGGTGTCCATCGGAACCGGTGAGACTTAATTAAGATTTTTTTCTCAACTTACCGAAAGCTGTTGATACCGCATGAAGAAAACTTGAACTATTATCGAATGTAACCCGTCCACTACCAATTCTGAATATAAAATAATTTGAAAATATGAAATTAATACTTCTTTCAATGACTTACGGATATTTATATTTATCAATATCAACTCCTGCATAGACGGCACCACCAAATAGATCTTCCATTAAACGCCATAAATATCTAGCCGTCATTGTACCGTGAAGATTGCCAACGAAAATCGTTTTTTTCGAGTCAAGTTGTTGTGGTGGTCTAAATAAAAATGTTTGGTAAAAACTCTTCATCGTAATAAATAATTATTTCATACCGTAATGCATAATTATTATCGCCAATATTCCACGGAATGATTTCAACGGTTTTTCTTGAACCCGTTGCTGTTTCAAAATGTATAAAATAATCTGCACATGCATTATTGTTTGTTTGACGCGAACAACAATCTAACAGGGCACAGACAGATTTTGCATTATGAAAAACAATATGAAAAAATCCATTTTCACGATGTTGCTCCTTGTGTAAGCCGTGTAATTTTGGCCATTGTATTTCAAATACACCAAAGCGATCGAAATTCGCATGAATATCAGATTCAGTTGCAAAACGTGGTACACCACCAATAAATACTTTTTGTGAAAGTAATGGAATTTGATGAATACTATTTCCATCATGCGATTGTTCCGTAGAAAAATCGCCAATCCAATGGCGAATGTTTTCTGTTGTATCATCTTGTACGCGAACCATCGATTGTTGTTGTTGTTGTTGTTGTTGTTGTGGTGGTGGTGGTGCAATTGAAAGTAACCATGGAGGTCGAACATTTTCATCATTCATATTCGATTGATGACTTGAGCCGAATGGTAATGGTTCATTATTGAATGAAAATGGAAGCATAGATGAACTACTAGTTCGTGGATTAAGATCATTTAAAACAAGTTGCTGAAATGGTAATACACACGATTGTTCGAAAGACATTATATTCGATGTGTTACGTAGAATATAATCTTGAAAAGGTTTCTGTTCTTGATCGAAGATATTTTCACCTAAACAACAATGTAGAACATCGTTTCCCGTAAGTAATTATGAGGATGTCGAAAAATAAGCTTCGTTTTTTTTGTCTTCCAAGACTTACTTGATAATGTTGAACCAAGACTCAAACCATTGTTTGACGATGATGCCTGTGTTGGCCAAGTTGAAACAAATTCTTTAGTATTATTTTTCATAGGAAATGAAAAATCATTACGTGGACAACAATTAACATCCATGATTCGAATAAAAAAAGTAGAGAAAAATGCTGTTTTATGTATGTGTGTTTTCTATATATTGATGTTTTGAAATGAATGACTGATTTCGTCTCTTCGAACTTTTACATGTATTATTTTTCTTTTTCGTCGGTTAAATAAAGAACGAAAAGGAAAAACAACTATTTAGTAAAATGAATCGTCCGATTTGCACAGACGAACTAGATCTTGGAAAATATATAATGAAAGAAAGAAAGAGAGAGAGAGAGAGAGAGAGAGAAATATGACCGAGGTCATTGATCAGTCATTCGCTAATTTTTGTTTTTATATATATATATATTATATTATTGAACAGACGTTCATTGATATTCTCCTGTGTGTGCGACACGTAGAGAGAAACATATTGGATTGAACACAGATACGATGAGAGAATGAGCGGGAGAAGGAAAATAGTGATCACACAACAGGGAAATACATACATACATACATACATTAGACGAAGAAATATGTGCGAAATAACACAACAAGCCAATTGAGATTGTCATGTTATTATTGTAGAGAGGGGGAAGGACAGCTGCTTGCCGTTTACGATATGCCACTTCTCACATTAACGCTGCATTTCCTATGTTTGTAATGCGTTGTATAAAAAGCTTAAGAATGAATATTCAAGTGCACAAATCTAAGATAAATCCATTGATAAGGACTATCTTGTTTGTCTGATCTCTAGTGCAATTTCAATTAAACATTATTTTGTTATCGGTTAGAGACTTCGAGAATGAATAGTCGCTTTTTGTTTTATCTGGAAAATTTTGATTCTTATTTCAATATGGAAGACATAATGTTTACATTTAGCTTTATTGTATTGTCAACAAAAGCTTAAATGAACGTCAGCTAGACGCACTTTGATTGAATTCTATTATGATGAGCTAATGATATAAAGCCTATTGAAATGAATTGTTATATAAAATCTTTGAATGCACTTGTTCGTTTCAATTTGTTTCCGTTATAACCGTTGTTTTCTACATGTGCTATCATCATACGCTAAACGAAGATGACAACAAAACAGGTGTCAATCTGCGAGAAAACATCTGCTGATAGTTAGCAGCATAATAAGAAAATTAAGATTTCTTGTTTTTAGACGCTATTTATTACACATCGATGAAAACTATCGGATCAGATGAAAGAGTGAAGACGATTTGTTTTAGTAACATTCAGTGAAGATAAGCTACATTGACACTCGAAAATATATTGCTATCTTTTTCACATGCATCTTGTCATAATTTTCTTATCGATATGAGCTAATGAAAGGTAATACAAAATAAATTTCTACGTCGAGCACGATGTTGTGTCGCCCGAGTCTATTTCTTGAAGTATTCTATTAATATATACCGTATGTGACTCCGAGCTATAGTGCCAGAAAAGCTTTCATTTCGAGAATTGACAGCTGATGTGTCGTCTTGTTAACAGCGAGCATTACTCGAATTGAAATCGAGTGTGTTGGCACATGCGGGTGACTTTATTGAAATTTTACACCAGCACTTGTGAGAATATTAATTGTAAAATGTAAATTTCCTTGTCTGTTATGATTTTTCGTTAGTGTGTCTCATCATCGATTGTTAGAAATAGGGAGTTATGTCTAAATCGTGTCTTTATTCCATGCTGATAGATTTCCGTGAAGTACACAGAATAAAATTATTTTGATGTGGAAAAATAACTTCTTATTGTTGACTGTGAATAATGAGCGTAAACAATGTGTTCATCTTTGCTTTCCGCACAACAAGATTCTCGGGTGTGTAAATTACCGCGACGAAGAGATGTCATTTCATTGGTTTGCTTCACGGGAGAATTATCTCTTCAAGAACTTTCAAAGTTCGATATTTTTATTAGTTTTTAATACGGAAAAACAATCATTCTAATCAAGTGAATGACATTGCAATAATTCTCAGTTAAACTCATGAATTTGATATGCTGGAAAAATATCAAGAAAATTAAAATACGCCATTTTTATTGTATTTCGTCTCACTACTAAAATATAATTACTTCAGAACTCGCCGAAGACATTGCTTTTACATCCTTCAGACACAACCAACGTTTATTTATATACGACCGAGAATATTAGATCAACGTGCAAAATGCAATGTCCTTGAAAGAAAATTGTTTTTTTCAAAATTAATTTCACAGAGTGTTCTGTTGATTGTAATTAAAATATGACATTGAAGTTTAAAATTTTTCTCTGCATCCAATGATATTAAAGAATTTACCGCCAGAATTTTGTTTTCGTATCAAGGTAAAGTACTCAAATGTCGTCTCGGAAAGAGTGTTTATATCATTTGTCATGATTTGTACTATTTTCAATCGTATTGATTATCATGGTCGCTTTTTAGTCATGTATGTAGATGACGTAGAGCGCTACAACCACTGCTTAATGTAAAGCGAACGCTACTCTTTATCGTTTGATGTTTACTTCATATATGTCTATGCTATACTGTGTAATGATTACAGCTGAAGAAAAAAAAATGTTCTGCTTGTTCTTGAAAAATCTCGCCATAAAAGTGTCTTATAATGATTACAATGGGAGGAGCATAAAAATATTTGTGTATAAGAGTACAGGTAATTTTTTATCGATATTACTCATATATGGATTATAGAACATGGCAAAGTACGAAATTGTGCTTTATTTTTTGTGTTTTGCGTCTAGGACAGATTTCTTCTATATTTCTACCGATGCCGGATTGTTTCAGATAAGATGAATAGTCGCAAATCTATTCTAACAGCAATTACAAGTGATGATGATCGAAATGCAGTTGTAGCAAAAGATGAACAAATTCGTCAACATTTATGTTCAGTTAACGATTTACATAATGGACAAATGAAAGAATTCGAAATAAAAACAGCACTCGTTGCGACGAGTATTTTACTTATTAGACAAAACGATAAATTTTATGCTTATTCAAGTAAATGTTGTCATTATAAATTACCATTAGTAAAAGGTTTGGATAAAAAAATTTTTTTTTTTCGTATTGATGGGTAAAAAATGCTAAAATAGGCTCGTTAATTAATAATCACCTTCGATGTTTTGCACATGGCGCCTGTTTTCGCGTCGATACTGGTGATATTGAAGATCATCCAGGGCACGGACATTTACCAAGTAGGATTTTATTTTCGTCCTTCTGTTGTATTTTATTTAATTCATCTATTATTAGAATATGATGTGGAAATCGTCGATAATCAGGTTATTTTTGTTGCAAAAGTTAAAGATCTTGGAAAATTTGAACGTTCGAAAATACCTGCTAATCTTGTCATTGAAGCAAAACCAGTAGTGGCGATTGTCGGAGCAGGAGCAGGTAAAGATTTTTGCAATGATAGTAGTTAGGGTTTGACAAATCTCATCAGCTTTCAAACGTATCTGAATGTAATAATTTTTCATCTTCACAGGTGGATTTACATGTGCCGATATGCTCCGTCAAGATGGATTTCGTGGCCGCATTATTTTATTTTCCAACGAAGCAACATTACCATATGATCGTGTGAGTATTTTCTCTCTCAAATTCTTGATAAAAAAATATGTTCGACGAGTTTTTAAGGTTCAATTATCCAAACAACCAGCTAAAAATCCTCAAGATTTAGTTCTTCGTGATGAAACTTATTTTAGCAAAGCCCATATTGATTTGTTACTTCATACCGAAGTAACAAACATAAATTGGTCTGACAAAAGCTTAACATATAAACCATTAGATAGGAGAGTCAAATCTCAAGCATACGACTACTTAGTATTAGCGACTGGTTTACGGCCAAGAAAATTACCCACAACATTACCAGGTCATAATCTTAGCAATATATTCTATTTAAGATCATTAGACGATGCTGGTTATTTTGCTAGTAAGTTTTTGTAGTTCACAAAAGCAGAGGCTATATTTTTGTTGAAAATAGATACAGTAAAATCAGTGGATACGAAAAACATCGTTATTATTGGTGATTCATTTATTGCATTAGAATTGTGTGGATGGTTAACAACAGGTTTAAATGAAAAGAAGACTGTTTCAGTTGTTATGCGTTCAAAAATACCAATGGCTCGTATGTAGAAAAAACAGATGAGCTGATCGAGAAAAACTATTTCTTCGTTTATACAGGTATTTTTGGCCAACGAATCGGTCAAGCTTTACAGAAAATTCATGAGAAAAATGGCGCAGTATTCTATCCACAAGCGAATGTGGCAAAATTAACAGTTCGTTTTAGTTTTCCTTTTGTCAACAAATGTTCTCATATTGACAAATTTTAGGGCGAAAATAATCGTGTCAAATTTGTACAATTAGAAACCGGTGATTTAATTCCATGTGATCTTCTTATAGTTGCAATCGGTAGTGAAATATGTTCTGAGTTATATAAAAATTCTCCCCTCGAAATGACAAATGATGGTTTTATCAAAGTTAATGAACGTTTGGGAACATCAGTTGAACGTGTGTTAGCAGTTGGAGATATAAGTAAATACCCGTTGGCAATATTCAATCTAGACTATGTCAACTGTCAACATTGGCAGATGGCTTGTTCAACAGGTCATCAAGCTGGTAGGCATTATATAATTGAAAAAAATCATGACGTAGTTTGTTCCAATATTAGAATGAAAAGCTACAAAAAAAAGAATTTTTTTACTAGACGGAACATACATGTTGATTTCCTGTTTTGGCTGATAAAATAGATTAAGTTACTTTTTAAAACTCGTACTGTTCAGCTAGAGAGGAAATTAAAAAATTGAGATAGATATACTGTCCAAAAAAATTTCCACTTGGTCTGAGTTTATTAAAAAATTAATGCTTTGATGTTTTCAATACATATGAAAAAGAAAACGATCCAACGATGTCTTCCAGAATCATTGTTTTGATTGGATAGTGTCTTTTATAGGATAATTTTGAAGAAAAAAGGCTGAACCTCCTTTTATTGAAGTCATGAAAATCAATTACAAGCTTCCCACTGCTACGGTTCTGTTTACTTGCAAATTTATCCGGAATTTCGTCGTCTATATTATTACTACCGGAAATATTTGTTGTAATTATCGTTTGGAACATTAAGGTTGTACAACCGATTTAGTTTTCTTTTCTCAGTGCAAATCTTATAGGATTTATTCTTAAGAATATCTAAATAATCTAAAAATAGATAGGAAAAACTGCATCATTCGCTGTTCACATGATCTTGTTGCTAATTCTCTAGTACAAATCGCGGCGATTAACTTTTTCCTACATGCGGAATAGTTTTGTTTTTATATAGCGACACAATCAATGCACTCGCTTAGGTCAAATACTTCATGTTTTCATACCAATAGCAATGTCTATGAAAAACATCAAGCTGAGATAACTGGTGTTTAGTATCAGTAATGAAAATATTTCTTTCATGATCCTCTTTCCGAAATTAGTAGTATAGCTATTAGCACAGGTCACAAGAACAGAACAGCATATATATATTAAAATCTATGTATTCTAGCCAATACTATCTTAAATCATTATCATGGTCAAACAGCAGCGACGTATGATTCATTGAAAAGTGATTTGTATACAACACCTATATTTTGGTCAACACAAAATAATAAAACAAATATACGTTATGCGGGTTATACTCGTGATCCGGAAAATGTTATAATTCATGGCGATCTTGATGATGAATTTAAATTTGTAGCCTATTATATTGTCGATGGTTTTGTTCGAGCAGTTGCTCAGTCGAAATATGAACCATTGACAAGTGAAGTCGCCGAAGTATTTTATTACAAGAAAAATATTCGAAAGGAAGACGTTGAAAATGATATTTATGGTTATAGAAAATATCTTGATTTTAAAACAAAAAGACCAGAATAAATGTTATTCGTACATATGTTACATTTTTTAATATGTATTTTAACACTCAGCTATATTATCTCTTTTAATAAAAATAAAATGCTTTTCGCTAAATCGTACGTGGATGCTTCGTCGAAATTTCATTGACAATATTCTAATGCTGGCACAATATTTTTTACAGGAACAAAACTCCGGTTCTATGAATTCTTATAAAAAACTGAAAATTCAATATTTCTCTTATCAATTGCTATTTTCAAGGCATTTTTTTAAAATTTGTAGAATCATTATCATCAAAAAAAAAAACTAAAGCGTATTCTAGGTGTAAGATGTTCTATCAAGATTAAGCATAGAGAAAACAGAATAAAGATAGCGTTTCGTACAATATACATTATCATCAATTTACGAATGCACAATGCAGCTGTCGTGGTATTCAGATTGTTGAGTGACGTTCTGTTTGAAGCATGTAGAACGCAAAGAAAAAAAGACGAGTGGTTTGTGTGCTCTTTGAGTAATTTATCGTAGGTGAAGTACGACATACGCGAGGTTATGGCGATGATAAAGGCAAGGACATTTTATCATATGACCAATTGTAATATTCTTTGTCATACGACTCGATATTTATTCCTATCGAATATCTGAATAAATAAGTCAATTTTTCTTCGAAACGATACTTTATGTTCTGACAGTTGATAACAATTGTAATGAGTACAATTATGAATCACTTCCAGCGTTTTTTTTTTTATTAATAATTAGCGCCATCTATATACAGTATTTGAAATTCATTCAAAATTTATTATTATTATTTATTTATTTATGAAAAACAAATCATTTTTCTTTGATTGTAAAACAAATATTTCTATTTTCATTTTTCGAAGGTTTTTTATCAATCCCATGGCGGTCTAGTATACAAAGAACAGCAAAAAAAACACGTCCGTAATTGTTCGACGTATATGTTGATTGTTTACAACTGTTTCATACTTGTTTATTATACTGTATTCCTGTGTATTTTCTAAGAGGCAACTCATTGCGCGTCGTCTTCGCCGTCGCCCCGTTTTCTATTGTTCATAGTGTACATAGGCCTTGTCTATCTTTTCCCTTTTCCGTGTGTATTCTTCTTTGACGTTACATACCTGTGTACCTATGTATAAAATATAAACAAGAATATCATCAAGCGTAATAAACCGGCTGATTTATTATTGTTCTTTTGTGTAATTATTAGTGTTTGTTTATATACATAAAAGTAAGTTTTACAAGCGATAATCGAAGGAAATAGAAACAAAAAAAATGTTTCTTGTTTCTAATAGTTCACACATGTGGCCATCACAAGGTACGAATGATTATACTGCAAATGGTAAGAAAACAAAATAATATGATTAATTTTATTTAGAAAAAAAACATCTATTTTAGAGCGATCAGCACCGATCAATATGCCGAATCGACAATCGGATATGACATCAGGCTATGCTGATCCACATGGTGTAGTTTTTTCACCAAAATCAACTGATCCAGCTAATCTTGGAATTAATATGTGCATTAACATATTAGAAGGAGATAATTCACCACGTGTGAAAGATAATGGCATCAAAGATGTTACTCAACATATGCAAGCTATGAAGATCTATGTAAGTATTATAAATAGCTTCTAATTAGTTCAGTGGTTAAAGCTCTAAATGTATGGGTTCGATACCACATTCCAGCTATGGCGATCGTCAGGCGTTACCATTGTTTACATTCCAATCAGAACAGTGGTGTTAACGATTAGCCTAGATAATAAAAATAGTTGATTCTTTTCGATTAATGTTCCCTAGATACATTTGTCTCTTCGACTATTCTGACAAGTCTATTGAAAATTTTATTTTTTATTTTATCTAGAATGACAATGATAATAATAATAAGAAGAAAACTGTTGATACACCAACTGTTTACGATGGTAAATCTGATGATAAAACACGCGAAACAGATTCAAATCGTAAACCAACACCACGTTCATCACCAGGTCATGTTAATAGTGATTTAACCAATAGTACGAATAATGAAAATCTTCCATGTGCAAATACGATCGTTTCCGGTGACGACCCAAATGATGGTTTAATGCCACAATCACATATGATGATGAACGGTGCACCAACAGCATCGATGCCTATACCATATCAACGAATGCAAAACAATAATCAGCAGCAACAACAACAACAGATGCTACTCTATCCGCAACAACAAGCGTAAGTTGAGAAAAAAATGTCACAAGTTGTGACCAAAGATATTCGGATTCACAAAAGCATAGGATAGATTTTATGAATAAAGTATTTGATTACAAAAAAAAAATATCCGATGGTTCAGCCAAGCTCATTCGAAAAAACTAATATTTCTTTGTATAGTCACATACCATCAAGAGAAGAGGGTAGGTCTACTCCATGAAAAAAGGCACCACTTCCTGTTACCCTCAAGAAATCAGCAGTGATCTTCTTTCCGACGGAAAATGCTGAGATACAGAATTTGTTAAAGAGAACTAATTTTTCATTTCCAATCACTGTTATTGATGTTTAAAAGAGTTTTACACTACATTTATATATCGTTCGTACAATCACTGGCCTAGAACGGAAACATCTATTATAAGTCTTACACATCCCTAGAGGTTGAAACAAAAAGAAAAGGCTTTTTTTTTTATAAACATGTAGTTATCCACCACAGTATCATATTGTTTCACAACAACAACAACAACAGGCTCATTATGAAATGAATCAACCAACAAATAACTTTCAAACATTTGATTACACTTTAATTCAACCTCAATCGTAAGTTGCTCCTGTTGTTTTCTACGTTGATTAATTTTAAATTCATAATAATCGATTTCGAAGGTTTGAAAGTCAGTCAATCATGACAGCATTCAATCCACAAGGAAATGGAAATAATCAACAAGATCCTCAGTTAGCTAATCTAGCTCAAACACCATTGATGTCATGGCTTTCAAGTACAATGGCTGCCCAACAACAAACAGCTAATCAACAACAACCCTATGGTTCATCAAATCAATATATTATAAATAGTAATCAAGATAATTATTTACAACAATTACAAAACTATCATCAATCGCCGGCAACACTTCCATCATTACTCGGCCAACCACAGTATTGGTCAGCATTGCCAACAGCTCTCGTTTTCCCAGCAGCACCACCGCAAGCCCTATTAGCACAACAACAATCATCCAATAATGAACAACAATCACCACAATCAAAAAATAATAATAATCGTCCATTAACACCAACTAATTCAGCGGACCTACTAAGTGCATCGCAATCTAATCATCAGCAATATATTAATATGCAGCGTACAACACAAACACCCGGTAAAAGAAAAATTTTGTCGAAAAGTTGCAATCAAATAATCATCGATCTCTTTTGTTTAGTAAATTTTCCATTTTATGCTGCGGCTTCGCCAACATTTCTCGATCCAAGTATTATGATGTCAAATGCACGACAACCAACCGGATCACCAGGATTGCGTATGTATCCTCAACAAGTGCCAATTCCAGGTATATAATCTTACAAAATAAATAAATTTCATTAATTTATCATGTATTCATCTCCTAGTTAACGCTAATAATCAAGGTGGTTTATATGGCAGTCCAGTTGCAAGCTCACTTTCAAGCTCATTCAATGGTTTGTTTAAACAAAAAGAGTTTTTCTTTAGAGAAATTTCCTTTCAACCCTTGATTTAGACGTGTATACAGTTCCAAATCAAAGACGTGATGCACCATTACCTGACTTTTCTCGTCTTGTTAATGATCCTCGTTTATCGACACCACATCAATCGCAACAAACTCCATTATATCATGGTCAATTACCCGGTGGTTTACCTCCGTCACCCGCCTACAATAACTTGATGACTTCCATGACGCCGCCGCCATCGTCCAACGCCGGCGGATTCGATGGAATGTTTAATGCACGATTTTTTCCACCACAAAATCAACAAGGACCAACAACAGTGCCGGCACAACAAGCAATAATCAATGGCAATGAAGTATATACGGGCCGTCGTAGTGTCGGTGGCATGAGTGGACCACTACCGAATTATTATCCTCCGAATGTTTTCGGCGGACCGGGAAACAACAACAACAATAATAATAATAGTCTTCGTGGAGCTGGTTCAATGTCAAATTCCGGACGTGATTCAGTAATCACTCGAAGTAAATTATTAGATGATTTTCGTAATAGTCGTATGCCAAATTTACAATTACGTGATGTTATTGGACATTTTACTGAATTTTCCATGGATCAACATGGCTCAAGATTTATTCAACAGAAACTCGAACGTGCAACTAATACCGAAAAAGATATGGTGTTTAAAGAAATTATTAGTAATGCACCGCAATTGATGACTGATGTTTTCGGCAATTACGTTATTCAAGTAAGCAGAAAGATCGTTTTTATTTTATTTGTAATCATTGAATTATTTGTTTAGAAATTTTTCGAATTTGGTTCAACGGAACATAAAGCATATTTAGCTCATAGTATCCGCGGTAACGTTTTATCACTGGCATTACAAATGTATGGTTGTCGAGTTATACAAAAAGCTGTTGAAAGCCTACAACCAGAATATCAAGTGCAAATAGCGAGAGAATTAGATGGAAATATTGTTAAATGTATTGAAGATCAAAATGGAAATCATGTCATACAAAAATGTATTGAATGTTGTATAGGCGATGATATTGATTTTATTATAAAGGACGTCACCAATCAAGTTTTTCAATTATCAGCACATCCATATGGTTGTCGCGTTATACAACGTATACTTGAGAATTGTAAAGAATCACAAACAAGACCTATACTCGATATATTACATAATGAATTAGAAAATCTTGTTCAAGATCAATATGGTAAAGAATTCAGAAAAAAATTATCGTTGTTTTCTTCTACTTTTCGCTATAGGAAATTATGTTATTCAACATGTACTGGAACATGGTAAAGTTGAAGATCGAAGCCGCATTGTCAATGCTATTATGGGACGTGTGCTTCATTTATCACAACATAAATTTGCAAGGTACAGCTTTAGAACATCTGTTTAGATCACATTTAATGTGAGATTCACTTTCGTTTTTGTAGTAATGTAGTGGAGAAATGTGTAACTTATGCAACACGCGAAGAAAAACGACAACTTATTGATGAGGTCGTTTCGTTTGGAGATGGGTAAGAATTGTCTATATATATATACAATATATTTAGAAACTGTTATTTTGTTTTTCAGACCTAACAGTGCATTGTTAATAATGATGAAAGATCAATTTGCTAATTATGTTGTGCAAAAAGTAAGATTTCAAAAATATCATTGAGTATGGTTCATCAGCGTGCAGTATAATTCCGATGGAACGAATACTATGGAGTCTGATGAAAAGTGTTTAATATCGGAAAGTATTCATCTATGAGAGATTATTTATTAATTAGCAAAAAAACGTAACATGTCAAGCAAGCTTCGGTCTAATCTCGCTACGTATAGGTGGAGTGGAAACTGTTTACGATGGTGACCATGACTAAAATAGAATTTCCTTTCTGAATTAAAGACGCTCGCTCTAGTTAAAATAAAATAAAAAAAATTTGCGATCGTTTACTTTCATACAAAAGCTGATACCACTCTGATTAATTAGGTCAAGGATCAATTTTGGTTCATCTAGGGTAACCTTCAAGTAGTATCTCGAGTCACAGTTAGAATAATCAAAAATGATAATCTGGAACTCAACTAGTTGTCGATGAGAAACTTATTAAGTTTTACAGAAATAACGAGGGAAAATTTTCACGCACGACCAACAAGACATTTTCTTTTTGAAAACGCGAAAAATATAACTAATCAATTTAATTATTACTAAAATAAAGATCTGCGCATAATCTAAGTCTCGTTTTTACATATTCTCTAGCTCCGAGTACTTTGAAATATCATGAAAAATCTCACCAAGAAACAAATTAGCTTTTAGATCAATTGGGAAATCTGTTTATATAGTGACACTGTAGATTATTTATTCATAAGCTTTATGAAAAGTCGATATGAATACAGAATTTATAATTGCTTCTTTTGTTCGACCAAATATGAAATATTCTCTAAGTAGATTAAAGCTTGTACTCAGGACTTTGCATGCTAATCAAAGCTCATCTAAATGAATATTGTTTTTCTTGAAAAATCCTAATAGTTATATAATTATTATCATAAATATTAACTAGTGTTTCTATCATAGAAAAAAAGAACCGGATATAATCTTTTCTTTTCCCATAGATGATCGATGTTGCTGAGCCAGCTCAACGAAAAATTCTCCTGACCAAAGTTCGTCCACATATTCAATCACTTCGAAAGTTTACCTATGGTAAACATATAATAACAAAATTGGAAAAACATCTAAGCAAAACTTCCGATTTGGGTCCTATGTTAACATCATCAACATCAAATTCAAATGGTTTGTCACATTACGACAATTAACATTTTCGTTCTTTTTCTTTTTTCATACAAGCAGTTTTTTTTCTTCTATTACACTGTAGTTAGCTTTTGTTTGTTTGGGTTTTTCTTTCTTCTTTTGCGTGACAGTGGTCGCTCTCATAGTCGGTTTTTTGTTGCTGTTGCATATATCCGGCTCAGGCAATGTGTTTTGGTTTTGCTCGGCAACACTGCCTGTTCGTTTTGGAACTTGTCTTTGCCTTATATACAGCGGTTTGGTTTGTTTTTTTTTTGTTTTGCTTGAAAACAAAAAATTCTTATGTACAGCATTGTCGTCTATCACACTTGTAATTGCTTCGTATACATAACATATAACTGTGTATGTGAGTGTGTGTACTTCACTTATTGTAAAGGTTTTGCTGTTATACACTTCCTCCTTATGCAAAAAGAAAATAATGTTCACACTCGGGAGTTGAAAAACAAAATTGAGATGGTTTTGTTTACTAATACGCACACATCAGAGTTTATTTTTGTATACCTCCTTCTTGTTCTTTTTTTGCTTCGTCTCAGGAAACTGTGTAATCTTAAGGGGAGGTGCCGCACATACATACTTTTCCTGTCTTGTCTCTATGTGTTTTGTTTTTTTTTCTACCCAAAAAGCGATTGTTTCTTGTTTTTCTTTTTTCATAAGAAAAAAACTAAATCTGTTTAATTTGTTCTGGCACACTTTATATTCATGTAGTGAACGACCTTTCTCTCTATTTCTCTTTCTTCCTTGTTCTTTTGTTTGCTCGTTTTTTTTTTCTTTTTTTTTTCATTTGTTTACATCACCCTACTACTTGTACTACTAACGAAAAAATAAATACGCAGAAAAAAAAGAATGCATCCTCTTCTTTTCTTCTGTAGCGTCGCCCAATGAACGACCGAACAGGGAACGCATTTATATTGTTGATAAGAGACAAGAAATTCACTGTTGACTCCGTTATTCTTATCTATTTGAATACAGGACGACTAGTAAGCAGTACCTTATTTCATAATTTGAGTCAAAGTGACTCTCTACTTATTCATTAGGATGGATAATAATTAAGGAAAGAAGAAAAAAAAAAAGAAATGAATTGGCCGAGAATTATGTGATCTGGAAAAGTGAGATTGACGTTTTAGATAAAACTAACGAATAGAATCGGAAAAAGATTGCATCTTCTTTTGATAAATTATTACTATCGACTTCGACTTACGATTAGAGATGATGTCTTTCGATACGTCAAATTTGATCGACTCGGCAACAATTCCCAATACAGAAAAAAGATAAATCTTGCAAGACACTCATCGATGTATCAGGTCCGCCTTTTCAAACAATGAGTCATTAGTTTCAGTTGCTTGTTGTTTGGATCGGAGATCAACTAACTTTTAACATCATCCACTGATATGACTCACTATTAATATAGAATATGACACCATACGTTATTGTTATTATCAGCTAGAATTCTTTTCTTTTCTTTTAAACGCTTACCGCTATATGCTCCCTACCTTTTAAGTGGCTCAGCATTGTTTATAAGAAATCACAAAAACATTCTTCCTACGGCCAGAATTCACATTGATGAAATTTTTCAACAGAATTCGTATTCTTCAATGTAGTTTTTTTTCTCTCGCTTAATCATGAAAATAAAATTTCGCGTAAATATATAATTTCAAACAATATAATCAACAATTTTTTTTCTTTTTTTTAGATAAATTCCTTGGCCAATGAAATATACTGCTATGATCTAACGTCATCTGTCTGATAGAATTAATGAGGGAATGCCATGGAGAAAGAGAGACTGTTGACATAATTTTTATATATTTTGGAATGACAGTTGACTAGATCGAGTGGCAAATAGATTTTATATTGAAGCCAATGTAACGCCACTTTCTGACGTTATTCTTTTTCCATTTTAAAGAAAATGCACGATTCTTTGACGCATCACAACATTTACTGCGACTTCAGATTTTTCAAAGAAGAAAACCCTATATAAATAATGTGTCAAATCAATATTTAATAGTAAATATTAACAATATCATTTCATAAAATAAACTAAAAAAGAAACATGTATCCTCAACAATATCCCTCGGCCCCTTCGGCACCATCACCATATAACAACGATATGCAGTATAGACAATCGATGCCAAATTATCATTCATCCAGTGACGATCGTATGGCAGATTTTCAACAACTTGTTGATCGTTATGAAAGTGAGTTGCGAAGTTTTTGAAAACTTATGATCGATTATTTTTCTTTTTAAAATCTGCAGTTAATCATACGTTTGCTACAAAATTACGTGCTCTTGAAGGATATGAAATTGTTTTCATTTGTGATGATTCAGGTTCAATGAATACACCACTTGGTAATTGATTTAGGCTTTCGATTTTTCTATTGAAACAGCTGTGTTTATTTTCTCAGGTGATCTTTCTGGCCCGTTCGATAGAGTACCATCTCGATGTAAGAATTTTTATATTTGAATTTTATGTGAGAAAATAATTTTCTTTGCTATCAAAGGGGACGAATTAAAGCAAACTGTATCGATTGTTGTTGACATAGCTAGTGTACTTGATCCGGATGGTGTTGATATTTATTTTCTTAATCGTGAGCCCTTATTTCATGTTCGTAGTTCATCAGAACTAATTTCTACATTTGCTGTTCCTCCGTCAGGTATGACGAACACGTAGAGAAAGAACACTTCATTCTATTTTTTTCAGGTCCAACACCCATTGTTCCCGTTCTGCGACGTGTACTTCGTGATAAACAAAATGAAATAGAAGAACGAAAATTATTGATACTTTTGGCAACCGACGGTGTACCAACTGATAATCAAGGTCATCGAGATATTCGTTCGTTTGAGTACGTTCTTAAAAATGAACGAAAACCTGTCAATCGTATACCTGTTACAATTATTGCTTGCACAGGTAAGATGGAAGGAAAAACGAATCCGTTTTAGCATTCGATAAAAACGTTTTTCTAGACGACAATGATTGTATTGGCTATTTGAATGATTGGGATAAAAAAATTTCTAATCTCGATGTTGTTGATGATTATAGAAATGAAAAACGAGAAATTCAAGCACGCCAAGGAAAACAATTTCCGTTTAGTTTTGGTGATGTAAGAAATAGAATTTTACCAAATTATTTTTATATGTGTATTTTTTTCCTATGTAGTATGTTGTTAAAATTCTCATGGGTGGTGTTGATAGTTGGTTTGACGATTTAGATGAAAAGAAAGCGACAACCGATGGCTACGGACGAACACTAGGAGGTGCCCGTTACAAGCGAAAAAAATCACAATGCATCATTCTCTAACAACAAAATCATATATTTGGATAACTCCGGCAATGAAAAATTAAAAATTTTGTTGCTTCTCTCAAATATTTTGGTTTAAGAGTCCACCGGAGATATCTAAATATTAGTAATTCGCTACTAATTAATTCCTTTATTAAATGTTTTTCACTTGCAATAAATCTTAATTTCATTTGAATAGACACACATTCGCCGTGGTGGCCTTTATCATGGTTGTCAAGCTTCTTCTGGCCGCCGTAATTTTGTTTTTCTAAATTTTTGATTATTATTTAACTGTGAAATACATGAAAAATAATTTCGAGTGATATGTTGCGTATAACCATGCGTTTCGATGTTCTTTCTTGTATAAAGTCCTATATCGAGTACGTTTATTGTGTTTTTGTTTTACTGAAATAATCTAACAGGCCGAAGAAAGTTCTTGTGCGTTTTAAAAACCTAACCCAGGTGTGTATAGATAACCATACTAATACTAACAATCGAGAGTTTTTCTGTTCTTCTTTTTTATCCTTATCTTTTTCTTTTGTTGTTGATAATACTGACATCAAACTTGCGTCAAAAATAAAGCAGCTTATTCACACTCAGCACTATTCATGCTGTTGATTGTGTTGCTGATTAATAAATGTATATATATATATATATATCGATCACATGTATGCTTTAAAAAGACAAACCATTTCTAGAGTTTCTTCTATTCAAACGACAACTCACCGTTCGCGTCAAATAAAAAGGCAATTGTAAGATGAAGAACAGCAAAAAATGAAAATATCTTACGCAGTTCTTTTTGCATCATAGGCAAAAACAATGTATCCACAGCAATACCCTACTCCTGCAGCACCACCGCCTCCTCAATACTCAAATCAAATGGGCTCGAATTCATTGCAAGAAACAAGCGATGATCGCATGGGAAAATTTCAATATCTTGTTGGCCGATATGAAATTAATCGAGAATTTGCAACGAGATTAAGAGGTTTAGAAGGCTATGAAATTGTATTCATTGTTGATGGTAAGAGGATCACTCATTCGTTTTTTAATTTTTTCCATTCACAGTCGAGAAAATAATTTCATCATCGTTATGATAGAAACCATAGATAATTTATTTATATATACTTCATTTGGAAGTACTAGAAAACATATTGATGCTTCTATTTTCTATGAAATAATTTCTTTTTCAATATATTTAGATTCTGGGTCGATGAATTCACCAGTTGGTAAGATAATTAATGCATCCAAAAATAGAAATATTCTTTCGGCTATTTTCTCAATATTTTTTCAAGTGCAAAATTTATAACTTGCTTTTATTCTTCTTCTTCTTCTTCTTCTTCAATACATTGCAGTTTTTAGAACCAATGAATTAATTTCACAAGTATTGATATAAGGAAAAAGAATTTTTAGAGTCCTGAAAAATGACTTTCTATTTAATGTGAGAACGATAGTCAAAAGAATATTTATTCTGAAGCATTGATTATTTATATTTCGATTGTAAATATTAGGTAATGCATCGGGCCCATACGATCGTAATCCAACGCGATGGGATGAACTTCGACAAACAGTTTCAATTGTAGTTGACATTGCTACGGTGTAAGTTAACTCGATTTTTATTCATTAAAATGAATTATTCTATATTTCTATCGTCAAGTTTTGACCCCAATGGAATTGGTAAATTAAAAAAAAATCTTTTTTTTTAATACTCATTTCGACTTTTATTATCCTAGACATTTTCTTTTTAAATCGTCAACCACTGTATAGTGTTAAAAATGCTGAGCAACTTGCCGTTGCGTTTGCTGTTCCACCAGCTGGTAAATGAGAATAAAAGAAAAAATAGTTATCTTACAATTAGGATATTATTACAGGACCAACTCCTATTGCTCGTGTATTGCGACAAGTTTTACAAGAGAAACGACTTGAAATTCAAGAACGTAAATTATTAGTATTAATCGCTACGGATGGTGTACCGACCAATGAGAATGGACAACAAGATATAAAAACATTGGAACATGTACTTCATCATGAACGCAATCCAATTAATCGCATCCCAGTCACAATTTTAACCTGTACAGATGATGCTGAAAGCGTTGGGTAATGAAATTTCTGCTCCTTGATTTTTTTGGTATTCATAATCCTTTATTGTTATAATAGTTATCTTAATAATTGGGATAAGAAAATACCGAACCTTGACGTTGCCGATGATTATAAATCAGAACGAGAAGAAATTCAGAAAGTTCAGGGAAAAAATTTCCCATTTAGTTTTGGTGATGTAAGTAGATAATTAGCTTTTCTGCTTATTGAAAAAGATATTCTATTTTTAATAAGTATGTTGTGAAAATACTTATGGGGGCTATTGATAATTGGTTCGATACACTCGATGAACGTCGTGTAAATTCCAATGCTCCACCAGTTCAACAGCGCACCAAAGGAAAAAAGACAAGCTCGTGCTCTATTTTGTGAAGAATAGCCAAAGAAAAACAAGCCCTAAACTTATCATTGCTGATCTGTTTTAATGGATTGTATTACATTTATGCTCATAATTTTCTGTTCGTTCTGTGTGTGAATGCAAATTCTGTTTATTATTTGTGATAAATCAATTGATATCGAAAAAATGGAAAATTCATTGTAATCAATTTTTCTATACAATAATAAAATATCATGACCAAAAGTTTTGTTTTTATGGAATAAGCTTTTCATGAAGCATGAAATTCTTAAGACTATTGAAAGACATTCCTCCAAGAATCGGCGCATCTCAAGTAACCAAATGATCGAAAGGTTTTCCAATTTCGCATTGATGCTAACCTCATAGTTGCTTAGCGAACATAATGGCTGACTCTCAATTATGTTTCTGTTCTTGTTCGTCATTCTGAATGAATCTCCGATGTCTTGTTGTGTCCAATCCAATCATCATTCGAACGAAATCCGATGAAGTGATCCTCAAGATAATGCCAGACAGGGTAGGCTCAAACGGCGTAGTTACAATAGTCTGACTGGCTATTGCTGAATAGGGTAAATATAATTTTCGCGTAGTTCATTCTATGTAATGATGCTTAGTGATTGAAGAAAATAGGGTATGCTTTGTCTCTTATTCTTCTTTATTTAGAACGTCCCTCGAGGATAAGACGACATGGGAAACTCAATTACAAATTTATATCAACGATTTTTTAAAATACAATTATCAATCTGCGCTACATCTTTATGTTCAAAGCGTAGGACATCATTTCGCTCATACAACAAGACAGTCATTTCTATTTATGGTTCGGATGAGTGCTGACGCATTACGAATTAACGTCATTTCGTCCGAAAACAAACTGACTCATACGTCATGATGAATGTTGTTTGTCTCTATCACCAAGCATACTTCTACGATAATAGAATTTATGTATTGGAAGTTTCCATGCGCAACGAACAAACTTGAGTACAAAAAAAAGCGATTTCTTTTCAAAGAAAAGTATAACAAAAGATATCGAGTAGATTCGTTTTTCAAACAAGGAACTAGCCTATGCAAGTGATCTATTGAATAACTGCTAAAAATCGAAATCGATATTTGTTTATGATCTGATTTTACTCGAGAGTTTCAATCAAAATTTTTCCACCACCGTCACTCCTTGTTTATTCTTCTTCTGGAAGATTTACATGATTAAAAAAAAGAAATGTTTATTTAACTGTATTGACTTTTCGCTTCAATGAATTTTTAATCGTCGCAGTTTTCTAAAATAAAATCATTGAAAGCAAAGATTAAATTTATTCAAACATCACTTGATCGTACTTTTATTTTCCGACAAGACCAAAGTCCATTGGCAATGTATCCGGGTGCACATGCGCACTTACCATTAACACACAATGCATTGGTAACGAGGCCACCGCAATTTCTATTCGAATGGCAGCTGTAACCCAGCAAACTATCGTAGGAAATCATTTCAGCGACGGTTGTCGGTGGTACTAAGGTCGAATCACCATGATAATGAACACTTGCCGGGAGAGCAGTAGCTGCAGCAAAGATCAAGAACATAAAAAATCTCATTGGAAATCTATAAATAAAACTGTTTACTACAAAAGTATAGAGAGAGAAAAATATATGTTAAGGAGCACTTATATCTAACTCGATATCATAGCCATTATTGTTGTCTTGTAAAATAGACATTTTTTAGATCTTCGAAATTTCGTGCAGCAAATAAAAACGATTCTCTTGAAATGACAGATTCAATAGAAATATGCATTTTTTATTTACACTTTCATCTAATGTATTCCATATTGTTTTTCATAGAGCGAACCTATCAGCGAATCAATGCATCTGTCGCACGAACTGCAACGTATTTTAATACAATGATTCAGCGTCATCTGATCTAATGTTATGAACAAATCCCGCATTATTTGAATTCATTTTTTTCGGGTTGAAATGCAACTGTCGGAAGTGCTTGCGCGGAAAAGTTAGCAAATTGTATCTGATCCGGATTGCTGTCTTTTTATTTTTATGAGATTACATTGAGATAAATATTAGAGAATCATATCTTTGCAAAATGTAAGTGATCTTCAAAAAAAAACACAGTTGCCTGGATGTATACAAGTTTAATATGTAACCATCAAGAAAGTATTTCTTTTGAGTACAATACAAGTGTTGCGATCAACGTAAGGGTATTTCTTTTTTTTTGTGTCGATTTTTCATGCAATGTGAATCAATCGACCTTGTATGCGCAATCGATAAGAAAAAATGGTTCATTGAATTAGCTTTCTTGAAGTAAATACTTATACTTTCATAAAATATAACAGTGCAAGTTATGATTTGCTTTTTCTTAACTATGCTATAGTGTGTGTATAGATGTCTGGTAATATTGATACATAACTTGAGGAAAAAATAAGCACGAATAGATAGCAGGATGCAATCGAATGAGTCATTTTGTGCGTATTATGTAAAGAAAGAAAAACAATGGTAACAATATGTTCGCTTCATAAGGTTTATTCAACTCCGCGTGCATGTAGAGAATATAACTATTACGTGCTTTATCTTCACTATCGGTCAACGCTAAATTATCAATGGATGAAAAAAGGTAAAAAAAAGTATTTTTCATATCCATTTCGAGAAGCACATTTGCTGATGAGGAAAAACGATAATAGAACTTCTCAGATACTCCTTGTTTTTTTCTGAAACATTCGATAATATAATTGTGCTCGTGTAACTAGATATTAGTTAAAGGGCACGAATAAGGTCGAAAAATTTATTTTCCCTCGAAATGAATAAAGATCAATTTTTTTCTGTTTCTTATCAGTTTACTATTAAGCACAATGGTGTAATGCAACGGTTGCAAATAAAAAATGTGTTTGCATTATTTTTAGTTCAACAATTGAATTCGACACAACTAAAAATCTACGTGAAGTCGAAATGAAAGATGACAAGAGCAAAGAAGCGACTATCGAGAAATTAATCGAACCGACAGTTACAATAAATATCGACAAACCTGTTGAATCATCTCCAACATTGATCGCACGTTTCGCAGGAATCGTTTATATATTATTATCAGCTATTATTTTTACAGGTTCCTTGTTTATATCAAAACAATTAAAAGTAGACGTACTTGATGCTATAATACCCTGCTATGCATTGCATTCCGCGATATTGATTATCTACAGTAAATTTATAAAACATTATTCATTCTATGAACACTCAAAAAGACAAGAACTATTTTATTTATTTATTAACGTTTTTTTCTCTACAACGGGTGTTTTTTCTTTTTACTTTGCTTATCGTTATTTGCCATTGCCAGATTTAATAACAGTACGTTATACACAAGTTATTTGGACGACCATTATAACTGCGTTGCTCTACCGCGAAAAACCGTCGATACCAATGGTAATAGCTATTCTATTAACAAGTGCTGGCGTAGTGTTTGTTGCTCAGCCGAGTTTTTTGTTTAATTCAACATTAAGCAAATCAAAAACTCATGTTGAACGTCTAATAGGTTTATTCATTGCATTATATTCTTCCGTAGCACTATCCATAATGATAATATCAAATAAACATTTACTATTGAAATACAAAACAAAACACAGTTCAATAATGGTGCACTATGCAGTTGTGACATTGATTGTTTTAGTTGCTAAAGTAGTTTATAGTTTTAACATTTTTACCGATGGCATGGAATCATTTAGGAATTATTTTTTTACTTGGAATTATCTGTTTGCTTCATTGGTTTGCTTATTGCATATAGTTGCAATAGTATTAACACAAAAAGCAGTTAAACGTGAGCATCCAGCAATATTTACAATAGTTCAATCAAGCAATATTTTGTTCTCTCTTATATTACAAAATATTTTTTCATCAACAAAATCTAATCTTTTATCAATAGCTGGTTCAATACTTGTTCTAGCAAGTATAGTAATCATAACTGGATTGAAATATTTTAAAGAAAAAAAACAAGTGAAACAGTAGATTATAAATATATTCTATCGAAAAAGATTCTTTTTTTCAAATGTGTTGGATTTGAATAGAATAGCATCATTTGCTTTTTTTTTATGAATAAACTATTGATGAATTATTTAATCAACTGTACGATAATTCTGGAGAACACAAATCAAATGCTAACAAGGAATGGTAGTCGTATGTATGAGAACATGGAATGAAATAATAGTAAAAGGTGTGAGTGTATAGATGTGGATGAATATTAGGTGACATCCACATCCGAAATCTATCAGTCGATAATGTTTTCATTGACTAATATTTGAGTTAGTTCATGAAGTAGCCGAAAATCTGTATCTCAGTGTATTGGTGCACGCTGATCAGCAATAATAAAACGGTAGTTGAGGTATGGAACGGTATTGGAGACTATCTGCAGATTTCCCCATGCAGTTCGAGTGGGTATCTCATTTGAATCTATGCCTGTCGATCATGTCGTTAACGATACTACCTTCAATAGTAACCAATGTGGGATCCTATGCTGGTAGGGATGCACCAGTACCAGTATTATACTGGTCTACTGGCCCAGTAAATACTGATCACCAGTAATACTGGTTTCTACTTTCGAAAATAACTATTAGCTAAATGAGTCATTTTATCAGCCACCACTTCGTTTATCTATATTCAAGTGAAAAATTGAGTTTTGCAGCAGTTTGCAACAGTATAATATATTGTATACTCAACTAACTGATAGCGTTATCTAGAGCATTTTTCAATGGTTTTCAATGTTTCTGAAGAAAAAATAATCTCATTCATGGACTTAGTCAGATAGTAAAACAATCTTATGAGATAAACCGATGAATCTGAATACTGTGCTTAACATACCAACTTGAACTTAGGTTTAATGGATCACAAAAACAAGAATTGTATATTTAGTGAACTTTATCAACTTTTAGTTACATAAATCTCATACAAGTAAATGGCTTGATTTTTCTACTTCTCTCTCAGTCGAATGACACTATTTTCACATATTTATTGCATTCGTTTATGTATATAAGTTGCATAGCTAAAGCTAGACATTTTTTTGTTCACGATATCGGATATGGACCAGATAATACATGTATTAAATGAAAATTACAGCACGGTAAACAAGCAATGTCACTATTACCTGTTCAATTTTGTAACGATACCAATAGTTTGAGAGAATCCTTTAACTTATGTAATCAAAAATGCTGTCCTTCACTCTTTATCGTTTTGGATTTATACATACAAGTTGAAGCTGACACATCAATATAGTAGTTTTATTAGTATTGAATAAAATCAGTGCATAAGTTGCCCTCGTATCAATAGTATTTTCTTATTTAATACTAATACGTGTGACAATTGTTATTCTTTCCAACATATACATTTATTGTTTTCTCGATTGACCGACTTTTAGTGCTATATAATATGCCCAATATAAATTTTCGAGCACAGTTTCTTTTTTTACCATGACTACGACCTGAATTAATGATCTTTTTTCTTCAAACATGTTGGAAAACATTGAAAAATGTTCTAGATAACGCTATCAGTTAGTTGAGTATACAACATCTTATACTGTTGCAAACTGCTGCAAAACTCAATTTTTCACTTGAATATAGATAAAGGAAGTGATGGCTGATAAAATGACTCATTTAGCTAATAGTTATTTTCGAAAGTAGAAACCAGTACTACTGGCACTGGTGCATCCCTATATGCTGGGTCGTCGAGCGCTGTGCCGAACTGAAATCCTTGTAATACAGATAGATCGCCACTTTGAGGAATTGCTATGAAACCAGTGTCCATGCCATTCCCTCGTTCAAAGATGGGTGTGGGTGTGATTTGGATTAAGATACAACACCCACACACACCCTCAACGCTTGGACGTCGCTTGCATTGATGCAGTAGATACACCATCGGCATGGTATCTACAAGTTGGACATCTATTTCTTGTGCTTGGTGATTTCAACCTACAATCATAAAGAAAATTGTGGAATCTAGCACACGAGCAAACTGCATATCAATTATTAAGTGTTAAGCTTTCTTCCCGAAGGATTCATTCAATTAGGTTACTATGTTTGGGTTTATCAAGAGGGATAAACTCGTCATATTTTTCATGTTTATATGAATCTACCTGGTGTATGTACATATTGCATAGGAATGAAATTCACTACTGTTGTCATTCAACGGAATTAATTCGAGACCAATGACGAAAAATTTTTTAATCTGAAGAAGTTTATTGTAAAGAAATGTTATTGGCCTCGTTGATAACTGTGATTGAGGACGTATAGGGTTTGCCATATCAATGAAAAAACAAGCCCAACTAAATGCTGATTTGGTTTCCCCCTTTCTTCTGCTATTGTCCTGTTTCACTTCTTTAGACTAACTCGCATCATTTGATAGTTTTCGATGTCGATCATATGAAGTCTATCAATTAATCGACAACAATCCTTTACGGTAAATTAATTGGACCAAGCTATTGTCGACTGGCAGGCAAAATAAAATTCAAAATAATTACTATCCATTGACAGGAGTATCCTCACCATAATCACAAACTGAAAAATTTTGATTCTTGTCTCTTGGTTGATAGCATTTGACTTCATGCTTTTCCATCTCAAAGATAGAGAGATTTTCCTGGTCATCCACAGTCAATCTCTCACACAGTATGTCGTCAATGTAAACCATCCGATAATTCGAGTAATCACCAGTAAAAAGCCTTTGGCCTTGCTCAATGAAAGATATTTAGTATTATCAAATTCTTTATTGTAAGATCTATTAATTTCGTTTTTTTGGTGCACGATAATCTCGTGTTTATAAATTTGTTGTGGACGTAAGAAAGATGGACGATATCCTAGAGTTTTTATTCCTTTCAATGATTGACTCAATAAAAAAATATCTACTAACAAATAATCACATGCCGTCAAAAGCTCGACTACTATGTGACTTGTTGTGAGTCGATGAGATTATTTTCTGAGAGATGGAGCTCTCTTTGCGTTGCTTCTTGTGTTAGAACGTGCGGTTAGATGGGATGTGGGTGTGCATGACGGAGAGTAAGAGACTTATACCCACACCCACACCCTCTTCAGTAATTATTTTTATATCCATATTTATTTTAATACCAAGGCTGATCAAAACGGACTCGTTTACAGTCTGTTTATCGACGGTAAACGATGCCAAAACGGTATATTTACGGCAGTAAATAGGCCGGGTGTGGGTGTGGGTGTTGCAATAAAAAAATCACGTCCATACCCGCACCCTCAAGCTGTTTCATACCCATGCACACTCTTCCACCATCACTCACCCTGTAATCTACTCATGGCAATATGTCTTTCTTAGTTTTTGTTGATAATTTGTGTATAGTATTACCTTGATGACTATCCCGAAAAAAATATCGGCTGCCTGACGAAAGTTCAAATATAATTAATTTTTTGTTTAAAATTCTCACGCACATTCTTCTTTGACCTGTTTGACTGTCTTGTCACAATATTGTTCTAGCTACAAAGAACTCCTAAAGATAAGATAAAATTTAAAGAAGTACAATGAGATAGTAATGTATACACTTAAATGTTTTCTTTTTGTTTCAATTAGTTACCATGATTGTGTATATTTTTATCGAAACGTACTTCCTTTTTAAGGGGCATATATTAGCAGTGTTCTCATTTGCATGAGTATATATTTTTTTCTTTCATTGCTTGATATTTCACTTCGAACCTAAAACTCGCATGAGAACACTTTTCATATTGTGAATTAGTCGCAATGATTAAATCCTCGTTAATACAGTCAAATTTTACCAACGTTTAGTTATAGTAATACATGCATTTTTTCGATTATATGAACCCTAGACTGGAATCTATAGCATCATGATATTTGAGTAAGTGTGTTAACTTCTTCTTTTTTCAAATGAAAATTGATAAAACCTAGCGAATGCATTCCTGATTTAATGCAGCAAGTGATGATGAAAAGCTAAATATGACAGTTAAAATATTCACTCATTTATCATGTAGAATGAGTTAAAAGCGATGATTTTTAGTTTCTTTAGCGAAGGTTTTACTGAGTTTCTAGAAGTTCTGCATGTATTTACCTCAGTGTGATAGAAGTCGTTACACAATCCATTGTCCAGTGAGAGTTTTGCTAGGTGAAATAATGTGTAAAGATTCATTTGAAAATTTCAAAACTCTTGTACACTTAGGTATCTGACGACTTACTACTACTATTAGAAATACAGGGAGATGTGCTGATAGAAATATCAAATATCGTCTTTGTTCAAGGTAATCATCACTCATACGTTGATAGTTTGCCTGAGAGATTACTGAATATGTAATTCTGACACTGTATAAATGTATTGAGCATTCACCAGCTGTTGCGAAGTGTAGAGAAAATTCTCGCTTTTAGCATACAGTAGTATTTTTATACCTGCGAGCAAAGATAGTAAATTTATACTTAGAAAACACATCACACCTTTGGATTCTAGAGAAAAACTGTTTATCTGATCATATTACTTTGTTTTAGAGTGAACTATTGGATCAACGAACTGAAGTCATGCCATTGTCCCCAAGTGAAAAATATTTATATAACATGTATTACAATACTGCAGGGAATGCTTATATAGTGTTACTAGTATTGATTTATGTTATCATACTTTGTCTAGGAAAATACTGGTGCCAGTTGTTCTATTGGATTATTGAGGGACTACTTGACATAAAAGCAAGCAATATTGATGAAAACGAAGAGCATACTGAAAACATCCAGGCAGTGACACAGGCAAATGTTAATGAATCTGTTGAATCACCAGCAAAAAAACGAAGGACCAAAGTATTGATAGACTTTTATGGCAAAAAGATTGCGTTTGAAAATAAATTTTTCTCGTTGGTGAAATTATCGTTCGACTGGTTGATTGTATGCATCCTGAACTCTATATCACTTATATTCATTATTAGATTCATTGTACCAGAGAGCACTAAACTGAGGAATGCTTTGTGTCCGCCATACGATGTTACAGATTGTTTTGAGTTCACGCTGGGAAAAGATCAACCGGACAGCTATATTCAGTGCTATGCTGAGGAGAAAATCAACACAACATTTAATAGTACCATTGTGTGTTATTGGTGGACCTGGAAGAATTATGATGTAATTTACTTTATTGAGCGGATTGGAGTGTGTTTTTCCGTACTATATGTACTTAAATACTATTTGAAATTGGTTCTTGTAGTCAACTTATTTGCTAACGAACGCCATAAAGGTATTGCTGCGGGTTTATTTGTTAAATTGGCCTCTATTATGGGACTACATCATTCCATAATGAAACATCAACAAGATCCAAGCATGTTTAAACGTCCTTACTTACAATTCGCAATTCTTATCTTTGATCTCTCGATATGTATTTTGGTTTTAGTACTTATCGGTCTAAACTGCTCGAAAAGAATAGACATATCAGATACAGTTCCCATGCTATTAATGAACTTAGTTATCATGCATAGCACGATTACTGCTATAGCTTACGCAGTCGATGCGAAAGATTGGGTTGCACTTTTAAAAGGTCCGAGGAGCATATCTCCGACGAGCATTTCAATCAGCGATAATAATAGAACGGAAGAACTTCAATTCGAAACAGATGTTGCTTTAACCAGAAAGACTCGACGTAAACGCAGTCGCCAAGCAGCTCCGGGTTCTGACAAAATGGTAAACATTCAATGAGCCACACAAAAACACCACTGGAAGAACCTGAGCAGCGACTTTAATTGCTGAAGTGTTTAGGACAGAGAATTTCAGTGTGGACGCCGATTACACTGATTAATGGTATTTATTTGTATATTAAATCAATACTGAACCTTTTTTGAAATTTTGGTTAGTTTTTGATTAAACGAAATAGATATTTCATCAATTTTGTATTTATCACTTGAAATAATAATAATCTACTCTTTGCTCAGTGTGTGGGATAATCAATAGCATAGGTACCAGCAAATAGTAATCCTTCACTATGACAGATTTGTAGGTGGCCGGACAAAAGACCGCCAGGGAAATTGTTTGTAACATTGAGCTGTGCTAGATATTTATAAATCAGATCGACTTGCTAAAGTATGATGCCAGGATATGCATGTAGGGTGCACGATGCTGATGTGGGTTTAGCGAGTTGATAATTTCACTGGGTCTGCATGTTTCAGGCATGTTAGCTGGATTTCATTATTTACGCGCCTTCGCAGCTCAGGTGAGATCTCACTGCTGTTCTGATCAGTCAAATAGCTGGAGTTAAATTAACAGTAAAACTGGTATTTCACAGAATGCGCATATCTTGAAAATCCACAGGGTGCCTGAGTGTGAGTATCTTGTGTTTTTATGTACCCCCACACCCTCAAGATATGAAGTTATCTCTAGTCGAATCCTAATTTTCTCTCGCCACAATCATGATTTCAATGCTGCCCGCAGAAAATCCTGGTCTGTACTTGAATTCTAGTTCCAACTAGGCAAGATTAGAATTAGAATTTTGCTCTAAATATATTTTTTAATTTTGTTTTGTTAATTTATTTATATGTATTAACAGTATTTAATGAGATATAAAGAAATAAAACATACTAATTGTTGTAGGGGACTGAGAAACTACCTAAAAGATCATTTTTTAAGATAGATTTGGCTGACTCACGAATCTCTGATATGTATAACTAGAGACAGTTTCAATCAAAAAAATAGTTTCCTATTACCGCGCAACGATAACACAGCAAGGGAGTGGGTATGGTATAAGGGACTGCTCGATTAGTTAAATACCAATGGAGCCACACCTACACCCTTTATATCATACATAGACTTAGTACTAGATTCGTATCTATATATTTTTCCTAAAATCATCAATTAGAGATTGAGTATTATTTATTTATGATAAATCAAATAACCAATTCTATTAATATAAGCAAATTATTTAGATATCATAACCATAAAACAAAATTTAGTATAATAATAATCGATATGCTTCTCTATTTAGCGTTAACTCTAGTATTCAGCATGTAACACGCGCTAATCGTCGACACAAACATAAATACGGTATCTAATAGCTATATATACAAAAAAATAATACATGTGACTTGATTTGAGAATCTAAAATAAAATCAATAGAAACAAATATTATATATCCATCGTCGGTAATGTTTGATCAAGATTTGTATCTTTCAAAGGCGACAATGAAGAGGATGTTTGAATAGTAGTTGAAAGAGATTTAGAATTTGAAAAATCTTCCGTTTTAAAAATATTAAATCCATTGCAAGATGATTGAAACAAAGACAATGGAAATGATCGATATGGAACTTTTGTCATATATAGCGAATGATGCATTTTGGTGGTTCGTTTAACAGGCTGTTGATCACTGCTAGAAATATAATTTTAAACTATTGTAAAGACAAAGAAAAAAATTCAACACACGTGGCTTTAGTTTTTGTTACACTTGGAAATGTATTTGTCTCAGTTAATGCACATTGAATATCACGAGTAAGTCGATCAAAACTGGCGTCTGCTTTTTTTAAAATGGTTTTTGATGAAGATTTTTCAATTGATTCTACATTTATTGATTCTACTGAATTGATGTTTGAATGCATCATTAAATTATCTTCATCTCTTATTTCACTGTTACTTAAACTATCATTAGCATTTGATAGTGACATATCATCCGGGCAAAATAATTCATTTTCATCAACACATTCAGGTCCTATTGTTTCATTTAATAATTTCATATTCATAACTTTAAGTCGACTACGCCGTTGAACATAATTCCATCGACGTGCAATTTGTGATGTTTGTTTAGAATTCGTTACAAAAGATTCTATTTGATCAGAATTTCCATCAGAATTAACATAAACAAGTGGTGAGCCAAGTTGTTCATTAATATCAATTGATTTCTAGCATAAGAGAGAAAATAATGAAATATTTCAATAGGAACACAAAAAAGATATTTTTCTATCAGTTCTCTGCCCATATTTGAGATAGTTAAAATGTATCAGGCGCAAAAAGAGAGACGGTCAAGACTAGCATATGCCACTGCAGTACAGTGGGCTACATTTTTCAGTCCATGCTTTTTTTAAAAATATATATTGAATGGATAAATTTCGAAAAATCCTCAGCAATATACCTACTTAAATTCTAATATCTTCTCTAAGTCTTGTTCACTCATTAAAATTACTTACATATTGTGTGAGTGTTCTTGTTCGTTGATGATTTTTTGTTGGTGATCGATGACGGCGATGAAGTAAACGAGTAATTTGGTTAGGTAGTTGTAAATTGAATTTCGTTGTTTCTGAATTAATATCACTTTTATATTCATCATCAGTATCTGAATCAATATTAAATTCATCGTGGGAATCGAAAATTTTTTTCATATCGAATCGAATATGTCGCTGACGACCACGTTGACTTATATTATATGTAGTAGTAGTTTCATCAGTAGTACAAGACGATGATAGATTAGTATTATCATTTATTTGAAATGCTAATTCGTCATTATTCATAGAATTTTCGTGCTCAGATTCTGTAATACTCTCATCACTGGTATAAACTTTTGGTTTAATTTTTCGTGGCGAAGATTTTTTTAGCATACACATTCTTCGTGTTGTTTCAGTTTGATGCAAATTAATTAATAATTCTTTGAATTTTTCAATTAAACTATTGGATAATTTTCTATGTTCACACAATGGACAAAACCATTCATGTTGAGGTACCGATAAAAGTACAGGATGTAAACATTCTAAATGATAAGCACCATTACAACCATCACATATTAGTAAAACTTCCGGTTGATCATCTTTTGAGCATTTACAACAAAATATTATAAGGGCTGATGTTTGAGCTGTTTTAGCTGAACGAAATTCTATCGTTTTTTCATCAACTTCTTCTAATTGGAATAAATTGTTATCGAAATCAATTTGCGATTGGTCAGGAAGATAATCGTCGGAATCGTATTCATCTTCGGATGAATAATCGACATGTTCATCTGAACTTGATGTCGATGAGTATGGATAATCGTGCCTTCGAGATTTCGTTTTACGACGAATGTTTGAAAGATTCTTTTTACTTTTTGTTGGGCGTTTCTTTTTTGCACTAGAAGCCTGAAATGATTTTTGGATTAGATTCGTGTTTACAATGTACTATTGGTTTAAACCTGCGGAATAGTTGTTGTTGGTTTTCGAAGTCGCGATGATCGACGTATCGAAGGACAAACATCATCAATAGACGATTCTTCTTGTTGATCACTATTACGATTCTCTTCTATCGATTCGAAGTCTTTATACATATTTAATGAGTTTTGTGAAGCTGTTGATTGTCGACGTGTTTTCTTTATTGGGAAATCTGTATCACTATCATCAGTCAACATAGTTTGCATTTCTTCTGTTAGACTGACTGAAGTAGGAAAATAATTTTGCTCAAAGTCATCTGATGTTAGTACAGGAGAAAATTGTTCACAATTAACAATCCAATCTATTGAGTAAAATAAACAATAGAGAATTTTAATTTCGCATTTTTCCTACCAGGAAATTTCTTTCGAACTACACGGTCAGCAATTAATATTTCAATAAATTTTTTTAATTCATCTCGGTTTCTACAAAATGGAATAAAGAAATCTTTCCGATTGTAACTAGTTTTTCTACTCACGTCGCAATATTAGTCCATGTTCGATCGACATCAATATCTTCGCGAAATAACCGCACGAAACAATCTTTATCCTATGATAATTCAATCGAAATCTTCATTACTACATTAAATAAATTTTCATACCATAAAAAGCCAATACGAAACTCCAAAACGATCACGACCTAATGGTGAAGATTTGAGTTCATAGGCGGATTTATCAATTAAACATTTTTTTAACATCTGCTTTGTTTCAAATTGACTTTCGAGTAAATTCTAAAAATAAAATTTACATAAAAGTGATGAGTACGCATACAGATAATTACTATTTCGTATGTTGATTTACCTTTATTATTCGAATTTTTATATTGACATTTGCTTTTAAATAGCCAGTTGTTTTTATATGTTCACTGTCGTTGACATCAAATCGAGCAGCAAACTATTTGCGAGCAAAACAAAAATAGAAGAAGAAAAAGAAGAAAAAGATTGATTTACTTTAGTAACAATTGAATCGAACTTGTCACGCTGAGCATTTCTTGCCAGAGATAATCGTTTAAGAAGAGTGAAATGAAAGTCAATAAGACGTGATGAATCTTAATTTAAACAAGATCTTTATTCGAGACTAATTATCTATTGAAGAAATTTACTTTTCCCTTCGCAATTAACAAGATGATCTTCAAAACGTTGTAATAAATAATTCGGTAAATCAAGTATTGATCGAAACTTATCCAGGAAATAAAGCACTACTCCATAATTTGGATCATTGAGCAAAGCTTTTCGTCGTCGATCCTTCTCAATATCATTTTCGTTTACACAGATTTCAATGCATTGATGCTTGATAGTCATTCGTTGAATGGGTCGGTTTTTAACGCTTGGTGTGAAATTACAATCATACAAATGATAGAAAATTAATATTTTACATTTAAATTCTGTGGTCAGATAAACATATTTATACTTTATAATAAAAATTTATTTCTTCATATTTCCTCATCTTTGCAGTTTGATTATTATCACAAGTATTTTATTTCATCATCTGATGCAATGGAATGGAATTTTATGTGCAATAATGATTGGTGACTATGACATCATAGATGTCACCATCAACATTACGTTTGACGTACAGATGATGGCAATGAAATTTCTAATCCAGAACTAGACCATGATTTTTTTCTTTTCATTATTATTTTCTTACGAAGAACGTTCAAACTGCTCCTTTTTATGTGGGTTTCTAATAAAACTAGGGGTCAGTGAAATTACCTTTTTCCCCATTTCTGGGCCCTTATGAGCATTCGTATGTCAGCGCGCGGAAAGACATGTTCATCATGTTTCAATCAAAATGCTTTTAGTTTTTGCAATCATCCTACTAGTAATCTCTGTTGAAAAAGTTTGACAATGAATATTATTTATTTATAAATATACAATGCGTACTAAAGCACAAAACTTAAAATATGTTTTTAAAAAATGAATTATCCCGAGTTATTCTTGAGAATGCGACTGGTACCAATTGCTGAAGCGACAATAGAATAGATAATATAGGCCCAAATTGCAGTACCCACTAGAGAAACGAAGATGTTCCATAGAAGCGTGATGGTACTTAATTTTTTCGCTTTGTTGAAATCTTCTTCCTCGAGCACGTTTTCGCACAACAAGGGACAGTACAATTGCTATCATACCAAATAATAAAAAACCTAGAACAGTGTTCACGATTGACCATCGAAGATATTGACGTATTTTTCCAGGTGCCACTATTACTTGATTCTGATATGAAAATCTATTTATTTGTGGTTGTGGTATCGTGTAGGCTCGAGCCTTTGAATTCATTGCTTCCTCCAAATTTTCCATTATCTTTTTACCGCGTTCAGCTGTTTCCGATTGGAATATTGTAGTGTTATAGATATATTCTTATGGATTATCTTTTTTCTACCCTACAGTACGCAATCGAATTTTTCGTTAATACAACGTGAATGAGTACCGTAAGAAAATATTTAACAAAAGAATCAGTAGACATGATGAAAACATTTTGTATTCATGACAAACGTACAGACGAAAGGATAATTGGTATTGGATAGGAAGTGAGTTGTTTGAGATATGTAGAAAAACCGAACAAAATGCTAATCACATGGCATTCTTCGTGTATAAGAGTTTTTTTCCTCATTATTATGACGTTTTTTAAACAAATAAACTTCTATTTACACAACTACCGAAAAATAAATTCTGTCACTGTCAAAACATAGCACATATTAACTGACATCGAACAAGACAAATAAACTCTCATTTCAACAATACTATTCATAATTCACGGGCAGAGTCAATCGGACACAGAAAAATCTTATCTCGATGCATATCAATCCCCTCGAAATATATTATTTCATGTAGACATGCTTCCATTAATTTTTCAGTTGGTTTAATCATGTAGAGAATGAATGCTCTTATACTGACAACATTACGCAGAGAGAGAGATTAAACTCGAAGACGAAGTAAATTCAACCAATACAGCTACGGAGTTTAACACGACCAGAGACTTTAGGAGACCAAAAATTTGACTAAAAAGTTTGGATGTAACAATCTACTGTGACGTAATTGTTTATTATCAAGAAAATCTGCTCTAAACATATCATAGTTCTATTGCAGTCATCTACGTAACTGAGCAAGATTGAAAGAATGTTAACATTGTTGTTAAGATCAATTATAAAAGTCAGAGGATCTTCAAGTATTGTATAAAACAAAACCAAACAGAACAGACACATGTGTTTTGTCATGATAAATCAATTTCATATTTGGCTACTTATATGTGCGTAAGCCTGTACTTTTGATAATAGATAAAAGTTGTTATGCCGGATTTGAAAACAATGGTCTGCTATTTGCTGTAGCATCACTCCCCAGGTCGAAAATCCAGACGTCAGATCGTGTAAGGCCGTATAAGATCTTATCCTTATAAGATTTTTCGTATGATTTTGATACAAGATCATACAATATCTGACGTGTTCGTTTTTTCTAAGATTTCGTCAGATTCTGTCTGTAAGATGCTAGCAAAAAATCTTATAAGATTTGAACATTAAGAATCGTATACGAACAGGCTGCACGATTCTTGCTTGATCGTAAAAGATCATATAAGATTCATGATAAAAGAAACATGCATACGTACGTAATGTAAATCTTGTCTGTTATTATCTGATCGTGTATGATCTACCAATTTCTTTTACTTATTCAAGAACTATTGATTTACTTGATTTTATTAAGAAGAATAGTAGTTAAAAAGCAGTATGAAGCTGTGTGCGTATTAGTTTTCTATACTAGCACTATAAAAAAGAGTTTCTTGCACTTCGCGTTTTTTTCTGTACAGTGAGAAAATAGAAAACTTTTACTTCTATTTCATATTTATCTGTATTCAAACCATATAACTAACAGTTAGTTTTGTATATTACTTTTCTATATTAAAAATTCAGAGAATCCCATTTCTAGATTTTTACTTTCCTATATTAATGATATCAAAAAAATGAACTTTCACTTCTTATTTTCTATATACATAATGTAGAAAACCTTAATTTTCATGTTTCTTTCTGCATTGATAATAAGGAGGGTGCCAATTTTTACCTCTTTTTTTTAGTCTTAGCATTGTGCAAATGACAATTTTTACTTCTTTTTTTTTAGTCTTAGCATTGTGCAAATGACAATTTTTACTTCTTATTTTTTAGTCTTAGCATTGTGCAAATGACAATTTTTACTTCTTATTTTTTAGTCTTAGTATTGTGCAAATGACAATTTTTATTGATTGTTCTTCTATATTAACAGCATAGAAAGCAATAAGTTGTATTTCGTATTCTTCTCAGTTCGTAATATAGAATATTCCATTGTTTTTCTATATTTTTGTATTGATAACATCCAAAGTCTTAATTTTAACACCCAGTTTTCTATGTTAACTCTACAAAAAGTCATATTTTTGCTTTCTTCGTTTTCTGTATAGATATTATTGCAAGTGTTACTTTTCATTTCTTATTTTTCTATATTCATAATACAGAGAACTCTTGTTTCATTTTTATTTTTTCTATAGTGACAATATAGAAAAACTTAATTCTCAATTGCGATTTTCCTAGAGTGATAATATCGAAAATTCTACGTTTTGTTTTTCAATGTTCTATATTAATGATTTACAAAATTTTCATTTTCATTTCTTATTTTTCTGTGTGGGAAATGTAGATAATCGAAATTCTTATTGGTAAATTTTCATTATTAATAGCATAAAGAATAAAGATTTCTGTGCATCAGCTTTTGTGACTATTATCTTATGAATTTTTTGTTTAATGGTAACTTCCAATGCAGGTGCCTGTATACTGCGTTCAATAAATAAAGTGTCCTTAGCTAGGTAATATCTACTACCCTGAAGAAAATTGTGTCTGGTGAAACCTTTAAGGTTCACCAGTATTTTGTAATACTTTGAAAACATTCGTACGCGTCTCCGAAAATTTTCAAAGGTTTCGTGCTAAAAAACGTTTTGTAAAATACGCCTGTGATTTTTCAAAAGCGTCAAAGGTTCAGTATGGAACCATTTTAGGTTTCGTAGTCAACCGGGTTTGGTATCATACCGCACTGAATTTTGACAATCATCAAAGGTTTCGCAACCCACACCTTCCACAAAAGGAACCGCTAATGAGCTTTAATTTTGACCGTACCGTCAAAAAGGGAGCTTCCATCCAAAACAAAACCTACTCGCAATCCCTCAAACAAGCCTTTCCGGATTTCCAAGAGTGCTTTCAAGAACATTCAGCGTTTTCTAAAATCTCTCTTAGGTTTCTTAACCTCCTTAGTGTTGAAAAAGCAAATAAGAAACACCACAATTGGTTTCCAAGGTTCTGCTCCAAATTGCAAAAAAATTCACACAGCTTTAAAAATCTTTAATGCTTCAAAAAGTAGACTATAATTCGACCTTCTAATATCTTAGCAGAAATTTTACACCAGCAAAATTGGACCGCTGAGAAATAAGACTTTATTTCAATTCTTTTCTGTATTCTGATAAAACTTCACAATAGGTTATCGAGGCCTAGGAAAACAAATCCGTCGTCTTTTTTTCGATCCAAACTTCCCATAGTCAGAAACTAAATGCAAAAAAAACACAAATTGATTTTCTTACATTAAAATTTGTTTCTTACATTGAGAAGTGCGTGAAAATTTCAGTTGCTATTCAGAGAGATAATTAATAGAATAGTGCTACCGATGTAACTATCTACGCAAAATAGGTCTCCCGTATTCAGTCAATAATGAGATGAATCAAACAGGCCATTATTACGTCTATCATTTCACCTGAGGTCAAGTGTCATATGATCAAACATAAAAGGTAAGTTCAATTTTGAAAGCTAAAACCTCTTGAAATAATTTATTTCTGTTTAGATCAAGCATTCTATGTCGATCGTTCTGGTCGCTGGTTTCTGCAGGAGCTAATCGCGCCTTGTTGCCCTGAGGTGTTACGATCGGGTCGTTCTCGATTGAGAAGGGGGAGAATGAAAGCCCTGAAACCCCAGAAGGGTTTTCTAGGAACCGGCGTTTGCTAGACAGAGCTTTCTAACTGATGTATTACATTGAGTAGACAGAGCAGTGTGAGAAACCCTATGTTTGACCTTTCCCACAAAGGGTTCGTGGAGAACCTGGTTTGCACGGAACCTAAAATGATTTCGAGTTCGCAGCAATTTTCGGAACCCTTTTTACGTTTCGTACGGTTGTCGTTTTTCAGGATAGAATTGTAGTTGCGTGACTGCGTAAAAATATTTAATAATGGATATTTATGAAGAAATGGCTTAAAATCATCTTGTACTATTTTATATAATCATACGTAAGATCGTACTGTTAAATCATATACGAAATCGGATGTAAAATCTGACATCAGATGTCAGCGACGACGATTTTTCGTATGATTTTCCGTATGATCATACAAGAATTCATACCTGATCTTAGTGTCAGTTTGTTCGACCTGGGTCTACTTGATACTCAAGGGCTGTAAACAACATACTAATCATTTCATTCATGATATTCAATATAATTACACCAATTATACTGACTTTAAAGGAAGAAAAAAGTATTTATATATGTTTGATTTTGGTTCAAAAATACACTTGCGTATAATACGATTGCACGTAAATTTTCATCTCTCTCCGATATTAGATTGATGCTATTATCGGTAACATAAACGGTAAGGTTCTTTGCTGTCTAAATTGACTTTTTCATGGAATAGCTACCAATAAATCTTTAATAAAAATGCTTAGTCTACAATGTTAAACACTTGATTTTTTTACAACAATACGAAAGTGAAAAGCTCTTCGTCACCGGTCGATTACAGTTTTTCACTATATTTCATTGATATCTTTCGTATTTGTTAAGTTTAACTTTCAAACTATTATTTGCATTGACTTTGAAAGGACTCTCGGATAATAAGTGTTTGTTCATAATAGTCATAAATTACTTAGATTTAGGTGTCTGTAAAGATAAGAAAACGACTTGATGTATGATTGAAGAATAAATCGTCAATTGGATAGAAGAAATGTCATAAAGTATTATTTTTCTTTTATCTCAATAAGAAATTCTTTTTATTTGATTTGAATGATTATATTTGAAACTAAAGTGATCTTATTTTTACAGCCCAACCAATAGCTATCAGTGTCTTGTACAAAAGGAACAAGTTTTTATTCCCTTGCGAACATTTTGTTTTCTGCAAAATTCATTTGCCATCTTTTAATTATTCATTACAATGACAGAACTACAAGATAAACATGAGGTACAAAATGCTGTAGTTTCCGCATCTGGTTCAAAAAAGGTGTTCTATATTTTTTTCATTCTACTTATTCTGATAACAATCACATGTGTTGCTTTGAGTGCAGCAACGTTGAGCATTGTTCGCCGTGATTCAAATTCAAATTCAAATTTGAATAGTAGTTCAAAAAGTGGTTCACTTTCTCTGGCCGATCAAATCACTGTTGAAGATCTACTGAAACATCTTGAACAGCTTCAAGTAATTGCCGATCAGAGCGGTGGTACACGTGCCATTACTACACGAGGATTCAATGGTACACTCGACTATATCACTAGACAACTAGAACAAAACACCAAATTTATCCTTCATCATCAGTATTTCACTGTTCCAAATTATGTTGTTCGAGGGACGCCACAACTACAATCACAAGTCAACGGTGCTGTGAATAGTCATGTTTACTTAACTGATTTTGCGTATATGGTATTTTCAGCTCGTGCCAATTTCACGTCGTTCGTCCGACTCGTCGTCATTCCGAATCTTGGTTGTCAAGATGCTGACTGGTCAAGCGTGTCAGCAGCTGATGCAGTGGTGCTTGTCAAGCGTGGAGACTGTACATACGTCGAGAAAGTTACATTTGCTGAAAATTATCGTGTGAGAGGATTGCTAGTGTACAATGATGGAACAGCAGCCGATCGCTTTCAAGCATTGCAAGGTGTCAGAGCAAAGATGAATAGTTCCGTTCCGGCATTTTTTCTATCTTACAGTATGGGAATGCAGTTAGTCAATGCAGCCAACGATGCAGGTGAGAATGCTGGTATTATGATGAATGCCGATGTGAGTGATGCTGAAGGGATAGGAAATATTTGTGCAGATACACCATCCGGAGATATAACAAAAACTATCGTGGTTGGAGCGCATAGTGATGGAGTACCAGCAGGAAGTGGAATCAATGATAACGGTAAGAAATCCTATTCAGTCGCATCAAGACTATTCTGATGAATGATATGAGAATTTCCACAAAACAATCAATTTTTTCCTTCGCATTCTGTTTTAGGTAGTGGTACAATTGGTCTCTTGGTTTTAGCTCTGAACTTGGCTCGTTTGTTTCAGACATCATCAAACAATTATCCTACTTATCCATATCGCGTCCGATTCTGCTGGTGGGGTGCTGAAGAAATCGGTCTTCTCGGGTCCATTTATCATGTAGAACAGGCCATCTTAAATAGTGATAAGGAAGGCGAGCGTTTTCAAGATTACCTATTGAATTTAAATTATGATATGTTAGCTGGTCCGAACTATCGTTTTGGTATACATGACAGTGAAATGGCACCGACAAGCACACCTCTAGTAGCTCTAAATGGTACAAGTAGAATTACTGCCCTCTTTCGTCAATGGTTCACTGAACAAAAACTACCATGGAGCAATTCCTCACTTGGTGGTGGAAGTGATTATGTACCGTTTTTAGCGAATGGCCTTGCAGTAGGTGGAGTCAATACCGGAGCTGGTGGAATCAAAACAGCTGCTGAACGAGATCAATATGCAGCAATATTAGGCACTGGGAACGGTGGTATCGCCAATGCAGCATTTGATACATGTTATCATCAACAATGTGACCGAATAACGAATATCAATCCATTTGCTTATGAGAAAGTGGTGAAAGCTGCAGCTTATGCAATCGAGTATATGGGTCGCTTGAATGATTTAGAAAAGTGGCTCTATCCTCAAGGTCGCCCAAAGAGACTAGAACGAATCAGCAGAAGTCAACTTTACAACATCCAAAATGATCCTGAACTCTACTAAATTGGACTGATTGATTTTGCTTATAAGATCGAGTTTTTTTTGAAATCTTCAGATTCATGAAAGTGAAAAATAACTTTTCAAGTTTTTAGAATACCAAAAGCCTATTCAGGTGCGAGTTGGGAATATCGGCATTTAGCATGTCTTCTCTTGAGAGAACCATAACATAATCTTGAAATCTAGTATACTTTTGTACTGAGAACAATATACAGATCTCAATCATAGCCACAAATGAAACATTATACGCTTGCAAGTCTCTGATGTTTCCTATGAATAAATTCTAGTCGGCACGGGAGCGGTTTATCAGTACCGACCGGTCTACTAGCAACTAGTCGATCTATCGATGATTCGTATGTATAAGAAAAAATTCATTTATAAATCATTGTATAACATCAAAAAATAAAGAAAATTCCGAATAAGTATATACAATAACATAAAGAAAGGAAACAATATAAGCTGATTAACAACAGCTAATCAGTTTAATCTCTACCAAATGTAAATGAGTATCAATAGAACAACAAAACCAACGAAATAATCTATGCACACATTTATGTAATGAAAAGTCTTTCACTGTAAACGTAAGAAACAAGTTACAGAAACAATAATGATGTGCCGTGTTTTGATTTTAATCTGTAGTATCTTTTCTAATATTATATTTTGATTCAAAGTTTTTCGTGAAAGTTCTGGATTTTTCAACACGAATATCTTCTGCCACTTGATAACGCTGTTTTAGTAAGAATGAAATACCGGATAATTGTAGTAATTTCAAGGTAAACTCTTTATTATCTGTTTTCCTGTTTTCAAGGTGAGATCTTTATCGTCTCTTTCCTTTACAAGAGATAACAACTTTCCCTCTCTGTGACACCCACACAGCGATAAGAAAAATTAAAAGCATATATCACTTCACTTTCTGTTTTTTTCAAATTCACCCTCAATAAAGTGCTCCTCCTACTCTTTTTATCTTTTTTTCCTCAGTCTACTACTACACTATTCTTCAGTTACATTCATGAGATGCTGACTCTGTTCATTGGCAAAATTACACTGACTTTTATTTATTCATTTATTTTATACTAAAAAAGTAATTCTTTGACTCTTCGCTTTTGAATCAACACAAAAGATGGAGTGGAATTACTCAAAATATTTTGATACGAATTTCGGGATTTCGTTTGGCCTAGTCGGTTTTTCTCTATTATTCACCGGTTTACTATTCGTCTTCTGTCGTCAGGTGTTCTATGCTTTAATTAAGAATATGTTTGATATTGTGTATATCCCATCAAAAGGCAACGAACAACCGGAAACACTCAATATATACGGAGTACCTTTTGAATTGAGAACAGAGAGGAAATGGTTTTGGATAATACCTCGCGTATGTCTCGGGGTTACGGCCAGTGTTGTAATTGGAGTGACACTGATCGTCTTCGTCGATGGTATAATTTTAAATGTTATTTATCTTCCTCCAAATGAAAACTGTCCAAAAGATAGTGATATGGACTGTTATTCGACATCTGGTAATAACAGCTACTTCTACTGTAATTCATCTGACACTTTTATTCCGACGTCTCTGGGCAGCGTCACTTGCTACCGATGGTTTAAGAAAGGGATCTCGACTCTTGAAATTCTTGAACAAATCGGACTGTGTGCTGGACTTATTCAAGTATTCAATTGGATCGTGAACTTGTACTTACGACTGTTACTCTATAGTTACACGTGCTGTACTCAAACGACTATTTCATGCTGTAGTCATATGTATCTTGCTTGGATCAGTACTACTTTTGCATTTTTGGGCCCATTAATTGCTTTAGGAATTCTAGGTGCCCGCGAAGTTGGCGTTACAGGATTGACAATGGCCGTCTTGAGCTGCACATCGTTCATTGTGCTTATGATGTTGATTTTAATTTGGGCATGGAAAATAAATGCATATTTTGTGAGAGCAGCAGAAATTTCAAATCAAAAAGTTGTACTAAAATCTAATGAAGTGGCTGTTATTTCCGTTCAGCTATAACAACCATAGGCTGAAACTGACAAACAGAAATTTGTAAATCCAGTTCAAAATGTGATCATGAATCATTTGTGACTTGACAAAACCTTTGACAAGTCCATCACGTGTGAAAAGAACAAATAAGAATTTCTCTCTAGACTTGCTTTAGATTATCAATTTACCTTACTCTTGTCTCATTTATTGCTGTAAACATGTTTTTTGTATGACTTCTGTTACAGGCCAGTTGGTCTTTACATAGTTCTTATACGTCCTGTATTTCTCACTTATACGCGGATTTTTCTCTTTATATGTGTATATGCATTCTTTGACCAATCGAAAGATTTGACTCGATTGAATGAAAATCAAAAAGAATTTTCCCATGTAGATGCTTTATTTTCGATTCATCGAACCCTAACGAATAACTACTAAGAAGAATATTAGAACACGAAGTACCTACGATGAATAGTCGTCGAACATCTAAAATTAATATGAACATTATGATCTTTCCATGAAGATTATTTTTTCAGTCTTTGAAGGTTTTCGAAAATTAGAAAATAATTTTATCCTAAAGTGAACAAATTTACACTTGTCTGACTAATGAATAGTTTTTCCATCGAGTCATAAACACGTGATAAAACGAGCTTATTTGATAAATATCAAATTTGATAAAAAATTGACTGTTGAAATACGATATAAAGTCTATACTTATAAACTTTATCAAAGATTAATGGGAAAGTATGTATTAGTATTGTGTTTTTGTTAACATAGTTTCATATAACAGCATTTTGTTTTAATCATTCACGATCAAAACGGATTTTTACAAAAATTATACTATTAAAAGTAATATGCGTTCAGCATGAGGTCATGGCAAACCTCTAATCGGTACCAGTTTTCACGAAATATCTGATCGCTGATATCTGATTTTTCCAAAAGAAATAAGATATTTACTTTCTACCCTACCGATAGTTTAAAATTTTCAACACATATGCACGTATCATGATTGCTTCCTACCTATAATTTTAAATGCTCCGCAGATGACAGATATACGCTGTGATTGTGAAATTTACAATTGTATTTTCAAGTCGTATATCAGTTGTTCAGTTATGTGCTCTGATATCAATTTCGTGTGAGGTCGTAGGTAGCATAGTGTAACTCCCAATGGGGAAAAAACTCATTCGGGCATTCCCTGGTGTTCCTAGCCACTCCCAACCAGTCCTATCCATTCCTATCCATTCCCAGTCATTCCTATCCATTCGCAATCATTGCAATATATTCCTAGCTATTCTAAAATTTTCTCAAATAGGGATGAACGATTTTTCTAAATGAGACTTTGAAGAAGTGTCAGTTAACATGAAACTTCAGTTTTTCTTCTTCTTGACACTTCATACCTGTAATTTATTGCTCATTGATGATATTGAACTTAATTTTAAAATAATGTAAATGGCCCACCCCTACTCTCATGTAGTGTTATCTTTCATAAATTACTGTATCTGGCTTTAGTACCTTGTCATTTTTTAAAGGTTATCGCTTTTCATTGAAGTCGATTTGCATAATGTTAAACTTAGTTAACGCATATTCACAAGTAGTGGTATTAATCATTGAAAATCAAAAAATTTCATTGATTGAAAACTACGCATTATCCGAATTCAAGCTCATAAAAAATATGAATGAAATGGAAAAATTCATTTGAGATGTGGAGTACTTTTACTCTAAACGTACAGCAGGGATTTGATACCTAGGTCCCGAAAAACATTTTGTTTTTCTTGAACAAAGTGATTGTATCTTTTTGATGACCAATTTTCAAAAAAATTGGGAACTCTCCTTAACTCTGACTAATTTTGTAAGAATCCTCTGATCAATCACTTAAGCCGTTGAAAATCTTGCTCTCATCTAACATTGGCAGCGTGCAATATCCGTGATTTTGAATTATTCTAAATCATACCCATTTATACATATCGAATGACTATTTTTCTATAATATTCAAGTAACTTTCAAGGATAAAAAAAATCATATAAAGCAGAGTAGTTACATGAATTTTTTACATTTTCAATTTGATTTCAATAGTATTCGGTTAATTCGGAAAAAAACATCTAGTAGTATTATTTAAATAGTCACCGAGCTGAGCAACCAGTAGAATTCTTTACTATCTGTTTTCCTTTATGCTTGAAATTAATTTTCTAAACACTTTGTCTATGTTGCTCTTTACAATAACTAATTTATTTATCTATGCATATTAAATCGAAAAAGTACATTTTTGTGAAAGTACTAACTATAGTGAGTTTCTTAAGGTGTACGCCGCGGATTCCAATGAACTTTCGTCCATGATACTGCACGATGTTATAGTAAAAACATCAAAAGACTTTCAATGCATAGCACTTTCTTGAAAAATGATGCTCATTTTCCAGATTTTCTGTTCTTTTTGAGTTACCAGAAAATGAAATAATCGGGTTTTGCTCAGAAATTCTGTTAATACATAGGCCTACTGAACACTAAGACACCATGGAAATTTTAGCAATAATAAATGTGTTCTTCGAAATAAACCCACTTTTTGAAGAATAGGCCCCTTTTCAAAAACACTAGATAATCGAGCTTTTTTGAAGGAATATATCTAAAAAGAACATTTATTATTGCTAAAAGTTTCATAGAGCTTTAGTGTTTAGTCCATCTATTTATTAACAAATTTTTGAATCAAAATTTGTTTATTTCACTTTCCGATGATTCAAAGAAAAGGGGGAAAATCTGAAAAATGCGTATACCTTTTGAAGAAAGTACTACGCACTGAAAATAGTGCAATGTTTTCACTAAAGAACATCGTGCAGTATCCATGAACAAAAATTCATTGGAATCTATGGTGGTGGTCAGCTTGGGAGGCTCTATCGTGAATTGACTCTATTAAAATATTATTTTATCAACATAATGATGAATCTCGTTGTTAGTAATTATTTGTAATTATGAATATGGCAAATGTTCATATGTGTCAGTAACAACATAATGTGATGAAGATGAATAAAGTCTGATACATATTGGAAAACGATTATACTATTTTCAACAGGCTTCCTTTAGTCAGAGCACTTCGACAATAGCGATAGTCATGTTTCTAATGAATTTTAAAGTTTTTGCATAGTTTGAACTACGTCAAGGCACTAATTCATAGCGATTGATTGAAAGCTATTCCTATCCATTCCGATCCATGCTAATACATTCTGATCTATTCCTAGCCATTCGAATGGCTCGGAATGAGTTTTTCCCCCTTGCGATCTTCTCTATCATTGTGATTTAGTGTACGTCTATGCTTATTGGAGTTTAGAAACTGCCATTGACCGTTGTTATATTCATCCTCTGAGTCACCGCCAAATCTTTGTCCCTCACTTGCTGCTATTCTTTTTAAGCCCAGGTCAATGATTCCGGAGGACGGATACTGTAGGAACCGGCCGGAAAGATGCGGAAAAATCACCGTATCTGGCCGGAAAGCATGGGAAAGCACTGGAAACTGGAAGCAGTATTCCAGTTGGAAGTTACCGGATTTTTTTCCTGTGGATTCCGGTCAGTTTCCTGTGTTTTCCGGTCAGTTTTCTGTGTTTTACATCTGGAAGTTGATCGGAATCTACAGGAAGAAAATCCGGTAACTTCCAACTGGAATACTGCTTCCAGTTTCCAGCGCTTTCCTGTGCTTTCCGGCCGTTTCCCGCCGTACGTCCACGACCTGGGAGGTTGTGATCTACTATGTTGATTTTGATCAGCCTGGTTCATCGTTGATTTGAAATTGGGACCATCACATAATTTATCTTTTTCGCTGCTTGGCATATTGTTATATTGATTGTAATTCATATTTTTGTATTAATTTTTTAAAATGTCCTCAATGACCTTTTAAATTGAATAGAATTACAGTACATATAAATGTGATTTCTCGTCTATATGATTAGACATAGCGAATAGAACAAACAAAATGTTGCTAGTAGGATGTAGTGATCGCACATGTATCATGTCAGACGGCTGTGTTACATAAATTGACTATTGTATTATTCTCGTTCTCTCTCTCAAAATAAAATGAACACGATTGACGCTTGTCTGCACACTGTATAAATATGTCCGTCTTTTTTTCCTGCTTTCTATTCATCATTCTTACTGACAGCTGTTATTCATTCACATACTCATCCAATTGAAAGAAAAAATAAAATCAATGGCTGAAAAAGAGGTGCTTACTTAATAGAAATCTTATGATTTTCTTGTGTCACATTTCTAATGAATTATACCCTTTTTTCTCATTGACAGGATAATAAGCAAGAAATTATTGATCAAGTCTCATATTTAACTACAAAATGGCAACAAGATTTAATATCTCAAGAAGAATATCATGCGACAATCAAAGAAATTACTAAACTAAATCCCCGGTCGAAGAAAACGATAAGTAAACGGTCGTATACGATACATACGGCCCGTTTTACGTGCCGTATTTTCCCCATATAACAGGGGCAGTAATACGACCGTATGCTCTATAGAATACAATAAGATTACGCCGGCTTTACGAGGTTTTACGGCTGATATACGGTGTCCGTGTATGGCCGTAATACTGCCCCTGTTAAAACGCCTTAATTCGGCTTAAAACGGCCATTTTACGATGGAATACGGTGCAAAAACGGCCGTTTACGGTAATGTTACGCCGATTTACGGTGGTCCACTTTGATCGACCTGGGATGCTTGAACAACGTGATATTTACGTAATGCAATATCTACTTATTGTAATGTGTTAGGCCCATGATTTTCAATCTTGCATTGTCTTTCATTTTATTTTAAATAAAAAGAAAAGTTGTTTTTACTCATGCTGCTTCTTTGATCTAAATGTTTTTCTCGACTCTCTCTCTTAAGGGGATCCACTCGTTAGTTGACGTCGAAAATTCACGTTTTTCTATTTCGAACCGTTTGTCTGTTTAAAAAGATAGTCGAGTGTTAGAGATACATCCTCGTAGTTGGTTTGTAAGCTCATCGATTGACAGCTATAGATGAAAATATTTGAAATTTGAAATATCCAAAAAGAATGGCTTTTATCGGTGTTGTACGTTTTCTTTTAAATCAACTCTTTCTAGGGAAAAATTGAAAATTTCCCTCTTCTTTTTCTTCAGATGAGTGCAATCGACTGAGCTTAATTATAAAGTTTCTCTATAGCAACTAGAAGCGAATCGCGGTTTATGTATGTATATATTTCTTAAAGTAATGTCAGGTTGTTTTTTTGGCAGATCTTATAAAATTCACTCTAGGAAAAAAACATGTTTTTGTGACAGCATTTCCAATATTTTAGTTTTTCTAGGTGAACAAGCCGATATTTTCAACGAAAAAACAGAACATACTCTCCAGTTTGCTTCTAGTTGTTACGATAAATTCCAGCCATAAAAAATGAATTTTGGTGGTTAACGGAGGAAAACTTCAAAGCATTTTTGACCCTATATTAATTCATGACTTTCAATTACAGGATGAAGAAATGAAAAAAATTGTTCTTAAACTTGTTTAACAATGTGCGGCGACTGATGATGTTGAGACTAAACAGATAGAAGAAATTTGACCAATTTTTTTTTAATATTCTTGGATAAGATCGGCGTAATTATCGACAATAACTTGATACAACTGTGGGAATGGCAAAGAAAGTTGACTCACTGGAAATAATTAATCGTATTGTTGATGATTTCAAAGATGAATCTGGGCAATAGCGTAGAATGGTTATTCAAAAAATTGAAGAAAAAATTGCAAATTTAGATTCATTGGACATTGGTTCACGTTTAGAAGAGCAATTAATTAATGGTATATTAAATGGATTTCAAAAACAAACAATAGAAGACAAAGTTATGCTAAATGGGTGCGGGTATTGTTGTTAATTCAATACGAAAAGGTTGTATAGCATATTTACCACAAGTATGTGGTAGAATATTATGACGTTTAAATATTGAAGCAGCTAAGATATGACAACAAGTAGCTGACCTTAAACAGAAAAACAGCTATTTTTATTAAAATTATATTCAGAAGAAAAGTTAATGGGACAATTAGGACTTATTTTATATGGATGTATTGGTGAGGAATATCCGCAAGTTTTAGAATGTATTCTTGGTGAGTTAAAAGATAAGAATTATTTTATTTAACACGAAAAAAGATAAAACGAATGATTGCATCTGAAATACGCTTTCTGTTTTGTTTAGGAATTCTTAATGTTATTTGTATGGCTAATATAGCACCACCTATTAAAGATATATTATCAAGATTAACACCTATCTTAAAAATCAGGTAAATAAATGATTACAGTTAATGTAAAATTAATAGTACAGTTTCAATTATTCTTTCATAATGAATGAATTGAAAACTTTTTGACTTATGATTTGCTCTCGAAAATTTGATATTGTTTTTAGTTATTGAAGTGACTCATGCGGTACAAAATATAGGGATTCAGCGACATGAGAACCCTTAATTGTTTTTTTTTCTTTCATGGTAGTACTATTTTGAACATTCACCAATGTATTCCGATCATTCAAATATTCCAGAAAAGTGTACATTGTCTTTTCCGTTAATGAGAAATTTGTGAAAGAAGTCAGACGTTCTTGTCCTCGGTTGGTGACGTCCGTAACACAAAAGAGAGGACCCACAAAAACTTTGACTTCAATTTCAATCGCTATTTTCATCAAAAGAGATCTTTTTACACGCATTTTTTTCAACTAAATTTACAATTTTGTTTTATCTTTTTTTAAATATACGTATAAACAATGCCTTGTTTACTTTTCAATGCATCAAATTCAATTCGTCAGAAGTTGACGTTCGACATTAGTTGTAGTTCCTTGAATTGAATAAAGAGATCGAGCAAAATTTTATATGGCACACATAATAAAAATATCACTCTATCGTCTTCGTCTTAGCATAATGTAACTCGAAAGTTTGCAAATCTCAAGTTTGAACAAAGGATTATCTAGAAAATTCTCATACAAAACATATGATGTAAATCTCCAGTGATCGAAGGTTCCAAAATTTTCAATCTCTTTTGATCCCATCTATGTAACGTAAATACACAACAACCATATCAGACTAACTTTAAGTTAATTTGCTTGTCTGGATCTTTGACATTAAAATATGACCATTTTGAAGAATATTTAGTCGATGACAAGCCATTTTTTGGGAGACGAATACAAATTCAATATCAAATTCTGCTGATAGATCGAAGTGGCATTCTCTATCTTTAGATGCTTTTTGAAACCTCAACGTTTTGGATCGTTTCTTCATAAGTAGTACTTTTTTAATGTAACTTTAATTGATCAGAAAAAAAGTATCGAAGGCGATCCAATTTATGGATCATTACCGTCTTCCTTCCAATGAAGCTTCTTTTGAGATCGATTCTCCCGTTCCCTGCTTGTGTATTTCAAAGCAACTTAATGATCTGACGACAACATTGAAAACTTTAATTAAATCAAGAAAACTTCTTCATGGTTATACTCTGAAAGTTATTAATCGAAAATTGTATTTATGGTGGTAGAATTTATTTTTTAAACAGATATCTTGATTTTGAATATAGTTTCCTTTCGAATAAATATGAAAATTAATCGTTAATATACGTTTCTAGGTTGACTAGTTGAAAAATGAAGATATGTATGATAGAACGAAAAATTTGTTTATTACACCGAATAACATTCACAAATGATACAATAGATGTCATAAAGTAATATTTCATTGTAATTGTATTTCTTAGCGAGTCGAACTTTAGTAATTATTTATTGAGGACTTATCTATTCTAATTTAAGAGAATGACCGAAAATGAAGAATTTCGATATTCGAACAATAAAATGAATTTTTATCAACTTCGTGTATGTAGTTATATTTATGGAAAAGCAAAGTATATCGTGCAAATAAGTACCCTCTTTAGTACCACTGTTCCATTCGATTCTGACGTACATTATTAATATGATGTTTGTATATTGAATAACATATCTATTTGAACTAGTGGTGAAGAAGAGATTTTAAATACGATTTTTTTTGTCCTTCGACACACAACATTGTGTATTAAATAACTAAAATCATACGAAACGATATGTTTATAGAGTTTAAGAGGCAATAATAGAAGTTCGCACACTATCTTCCAGATCAGATCATTGCGATAAATTCATTCAAAGGAAATATATTTCTTTATAAATCCGATCAAATGAGATTATCTTTCTTACGAGAGAACGTTTTCAACCGTCTAATCAGTTTTCAAATTGAACTGGGTGCATAAAGTAGATGTTGACGAGATTCGAAAAACTCCAAATGGAGAGATGCTCTTAGACCTTTTGTTCAGAGTTATAACCATTTCACTGGAATTTTAGCCTATGGCATGGTATACGTCCAAAAAGTCGAATGACGATATTTCGATCTAAGTTTTTACTCACAGACAAATCTATTGGTGAATAGGACGCCGCGAAAGTTTCAGCTCAAAAGAATGCTTTCTTTCCGACAATAATAGTCACAAAAAAGCTGCTAGCGCAATCTCTGCGAGATTAAAAGGTGAAATATGATATACCTATTGCTACTAATTCTCTAGAAAGTCGTCTTTTTATGTAAATCCGGGCATACGTCGTCATTATTCCTTACTTTTTGCCATAGAACTTCAACAAGGAAATATTCCAGAGATATTTTAACTCGATTTAGATTAGACGTGGCTTCTGATAGTACTATGCCGACGTCTGTCACCATATGTGACGGGTGGGTGTAAGTAGGAATGTCTCCTTCTAAACCCACACCGACACCCACATTTTTCTAAAGCTTGAATTCTAAGATGGAATTTCTGGTGGGATTTGGGAGTGATACATTTCTACTATATAGCTTTGCAAGAGATCTTTCAAGGTGAGCTCTTGTGTTTTGTTTTCTCTTGAAAAGATAACAACCTTCCATCTCTTTGACATACAGATTAAGATAAGAAAAACGAAAAGCACGTATCACCTTCATTTTCTGCTTCTTTTAAATTTCATACTCAACAACATTCTCCTTCTACTCTTTTTATCTTCTTCTTCTTCTTCATCGGCATTCTACTACTCAATTCTCTAGCTACAACCATAGAATACTGGTTCCGTTCAGTACTAAACTGCATTGAGTTTTATTTATCCGTTTATTTTATACTAAAATCGTGACTTCTGAATCTTCGGCTTGGAACCAGCACGAAAGATGGAGTGGAATTATTCAAAATATTTTGATGCAAATTTCGGGATTTCTTTTGGCCTAATAAGCTTTTCTCTACTTTTCACCAGTGTACTATTGATCGGCTGTCCCCAGACGTTCTACGCCTTAATTAACACTATGTTTGGTATTGAGTACATTCCGTCAAAAGACGACGAGCAACATGAAACACTCAATGTATACGGAGTACCTTTTGAATTGAAGAGAGGGAAGCAATTCTTTTCGATAATAGCTCGCATTTGTCTGAGTCTTACAGCTGCCGTTGTCATTGGAGTGACACTGATCGTCTTCGTCGATGGTATAATTTTAAATGTTATTTATCTTTCTCCAAATGAAAAATGTCCAGAAGATGGCGATATGGACTGTTATTCAACATCTGGTAATAACAGATACTTCCACTGCAATTCATCTGAAACTTTGATTCCAACATATCTGGGCAGCGCCACTTGCTACAAATGGTTTAAGAAAGGAATCTCGACTCTTGAAATTCTTGAACAAATTGGACTGTGCGCTGGACTTATCCAAGTATTCAATTGGGTCGTCAACTTGTACTTACGACTGTTACTCTATAGCTACCGATGCCCCTGTGAAACGACTATGATATGCTGTTTCCGTTCGTATCTTGCATGGACCATTACTGGTCTTGGATTTAGTACTCCAATTATTGCTTTAGGATTTCTTAGTGCCAGCGAGGTTGGTGTTACAGGATTGACGATGGCAGTTTTGGGCTGCGCAGCATCCATTGTGCTTATGATGGTGCTTTTAATTTTGTCATTGAAAATACATATGATTCGTATAGTTGCAGCAGAGCTTCCGGAAAACACGACAACATCTAAATCTAATAAAGTGGCCGATTCTGCCATTGAATTGCAACAACCATCGGCTACAACTAACAAAAACAAATAAGCAAATCGAGTTTAAAAAGTCGTAATCAAATTATCTTGAACTTGCCCAAAGCTAGGATCGAACCAACTCTTCTGACAAACTCGAATAAGACTTCATTTCTAAACTTGCTTCGCATTTTCAACGTAGCTTTCTTTCATCTCATTTACTGGAAACACATTTTTTGGATACCTTCTACTACTGCACGTTCCTTATGCTTATCGTTGGTACACATGTGTTTTACTTCGTATATTTCTCTTCATACGTGTGTATATGCTATCGTTCTTTTCCCATAATCTATTGTGGCACACATCCATCGTTGTTCTTTCTAGTCAGCCGATATTATTCAGACTATAGAACGAGGATGAATGTGTCGTTGAAAAAACGACTTACACCCACAAATTTTATAACTAGCACATTCATGTTTGAACTATCAGCATTGTATTGTTAAAAAGTGATCGGGGCGGCAGAGTGTCTTGAATCTAAGTGAGGTTTATAGAGTCCCGCCAGTCGAAGTTCTACGATCAAAAGTTTATTCTAGCAGCAAGCAAATGTGTTTTTCAACTCCAGTAAATCAACAAAACAAAACTGATGAAGCGAGATATGACTAAAAGTTTCAAAATGCAGTTTCATTTGTTCGTTCTTACGTCACAAACTATCGCAAGTACAGAAGTATCCTAAGATTGGTAAGATTCTGAGCCAAACAACTTCCGCATCAAAGCTAGTACTCACTTTTTTTCGAAAATAGAATGCATGAAAAGCTTTATTTCATCTAACGAAGTCCGATGCAAAAAAGTCGAATTTTGATTGAACTACATAAAATTGTCCGAAGCGCAACACAATTTGTCGTCAGGTTTTCAATATCGCAGACACCCATGCTAGTGGCATCTGCTCAAAAAATGAAGCTTTCCGAAAAAAAACCGAACTTTTAAAAAGAAAAAGTTTTAGGATTCATACAATTGCTTACGGCACTCTTGCAGTCATGAAATTTCCGCGGATGATAGTTTTTGCGCATTTCGAAAAACACTACTTGTCTTGTAGTTTTTGGAAAATAAAATGTCCTCACATTGAATTCAAAAGATGCCACCAAAGCAGTCACACCTTCAATGACTATTTGAAAAACCCAACTGTTTACCGAAATTTTAGAGATCGTTTAAGTTGACAACACTACGATGGGCATCTATCCTATTAGGCTCCCCATAAAGCATAAAAAACCCTATATTTGCCAATCAGTATCATATGGCAAGTTTTTATTAGTGAGGAAGTCACCTTGTACTCGGAACATCCATGCACATGTGCACAGAGGTTAGGATACGATGTACTCTCGTAGGATGTCACGTTCAAAATTCCGTGATCCTCAGCGACTCCGTCGCCACTGGTTTGATGCCATATTAAACAATTGGTTGCATCAGTAACTGTTATAATAGTATAATCCTCGATCAGATAGTCTCGTCGTGTAACGCCATCTGTTACACAAGACTCACTATTTTTTCAAAGAACAAAAATATCAGACACAAAGAGAATCAATTTTTAATAATTTATATCATAATTTTTCTTTCTCACAGTAACGCTCAAAGTTTGCCACACTCATTAGTACATTCCTTTCACCATTGATTGTTTTTGCTTGCGCTGATTTTTCTCGTCAACTCAGATATTATTTTGTCATATTATATCATAAAATTAGTACTCAAAAAGTATATAAAAAATGGAGAAAAAGTTTCACCTCTGCCTAATTATCGAAATATTTATTATCGAGCATAATAAATTGTGCTAAATAGAAAGAAAATAAAATGACATTTTTGTATTCGTCAACGTACTATTGATAAAAAGATATATTGCTTATTTATTTATTTTAGACATTAAAACAAAATGGCTGCTGATTCAAATTCTGTTAAAGATAAAGAAAAAATTTATCCATCATTTACTGAACTTCGTATATATCCATCATTCACTGAAGTTCGTGAAAAATTCACTGCACCACAAGTATAAACGAAAATAAAAGTTTTTTTTTCACTTAAATATTTTTTTTCGTATTTTTAAAGAATTTTAAAATTTACTTCCCACGTGAAGTATATGATCAAATCGTCAAGGGAAGCCTTAGTGTTGAAGGCATTGATGTAATCAGTCAAAATTGTGTTACAAAAGCAAACAATTTAGAAAATCAAATTGTTTTTATTCGCCGCGCACGCGAACAACCAATTGAATGTCAAGTCATTCGTTCAAGCGATCTATTATTAAAAGAAGTTAAAACCGGTCGATTTATTCGTGCTCAAAATCATGAGCTTGAATACGTTAATATTCCTGAAGAAGAAGGAACTGAAGTTACATTTGCTTTAAAACAACTAGGCGATGCAACACTTTCATATCTTATTAATGGTAACGTCTTGTTTTTTTTATTTAAAACAAATACGTTATTTTACTTTTGAAAATCGTTAGGAATTCAGTGGTCACCACGATATAATTTAAAAGTCGGAACCGATGATCACTCATTTGAAGCATGGGCAGATATGACAAATAATACAAAACGTGATTATCAAATCAAACGTACCGAGCTGTTCGGTGGTGATGTTCATCTACAACAATCACCTCGTGCTTATGGAGGATATTGCGCTCGTAGTTGTTGTATGAAGTCATGCTGCTGTTGTGCTGATTCAGCTCCAACAATCGCCGCCGAAGGAGAATTAGCTGGAATATATTGGTATTCGATTGATCAACCATTTACATTGGCTCAGCAATCAACATTTGCCCTGCCATTTGTGAAACCAAATATTAAATTAGAAAAATATGCTGGACTAACAAATTATTTTCAAGAACAAACGCAAAAAGGAAAATTTCAAAGAAAATATCGTATTGAATCGGATAGCTTTTTACCTAAAGGTACTGTTACCGTTCGAGAAGATGGACGAGTAGTTGGACAAGCACAATTAACGGATTTATCACAAGGCGAAAAACAAGACTTAGATTGTGGCAATGATCCCGATGTTAGTTTTACGCGTCAAGTTAAAATTTTATCGCAAAAACGTGAATCAGCTTCTTATCGTATTACCTTAACGATTAAAAATGCTAAGGCAAGAATCGTTAAATATGAATATAAAGAAATTATTTCTTCAGCTAAATTTACAATCAACCCTATCAATGACAATGAAGTATTGGACAATAAAATTCAATCGATTAGTGAAGGAATACAAATTATTGGCGAAGAATTACAAGCTAACAGCGAGCAAACCTTTCACTATGAAATTTTACTTGAATATCGCGATACTCAACCTCACCAATGTTAACTTGCTTTTTTATTTTTTATTTTCTACTAACAAAAAGTAGCTTATTAATAATAATATTTTCCTAAGAAAACAAATGAACCTTAATTCTTTTTGCTTTTTTTTTGTACTAATGATGGTCATTTTTCTAATTAAAAAAATGCTTGCTTTATGACATGAAATAAATCATGACAAAATAGTCCTATGCAGATATACGTTTGTGTTTTTTCTTATCGTAAAACGTCTGACTTCACGAACTGAAAATTCAAATTTTTACAGGATTTTGGCCAAGCAGAAAATAAAATTTCTTAAATCGGAAAAGCTCCTTATACGCTACTTTCGTAATGTTTTCTGTTTGAGTTAGTAGAATATAAAGTTTACTTGCAATTCATGTTCGTTCTACTTGAAAAGAAAGAATTGACACACTCATACAATGATTGACAGAGAATATTCGAGGCTTTTCAATCATCTAAAGCTACTAGTAATAATTTGACATGTCACATAAGGGAGAGAATATGACGCTTTCTATCAACAAAAGAAAAGATGAAAATCTTTACATGTACATTATTGCGAAGTTAGAGTAAGTCGTTTATGTCACATGTTGCTATTCGTTTTATGTCTTTGGAACTGAAAATATTGAAGCGACATTATATCGGATGCTTCACCTGTATCGTTTTGTGCACTTCTGTTTTGTATTTGTTGAAATTATCAACAAAATAAACATGTTTTTATTATATTCAATACGGCGAGAACAAGATTAACTTTTGATAAAAATATATAAAGTGGCTCCGTAGGTAAATTTTAATTCTATTGTTTTATATACACGCACAAAAAAAGAGTTACCCAGAGAGGAAGAATCGTATTTGAGCAAAAAAAGCTCTCAGAGTAATTGCAACAAAGTATTGACTTTAATTTGACGCTATCTATAGATCTTTGCATAGACCGTAAATAGACTATGAATAAGTCGGAAGTTTGTACTTGCTTAACGCAACCGGGAGAGAATTTTGCAACAGCAATATTTCTCGTTAGGATTGTGTAAGCACGAAAATTTCCGATCGAATGACTTCGTCTTGATGTAAGAGAGTTGAGATTAATCTATAGAAACAAAATCAAGATTACCGATTGCTGAATTTCGTACAGAAATCATCGTTATAAAACGAAGAGAACAACGATTCGAATCTTAGGCAAAATAATTCAAGGGCGAGTACATCAGCATGAATATATTTCGTATTATATTACTTATAGATAGAAAACTCCATAGAATAAATGAGAATAATAATTACATTAATCGCATGTGCTGCTGTTCTATCAAATATTACAGCAGCAGGAACCATGGCAAACACGCGTCAACTTATCGAGTTACGCACAACAATATTAACTCCTTGAGCCAACATTAGTCAATGTTCTATTGGCATTGACATATGTAATCGCGTTGTTTTGAAAGAGTCTTATGAAGATATTAATTAACATTAAAAATTGATTATTTCCTAACAGTAGAATATCTATTTAATAGTCATTATTATTATTAACTCAAAATCTTTTTGTTCGCCATGAATTCATTATGTATTTCGAATTTCAATAGATAAATCAAAGCGACACTTTGTAACTATATGATTTTATTAGATCATCTCTATATAATGTGTCTATTCACATATTCATTGACTATTTTAATGATGGCAAGTGGTGGTTATACCTCGTGCATATTTATCAAGGGCATATTTTGATGAAGAATGCACCCATGTGTATGTCAGTGTCTTCCACTTATATTTGTAGTTGCTTTTTCTATTCATTCTTTTTCTTGATTATGACAAGTGAATGATGTTGACGATGTATAGAACTTTCATCGTCTTTTCTTTTCGCGCTCTTTCTCTCTCTCTCTCTCTCTCTCGTCAATGATGACGTATGTTACAGTTTGCATGGAACTAGTCTGATCCGACCGATGGCGTTTCAATACAGTATTATTATTGTGATTTTTAGCAATTCGAAAACAAAAAATCAACACAGACGATGAGTATTTGATTTACGCGTCATTCTATTATTTCTACATTTAACAGAGCTTAAAAAGAATGTGCGCGCCATAAAAGATCTTGTTTGTCTTCCACATCTTATTTGGCTAATTTAAAGAGAATGAGATAGAAGAAAAAAACATTCTCGTTAGTGCTTTGATTATTGATCTAGAACTAGAAGGATACGGGCAGTAGCGTGTGCCAGAGCAAAAGAAGATATTAGAACAATAGCCTTGACTAAAAGAAAATTCTGATATAAATACGTTCTAGGCGCCGCTTCAGTTTATTTGATTGATGCCGTCCTGTCACCTGAGTAATGCATATATGCAACTTTTTGTAGTAGTATTACTTTGATGGGACAAAACGGAGTCGACCATTAGCATTGCTTCATTTTTTTGAAGATGAGTTTTAACTTTTATTTTCTCTCTCGAGCGCTAGCAGCCTTCAAACAATTTCCGAAATAGCCGGTTGTCCTGCATGCATTAGATCTATGCAACAACTGCTTCGCACTTCATATTGACACGTGGTTGTCTATGTCGTGTCATAACCTTGATCTTGACTAATATGCAATTAAGATAAATCTCATGTGATTGACTTGAAACGAGTTCAGTTTGTGATAACAGCTATTCATCTTGTTAATATTCTTTGGATAAAGAGCTCTCTGCCGTTTACTCGTATATTTTAAATAAATATATATATATATATATATGCGTGTGTGCGGGAAAAGAAAAAAGAGAATAATTACATGTCGCTTCATGTCTTTGGGTTTGATGCGAACAAAACAAGTTGCACCAACATTAGCTGCTTTTCCTCGGGTTTGAGATTGAATTAGTCTTCTTTTCTTTGTATCATATTTATATATATATATATAAATAAGATGTGTCAAGAATATAGTTGTGCGCAAATCGATCAATCGATTTGTGGTGGAGGCGCCTCATTATTATACAGCGCAAAGAAGAAGAAGAAAAAATGAATACATGAATATAAGTGGATTATTCTTGTTTGTTTTAGATAGACATTATTCTAATCAAGAACTGATGGTAGAACAAGAGAGTCGATGGTGACCAAGATTATTGTCAATGTTAATTTTATTTTCTCGTGTTTCAACATGGCTTTTCATAGAAATGATAGCCTCGTTAAGTTTAGTCGTATTAAATTTATTTATACCGATGTTAATGGTGTTTGGCTCATTTCGTAACGCCGTTAATTTCTATCTATCAAGTGCGGCTCTATCAAGTTCAATGATTAATTTTTTATATCTAATTTATCTTATTCAAACTCTTCGTTCAAGAGTTCTTTCGGAAAATAATTGCCGAGCAATATATTATCTACAAACATCGTGTATACTTATACTCGGTATGTTTTAAAAGGTTGCAAATTCGGTTTTAGTAGCATGTCTTCTAATGCGTAGGCTAATCTAAAAACATGGTATTCGGTTAGGTGGAAAGGATAGTTTGTCATGAGAACATCTCTTCATGCGTCTCCTGATGACTTTTTTTCCAGATAGTAAACCTTATGTTCTGGTAAAGAAGATCGTGTGTAGAAAATAGAATATGAGCTTTCTATGCACGATAAGTTTTAAATCGCAATAGTAACTCTAATCCTTTTCGAGTTGTGATAAGAATACAACGTAGTAGTAGCTTAAGGTAATTGATTAATTCAAATCAGAAGGGGAAGTCCCTCGAATTTCTTCTTCTATTACACATTGGAACAATCAAAAAATGTCTGTCACAATTCGTAAAGTTTATTTTCTCGTAATTCAAAGACTAACCATCATGTTTGATAGAACAACGCAAGATATAATCTTAAACATATACTATTTATTACGAACTGATGCGAGGTAATTGAATAGTAATACGCAAAACACAAGCCTAATCATTTGTTCTGTTCGTTGCAATTAGAGATAATGACAGAGTATCGAATCGGAGTACACAAGTCGTATGGATTTCATTCAGATCTGGGCTGCGGTTCGACCTATATTTCCTATAGTTCCTATATTTTCAAAAAGGTTCTATTTTTGTCCTATATTTTCCTAAAAATTCCCATTTTTTTCCTATATTTTATCGGAAAAAGTAATAGAAAATTTCGGAAAACCTCTTAATTTTGCTATTGTCTTTAGACAAAAAAAAAACTTTTAATTTGTGTAATCATTGTTTTGGACAAACTCTGAGGATATGAGTGTCGGTATGGGCAGGGACGGCGCAAATGAGGGGGGGGGGGGGGTTCCCCGTCCCAACTTTGGAAACTTTTGTTTCAATTTTACTCCGATTTGAAGAAAATAGAAGAGATTTTATTAATTTACTCCGATTTTTGAAAAAAAACCTCCCGTTTTCAAGTAACCCCCCTGTATTTTTATTGCTTCGCGCCGTGCCTGGGTATGTGTATGGATATCGGTCTCAATGTTTATCATTTCCGCGCTCACACCCGCACCCACACACACCCTCAAGGCTTCTGATCTACTTTATTGTTATTAATCGATTTTTGAAATTTTTTTATAATGATCCTCGAATTAGCGACTGATTTCAGTAGAAAAAATTAGTCAAGGATCTTGGCTACGATTGAACTGTTTATAACAGCTACAGTAAAACGTCCTCTCTTTCTGCCATTTTTATCGAAAATCCGATATTTTTGGCAACCTTGATCCTCTAAGGATTCCAACATTTTTAAAAAAGTGCAATCGGAGGTCAGTCAGATAAATAAAATACTATACGAGTAAATAGAAGTTTGCTTCTGTACATAATTCATAGAAGAAATTCCCTGCTTAGGTATAATTAAAAATGAAGAATGAAATTGAATTTTACGCGATATATCGATTTCGCCGGGAAATTGAGTAGCGAAATTCTTCTGTACAGTATAACTAATCGTGTTTAGTTAAAACATTTTAAATAGGCTTTCGTATATTTCGTGTTTTTTCAAAATTACAACAAGAAATCGCAGTTGTTACTCATTGTTATGCTCTTTTCATCATTACTGATAAATTTAAGCGATTGTTTCTCAACACGAAAGACCAAAGAGAAAAATTCTCTTTTCAGACTTTATTAGATAATTGCATTTTCCTATTTTTAGCTTATACAATAGTCGCGATGCATGCAAATTTTATTCTATGTTTATTTCCATCATCATCAGCCCATCATCATTCAGCTCGTACTTGTTTACAGTCATTTGGTGTTTGTTTACGACGAATTTTTCGCCGATTTTGTTATTTTTTTGTTATATGTTTATGGTCATTTGCATTCATAGCAACAATCCCGTTACTTTATTCTATCGATTCAAATGAAAAATTGCCTAAGCCAGTTTATTGTCCTGGTACCACACAAGTGAGTTATCGTGAAGAACTGTTTAATCGCAATCGTTTTACGCAAACTATTATATTTAATTTAATTCCTTTAATACTAAATTTATTTTTATCATTAATTGCTGTGTTGAAATTATTGTACGATTGTCTTGTTTATCTATGCGCACGTTGTAGAATGTCAAAATGTTCACTATGTCGAAAGAAATCTTCTTCCATGCAGCAATCTCAATCAAATATACCTAATGCAATGTCGTTTTTATCATCACTTAGTATTGTTGCAAGAAATAATATGCAACATGGTATCAATTTAGCACCAGTCATGGAAACAACAACAGCACCGTCGCCGCCGGATAATGAAATAAATATAACAACCTCAGATTTCGTAGTACAATCTTGTGGACATTGGTTATCAAAATCGTTTATTCGGTCATTACTTGTAATATCAGTTTGTTTGTTAGCTTGTATTTACCCAGTTGTGATGCGATTTTATTTAGTCTACTTTTCCGTACTTCTCCCATTGGTATTTGCTTTATTGAATTATTCTTTCGTACAATTACAATCAACACAACAACAAACAACTGTTGAAAATTATGCGACATCTGGAATCATTCAACCGGCCGCAGCATCTTCTACTGACACAAATGGTGCATTGAATATGAATAAGAGTGAAATATTTCAAAATCAAACATCTATAAAACGTGACCTAAATAATTCTTCAAGTGAGCAATTTGAATTACAATCATCATTAATAAAATCTCTATCGAACGAAGACAATCGATTAATTGATACACCATCAACAATACGAAAGAAACAAAAATATTTTTCCAATCGTTTATATGAAAATTCTCGAACTTTGTTTATCAGTCGAAATCATTGAATTTTTCGCTCTTTTTTCTGTTTTTATATAATTGATTAAATTTTAAAATAGAATAGAGAGAATATATTATTTACATTAAAAACGTCAACTACCATCTGTTTCAAAAAGTTCTTCTTGTGTCGTTTTTAGCCGTTGTTGTTTAAGGAAATTCTTTAATGGCACTTTTTTTCTTGTTGTTTGTTGTCTTAGATTTTCCGCTAAACTCAAATATCCCCATCGGTCATAATCATTGATAACTTTGGCTTTTGAGTCTTGCTGATTATCATTTTCAATTTTGTTTTCTTCGTCGGTTTCATAGATCTCTGCTAATGTAACAGGTTGAGTGCGAAAACGAAGATTATGGCGAGAACGCGATAGTTGACAATTGACTTTCCTTCGGGGATGTTCAAGAATGATAGATGGTATTGTTTCAAGGCAGGTTTTTGGATAGTGTTCATCAATAAAGTGTTCAGCAGTCTGATGATAACAATGACGCACGTCCATCGACGACGACGATTTGTCTTTTAAAAATTCACTTGATGATGTAGTTGCCATTATAGTCGCATCACTATAGATAACAGAGAAGAACAAAAAAATAATTATCTATGCATCATGACACTACATATATGAAAGTATGACTAAGGAATATGCATAAAGCGATGGTAGAGACAATGATAAGCATAAAAGACTTCAACAGTATAAATATTCAATGAAGTTTGGACAATAGTATCTTTCTATCGTTTTTTTCTGTTATCTGCTTCATACTTGTCACTGAATATCTATCTGTTGGGCACTACTTACATATATATATATATATATATATATGTGTGTGTGTGCGTGTAGCAGACTGCGAATAGACTAGAACATGAGCGTAGATATGTATTAAGAAATCAATCAACTAGTAGTTCTCGCTTCTCCTTCTTCTTATTTTTTTTATTATATAAACGATTGTTGAGTCAATAGCTTTCTCTCTCGTATTACAAAAAAAAAAGAGGAAAGAAAATAGGAGCAAAGAAAAGAGTTCCTGCGTAAACTAAGACTTGTTTTTATGTACCGGCACTCATAATCATCATCGTGATTATGATGATTACTTCTCTCGACGTTCCTAGTTTTTTTTAGCCGTCATGATGACGACAATGATTTAAGATTATTTGCTTAGGACACTATATCTCCTTTTTTCCCTATTCAATATAACACGCTTTAGATGGGTGTAACAAAAGACAGAAATTATCGAACTATAAATAACTATAGAACATAAGTTGTAATCCATGTATGGCCCTGCCTCTTTTGTTGGTGTATATCCATATATTTACGAAGAAATATTATGCAATCAACAACTGCTATTTAATAGTTCTATAATGTCACAGAGAGTGTCACACATTCGATGTCAATTAGTTTCTTTTCAAGATATAAAATAACTGAAATTCTTTTCCGAAATTAATAAACCATATAATTTTAATCGTAAATATTGAGTGCGTAAGCAAATAGAAGAAATCGATTTTTTTCTCTTAATATTATTATCCATTGATACCTAAGCAAAGATTGGTGAAAATTCTAATTACTACAATTCTCTGTAAATTCTAATTCATAATTAGGCTCTCCTGCATAATTTATTTTAAACTTTCATTTGTACCCGAACATCGATGCTGCTTACCAGATTTACATTGTGTGTTCAATTATTCTCGAATTTTCTACTTTCTACGTTGGTTTAGAACTCTAAAAAACGACTCAATTATTGTAGTTTCTTTTTACTCTAGACGATAATCTATTTTTTATGCTATCGAAATCTCTCCACCCTGATGAATACTGCTATTGCCTTGGACTATAAATAGAGCAAAGCATTAAAAAGAAATTCCTCTTCTATAATTCATTGAAATTTGATTCGCAGAAAAATATCGCAAGGCTTACAACGTCGATCTTTCAAAATTCTTCCCATAGCTGTAAAATTTCATAATTAACATCAAGATATAATCAATGTATTACATCAGTCAACAATTTGCTTTACATCACTGACATCTGGATAGAAAAAAAGAAAGCCCGTTTCGCCGCCCAACTATGATTATGGTTATTTTTTGTGATGACTCATTAGGATATTTCGTTCACTTGCACGACAAATTGTGATGCAATATATTGTACATAGTGCGTCAATCTCTATATAAACTATTTTGCATAGTTCTATTCTTAGTAAAAAAATACGAAAACTAATTTACAGCTCGAATGACAGATATAACATTTGAAAGAGAACTTTTTGACAGTAACAATGATCAATTACTCGACGATGAGAAATTACTCGCCACTCAAGTTAAAGAATTTGAAGCAATAAGTGATCAACGACTTGATTCATCCTACCCGTTTGTTGTTCGTATTGATGGAGTTTCATTTCGAAATTATACTCGTGGTTTTACGAAACCATATGATCAACGTATGACACGAGCATTTATTCGTACATCAGCCGATTTACTACAACGTTTCAATCCATTGACAATCTACTATGAATCCGATGAAATCTCTCTCGTTTTCGATGCTTGTCCAATTGTTTATGAACCGGAAAAACATCCCCGGGAACATATGTATTCTGGTCGTATACAAAAACTTGTATCGGTACTTGCATCGTACACATCAGCTAAATTTAATAAATATATTAATGAAGAAGATTGGTCGGATATAGATAATGAACATATCCGAGAACGTCTCGCGTCACATTCCGCTTATTTCGATGGTCGTGCTTTTTCAGTGCCAGATCAATTTGCTGCTATGGCATCGGTTTATTGGCGTCATCGATATGATACATTAAAAAATGCAACATTAACCTATGCATTAAGTTATTATTCTCAACATGCTATTCTAGGGAAGAGTCCACATGAATTGCGAGCTATGCTTCGAACAGAAAAAAATTGGGATATGTTACATGAGGCACCAAAAAATATTATTTATGGTACATTTTTAAAAAAGGAATTATACGATTTAGAAAGCATCGATCGTAAATCACAAGAACCTGTCGTTGTGAAACGTAGTCGAATACGTATTGGATCATTTAATATGCAGAAATTATTAGCAACAACAGAAGAAAAAATCCTGTTTATGATGAGTAAACATTGGAACGATTGTAACGCAACAGTAAACGAAATCGAAATACCAGAATGGTGGATGAAATATTACAAACAACAGCAGACAGTGACAACCGATAACTTGTGATAAACACATACTGACAGAAGGGGTAAAAATAATTATAATATATAGCCGCAGAAGAACATTTCTAATAAACAAAAAAATCCTATTTCAGGCTTTAATTAAATAAAAATTATCAAGTTGCTTAGTGTCAAAAATATGTCTTATCATGAATGATGTTTCTTTTTTTTCTTATCGACATTGTCTACGCGAGATCGATCTTGTTCTGTTGCAAATTCGATTCGGACTTGTTTTTAGCTACGGTACTAACTCGCAAGAGTCTTAGTCATAATGATTTAAAACAAATATTTCCGCTCCAATTGTATTGGTTAAAATAGATGAGAGCCAAAAATAACATGTAATTATCTTCGTTCGAGAGAACTGCTCATGCGTATTGATATAATGCAGACAGGAATAGGCTCTACGCAGCTCATTTTCGCAAAAAGCTTTGCCAATGATTAGGGCGACTGTCTTTGCATTATGAGAATAATTTTGATTATGCATAAAGTCAGATTTCATGTTCATCTGTTAGAACAGAGAAGTAAACGAACAGAAATGATACTCCCATCTCACTAAGTCATGTCTTCATCAGAAAAAAGAATCTCAAGTTGCGATTCGGGAATAAGTTTTCTTTTCTTGGGTATCTTGACATTTTTAGTACGCCATTATGGTTGTGCTAATTTAAGGACATTAAATCGTTTGAGGTTAATCATAAACCTTTAATGTCTATGTCATGCGCAAAAGGAATCAACCCGTTAAAGGATTTTTCTTCTCATTTCTAATTAAAAAAAGCTCCCGAGGATCATGAAAAAAGGTTAAATTTATACTATTCATTTTTATGAAAATAGTCGCAAGAAGGAAAATTTTTCTACGAGCCAATAACCTGTTAGATCAAAAGAACTCATTCGAAATTTAATAGCGAAAATTTGATTTGACCTTCAACATAAAAATGCAAAGATTCCTACAGAAAACAAACTTTTTCTTGTAAATAGTGTCTCATTTGTAGATTACTTAATTTGGAAAACAAGTAATCCAATGAAGAACCTGTCGTTTTTTCTCAAACATATTTTGCTTTTAAATCAAAATACCATTCACACTTTATACAATCCATAAAGCCTCATGAGTTCACGCGACCTCTAGATGGCGTTTCGTAAAATTGAATAATTCTTAAAGACAAAAACCCACGATTTTAAATCAAAACTGTTTCGCTGTACTCAGTAATTATCATCAAGGTTCTTTTTTTGCCGTATGCATATCCTTGCCGATCATTTGCATTATTTAACCCTTAAGTCAGAGAAACGCCGATGGAAAATTTAATTAAGCTCATAGACAAAAGAAAAAACTGAACAATGAATGAGAAGAAGAAAAAGGGTTAATGCAGATTATCACCAGAAAATCTGTCATTTCATGTCAACTGAACCAGATGATTAGAATCGCTTCTATCACAATCGGCGCTTCTTTGAAAAAGCTATGGTGGGCGTTCACTTTCAACACTTAGCAATATGATCCATCAAATAAATCAGCGAACTAAAACTTTGTGACCGGCCAAATCGAAATAGTTTGCAATAGTGATTAAAGAGCGTTTCTATACGTAATAAAAATGATATTGAGACATATATGTGCATGTAGGTTTGTTGATTTCTCCTACATGAAATCATATCATCATCTTTTTTGTTTTTTGCTTAACTGACTTGATTCTAATACAACATAGAAACAAAAAGAAAAAGACAGACGAACAACAAAGAAATACACACATGAAAAGAAAATTTTGTTGAACGACTTAATAAGTTTAGTTAAAGAAAAGAGGAACAAGTTTCTTAACGACGTTTTGCTGAATTATTAATATGATTACGTTGATTATTATTATTAATATTCGAACGAATTTGCGGCCGATTTGTCAATGAAGACGACGGTGGGTCTTTATTTGTCGTTGTCGAAGATGAATATTGCTTAGCATGATGCATTCGTTCAAAACGTGGAGCAACAAATTTTAATTTTTGCCCATTATTATTATTTAACACATCATTGATGGCTAATAATGGTGAATTATTTTTTGTTTTAATAATATGTGCTGATAATGGACTTGTTTTATTATTGTTGTTAATTGATGCTGCCATAGGTTTGACAGCAGCTGCATATGAAATGCGTTTTGGCACAAGCGATGAAGATGTGTTCATTGTAATATCATCTTTACTATTATGATGATCATATTGCAAAGATGATTGCTGTGAACAATCACTACGACTAGCGTCACTAGCTGATTGATATCCATCGTCGGTATCAGGTGTTGATGAGCGATTTTGTGGCACTTTCTGACTATTCGTAGGAGTATTTTCGGACGATAAGGATAAATTTGACGAGACTTTATTAATTGACTTATCGATATTCATCGATAATGGTGCCTCGTCGTGATAATTATTAAGAGAACTTATCTCTTGATCACTATCATTCTCATCGTCCCTTGCATGGTATTGTTGCATCGATGGATAGAGTAAAGCGAGCAACCACGTTGGTAATCTCGCTAATAAATCGAGATCATCATCTTGTTTTTGTTGTTGAACGAAAGACGATGATGGTATATATAAATGAGAGTAGAATTCCGGCGAATAAAGGAGCCAATCCCAACAACCTGATGTAGAAGGCGATGAAGGTGAACTAGTAATAGGAATCGGAGGCGAAGGATTTTCCTGTGGAGTAATCAATGTTTTTGTCGATGGAGTTATAACTGGACTCCAATGTGGATTATTATTCGGTGTTTGGTACGATGGTGACGACATTTCATCACTATACGAACCGGTAGAATGAGTATTGTGATAGTCGATACCAGCCACTAGAACAAAGACAAAATGAGAAGTGAGACATACAATGACAATGAACACGTCAACGCACATATAAAAGCAAGCAAAAGAATGGAATGATCAAAAAATAAAGAGACAAGAAAAACACACTTCTTCACGTACCCGAGAAGAAACAAAAAAATGACTCGAGAAAAACTCGAGAATAAAAAGCGGCTAAGGGGAAAACTGACAACACGCATCTAGATGAATTCATCAATAAAATATGACTGATGATGGAAATACTCATAAGAAGAAGAAGAAGAAGAAGAAGACACTTATCATATTTTCCAAAGAAACATGAACTATTCTCTCTATGTATACATATAAAGATCATCAGTCGATTGAGCAACTGCATACTGTCATATGAACAGATGATGTTTACATATAAAAGGCACTTTCTTCTCTTTGTATAGCCTTAAGATCCGCACAGTAATTATTTTACGCTATGACAAATATCAACGAACGAAGATAATTGACTGTTCCTCCTTTTTAGTTCTTCACATAATATAGTTATGTGTGCATGTCGACGGCCAAACAAACGGAGTAGTATTCATTCTAATTATAAAACGAGAAAGAGACGCCGGGGAAGAACGTTTTCCATTCTGCTTCTTTCTGACACTTCAACAATCTGTTTTTCATTGTCAGTCCGATAGCGTTTCAATTCAGAGAAACAAAAGAATGATGACTGCTGACCTTTCTAAACTACTAATAGTAGAGATTTTTTTTCTCGATTAAATAAATTATTTCAATCGTTTCTTTTCAGTTGGTGCAAACTGAACAAAAACATGACAGATCATGGCCATTGAATCAAAGGAATATCATCCCCTATAGACAGAATAATTTTATTGCTTCGAATTTTCTTTTTCTTTTTATAGTATATGTATATTTATTATCAGATAGGTGTGTCATACAAGGGTACTGTTAGTAATGATGATTTTCAAAAAAGAAAAAAAAAACAGGGTCGAATGAGGAAAAAAAAGCGAAGTTCCTTGTACGCTATCGGCATAAATCATCAGCAATACAGCGTAAAAAAATGTTTCACTAGTATATTTTTGATAGTTCGTATTGCTATTGGCATTTTGATTTCCTCAATACTCATATGCATACTGTCTCCAATCTAGAATGATGTCGTTTCTCTTCTTTTTTTCTTTAGAGAAAATCGTCATAATTTGATTTAGAGTCTATCATCGTTGGCTTGCGTTCATAGAAGACAATAGTGTTAGATAGAAATAGCACGCATGAATATCTACAAGTAATCACTCATCTGATTGATCGAACGATCAGCTTGCTTAGAAAAAAAAAACGAGCGGTTGAATTGAATAACTTATACGACAACGGGTACGACTAATGTTGTCGCCGTTGCATCTATTCATGATGTCGAATATTATTATTATCATTCATTACGTAAGACCAAGGAGAAAGCCTGCAGTAGTTACAGATGGAGAATGTAACAATTAGTTTTCTTGCATATAGGTACTATTTACTATTGATCAAAACATTTTATAGACGTGTCCGTACATAGTACATACACGCTCTTATATATATACACATAAATAAGTAGCTGCCTTGATTCTCTCTCTTTCGTTCTATTTGCCTACTTATAAATTAATGAAACCTTAAAAAATGTAATAAATTATTGCACTTATAAAAATGATTAGCCTTAGACTCAAGTGTAAATGAAATTTTTGTAATAAAAATTTATTTTTACCGTTAAAATCATCGGTGTGTATTGGATTAAACTGAACGAATGACTCATTCTTATCGTTTCTTGACATTACTTGAGTATTTGCTCGATTTGTAATCGGTGACTCATCAGTATTACAATAATATGTAGTCCTCGCATAAGTTCGTTGCTGCAGCTGCTGTTGTTGCGACGAAAAATTGTTGACATATCCATGCCAGCTCGGCGGCGGCTGGCAATGCTGTTGAGGCGGATACCACATTTATATATGTGTGTGTGTGTGTGTGTGGATTATTGTCGGTTTTAATTTTTTTGTCTTTTAAAAATTATTAATCAATCGTAGAGGAACGATAAACTGGACAGCATTGACGGCTTGTCTAGAAGAGTAGAAAAATGAATAGAGTGAAAAAAAAGTATACATAGCGAACATGTACATGGCGATAGTAATCAACTGCTTCGCTCGATTTTTCTTCTTCTTCTTCTTCGGCTTCACTCGCACAGGTAAAGAGAAAAGAAAGAGCGATGTTTCGTCAATGGTGAACTTGCCCGACCGTCGTCCACCGCCACCACTACTCTCTATTGCACTGTTGGTGGAACACAACCGACGGAAAAGAAGAAGAAATGGAAATGACATTTTCTCTTCACGAACATCGTCCGCCTTTTTTTTTCTTCCTTTTCGCCATTCTCCCTGATGAATCCTCTAGTTGATATAGGGGGTAGGGCTACGCTTAGGAGTTGCTATAACGCGAGCGGCAGAGAGAGAGAGAGAGAGAGAGAGAGAAAGAGAGTATGCGCTACTCATGCCATCCGTCGGACGAGTATGCACAGCACGACGCGAGGACAAGAGAACAAGAACGTTGGTGCGGTCGTTATTGGCACATAATTTCAACCCATGAAAGAAACGACAACTAGGCGATAGAATTTCACTCTAGAGCATTGAATGACGCACATACATATATATACTTGCACATAGACGAGTACAAAAAAAAGCATACAGGTGAAAAGGTTGTAAACAATCAAGTGATGATAATGCTCTCTCTCTCTCGTATATATAAATATATATGAAAAATAACAAGTGTAAAATACTTTATGGACATGACACATTGAACTAACTAAATATCATAAAGTTTCGCATAAATGGAGCAAACCGATATGACGATAGTTATGTCGGAGAGAACAAAGCATATATATATATATATATATATATATGTGCATGTCTATACATATGTTGTTTATCGTGATGAACTTATTCTACAATCCGATCATGAATGAATTGATCATCTTGTTCAAATACAATACAAAAAAAAGATGCTACTCGTGTGATCTGCTTTTTTCCTGAGTAGATGTGCAAATAAACACGTTCAACATTGTCCATCTGTCTGTATGTTGTGTCTAATACTAATCGGCAGTGGATAAATCATACATACGTGTGCTATTTATGCACTCAGATAAACTTCCTCGTCGTCGCTTATCTGTTTTTCTTCTTCTTCTTCTATCGCTTCATTTGAAAAGCATACGTGCTTATCGTGTTGAATATTAATAAGAAAAAAAAGCCAACTTTATGTATGAATCTCAATAGCTACCATTTATTACTTGAAAGAATTTACTGCTCTATTCTCAAACGCGTATAAACTCAAAGTATGAAGAGACCGATTGATTCGATCAAAATATTGACACACGCATTGAGTCAATGCACAATCTGATTGAAAGAAATATATGAGAACAAGAAGAAAACGAAAAAAAGTCATGCTTCTCTGCATGTGTGTATCAGCTGAATTGTTCTGCAAGCGACAATTCGATGACAACATGATTATTTGAGTAAGTATAAATGTATGTGAGAGGAGAAAAAAAAAACGAAAGTAGACAAGCACATTTTCACCGATGTTATTTTATGTATACAAGTATATGTAAGTGTATACATAATGTCTTTTGCTTTTTGCGGACATTTTCTCGTTTTATTATAATGTTTATTTACTAGATTATTGTCTAATAGATCTACGCAGAACTACAATGCATTGGTGGTGACAGATGTTTTTTGTTATAGCTGAAGAAGAAAAAAAAAACTAGAAGCTTCGACGACGGTGCAAAATTTTTTTCGAGGACAAAAAAGAAATTCGTAAAGCACAGAAATAAAAATCACATGAATACTATAGAAGTAGAATTTCAATTCGGCCGCGAATGTAGATCAGCACTACTACAATCCGAAGATTTTTTAACTTTTGATTCGTTAATTCGTTTAGCTGAACATACGTTTCCATCATGTAAACATCCATTTACGGCATTTATGTATGTTGATGACGATCGAGACGAAGTGACAGTATCAAGTGAACTTGAAATGGGTCCATTGAGAAACTTTTATTTTCGTACGTGCCAACAACAAATGCGCTCGAAATTTATTCTGAAGCTCAAGCCGATGGTTAACCGTAATCATGCTAATTTAACAATAGATACATCGGCATGTCCCGATCAACAGCATCAAGACAGAAAGAACGCATCCTATCTTGAAGCGAACGTCGAACATATTCTATCGTCCGGGAATATGTTATCACTCGATATACTCGACATAATTGGTACCGGTAATAGTGGTATTGTGCGGCGATGTCGTAATCGGCGAACTCAACAAATTCTTGCCGTTAAAATTATTTCACTTGATTTTCATAAGAATGAAAAAAAACAAGAAATCGTCATGGAACTAAACGCATTAAATCGATTACATTCCGATTATATTGTTCAATTGCATGGCGCTTATCTACACGAGAATTCTGTACATATCTGTACTGAATTTATGGATCGCGGTTCACTTGAACTATATGTTGGTATACATGTACCGGAAAATGTTCTCATTCACATAACACTGTTCATGATTCAAGGTCTTATGTATATGTGGAGTCAAAAAATTATGCATCGCGATGTTAAACCGTCGAATGTTTTGGTGAACAGTTTAGGTTCGATAAAATTGTGTGATTTTGGTGTGAGCCGAGTTTTAGAAACTATCGGCCAAAAAGTTGCAACATTTATCGGAACACATAAATATATGGCACCGGAACGAGTTATTTCAGATGAATATAGTATACCATCGGAGATTTGGGGCCTTGGCATGACGATTCTGGAAATAGGTTTAGGTAAATATCCATTTCAAGCTGAAACTTGTGATCCACCATTAGCTGTACGACCAATTGAATTAGTTCAATGCATTGTTTATGAAACACCGCCTATACTACCAGCGAATCGTGGTTATTCATCAGACTTCGCTGCATTCATTCAGCAATGTCTCTCGAAAAATTCTGCTGAACGGCCATTACCAGCAAATTTCTTTGAAAATCCATTTTTGATGAAATTCTATAATCATGATCCGAATCAAAATCGAGCAATCATCGCCAACTTTTTCAATTGTACAGCTGTCGCTCCTACTGCAACAGCGTAGATCATCATGATTGTTGACGTTTTTTTCTTGTATTCCGAAATCATTAGAACCAATCACTATTGAAAAATTGTTAAGAAAGAAAAAGCCGATAGTCAGTGATCAACAACGCGTCGAAAACCAAAGAAACAATGTCGCCTAATTGAATCCAATATAATGCTGCCAGTACATGTAAATTATCCACTTCGAAAATTGAGAGTATACAAAATATCTCGGATATATACTCAATTTTATTGCATAAAAAGCTTGTTTTACATTCTTCAAAATTAAAAAAAAAACAGAAAAACGAAAAGAATCATCTCGAATTTTTCTTTCTATTTATCATGGTCGAGAAAAAAAAAGATAGCACAGAAAAACAAACTATTTATTGAGTCACATGCCATGAACCAAAAAGAAGATGATTCGAACGTTTTTTAAATAAACGCCAATAAAATTTAAACAAATTCGAATTAAAAAATCCAATTAATAAAAGAAGAAGAAAATAGAAAAATAAATAGAGATGATAACGATTAGCCGATAAAAATGTTCGTAAACGAGATCTTGTTCCTTGATCGTTTCTAAACAAAACAAACAAACAAACAAAAGGCAGCATAGGAATTAACAAAGCAAGAAAAAATTAAGCTTACTGCATTAATTCATTTGATTCGGCATAGATTAGAATATATTTGACTCGTACGAGTTCGTTGGATGTAACAACCACATATTTATCGGGCACAGCACCAGCTTGACTATCGCGAACAGTTCTACGCTCTTGATCGTTCGATGTTTCATCTAAATCGAAGACTGCAATTGTGATTTCTATCTATTGACGAATTCTTACTTTCAGTTGCACGTTTCACATGGTCAGGTTGATCGATAATTTCACATAATAAAAGACAACTTAGCCTTTTGCCTAATAGACTATTAGGCCAAACAGTTGCAAACGGTGAATAGTGAAGTGAAACAGATGGCTCGACGGAAAAATACGTGCCCGAGCCAAACAATGAAAGTTTATTCATATGCCCAAGAAAACCAATATGAAGGATTGAATGAAGGTTATCCAAGCGTGTGCCATGATATGCAAACAATTTCTGATAATGATCGTTTTGTGTTAAATCATTAAAACGCTCATTACGAATTTGGTTGTAATTAATTTCGAAGGCAAAATTCGGCGTTGGAACAGATAAATGATGTTTTACAAGAGACAGGACCTTAGAAAATTTTATTTTTCAAATATAAAAAGAATTTCTTGTCAATTTCAATACATACATGTTCTACGGGTACCATATTTAATTTGAATGTATCACGGGTTAATAGCCAATTAAGTAAAAAAATTTGTAGTTCACTTAATTCTTCGAGCACTGACATAAATACAACGACGGGCGGCAAACGAAAAGCAGTACGCTAAAAACATATGTTTCGGTTTGACTTTTAAATTCGGGAATCTTTATTGATGGATCAGGCAGTTCTTTCTACAACATACCGATCCGTCTGGGCTGATAAATAACAAGTGCCTTAATTGCGACATAAGAATATCTCGAATCTGCTTTTACTCATATGCCGGAAAGAAAATATGTTTTGTGCTAAGTCGAAAACCATGAGAATGATGCATAGATCAAGTAAACTACTCGAACAGTCCATGTGGACGAAACTATCCGGCACCGGCTAGTTTTTACTAAAGTCAAGCTCAGAAGAAGAAAAAAACATCCAATCGCTCGCTCAACCTGTAAGAACCATTAAAGTTCGAATAAAAAGCGAAACATCACACGAGACTATTCGCTAATGATTCGAAAAATTTCGGCACATTAGTTCTAGTCATGGCTTGTGGTCGCCGTGATAATGGTTAGTCACAGCAATCATGGTAACGCCTGTTGTTTTACACATCAATTTTAAAAAATCAATTTTTCACACAATCAAAATATTATTGAGTTTGACTCTTTCGCTACGACGCGGAGATTTATGAATGTGTAGAGGATCAAAACGTGTCTCACGGATGTCATATTACTCACCAATTCATCATCACTGAGTCCGGCAAGAAAAGGCGGACATGGTTTAAATACAGTTTCACGTTTATACGATTCAGATGCTGTTCGTAATAATGTTAGTTGCAAGTCAAATGCATGAAGATCTTTTGTACTTAGTGCATTCAACCGTTCGGATAGTAATTGTTTTTCTTCCTCAATATTTTTTACAGTAGACATTCTTATCTGAAACATATGATCGATGAGAAATAGAAGACGAACTTTTGGTTGTGTTTGTTTCTTAAAGACAAACGAACGTTAAAGTGTATTGTCTGTAAATATAGTAAAAAAAAAAGAGAAACATGGATTGCTATACAAAAAAAAATGAAATAAACGAATGCAGCAGAACAAGGATAAGGAAGAGCGTGTGCTGATTTTTCTTGAGAATACGAGTGTCTTCTTTTTGTTTTGTTTTTAAATAATTTTTCGTTACTCTCGAGCACAACAACAGTAAGTAAGGGAAATAGTGACACATATACAATATCGAATAATATAATGTGGGCCAAAAGAAAAAAAAAGGATTTAGTTTTTCTCTTTTTAATCAACACACAAACGCACACGCACACACACACACACAACATAAAGTTAGAAAACCGAAGAAAAAGAAGAATAAAGAACGAATAAATGTTTAAATGAGAAGAGTGAAATGAAAAAAGCCAAAAAAAAGTGTCAGGATTTCTGTCTACATATGTTTTGGTTTAACATTATCATCATTCGGACCAGTTGATTTAGAATAATTTGAATATTGTGCATTATGTTGATATAACGGACGACTGTTGTTCGATTGTGGAGGTAGTAATGGCTGTCGATGTTGAAATAACGATTGTGTATTATTCATATTATTTCCATTGTTTGAAAAATTCTTATTTAAACCACTCATTAGACTCGGTACTTGTTGAGTTTGCGGACGATTATTTGTTGTATTCATAGCACCACTGGGCATCAGTTGACGAGCGTATTGATTTGGTGGTGGATAAAATTGAGCTTGATTTGATGAAGATGTTTGTTGTTGATTGGTATGAAATGACTTTAAGTTTTGTGATAGTAATGACGGCGGTTGACCTTGTTGTTGTTGTTGTTGTTGTTGTTGTTGATTTGATGATGTCGATGGATAATTGGTTGGACGAGATAACGATTGTGGTGGAGGTTGAGACATTAACGCATGATCACCACGATCGATTGAACCAGCACGAGCGAACATTTGTGGATGTGGTGGATGAAAACCTTCGTTTTGTCCATATAACTAAAATGGAATTTTAGGCTTAAATTTTGAACTCGCGGTTGCGGATTAGACTAGCTTCTCTCACTCTTCAAGGGAATAAAATAAGAGAAAACGTTATTTACATTATGAGGCGACGGATGCCCAACAGGTGGAGCATTTGAATTTGGTGGTTGAAAGAATGGTGGATAAAATCCTCCGTGTGCTAATGGATCTTGAGTACCATAGGGTGGTCCTGGTGGTGTTTGCATTTGCTGCTGTGGTGTAGTTCGATAGTATGGACCCCCTTGTGGCCGACCAGACATCATTTGATTATCTAGAAAAATGCGCGAATATGATTTTAACAAATTCTTTCCTAAAAAATGAACACATACTCATATATGCTTGTGGTGGAGGTGGTGGTTGTGGTTGACTAATCATATGACCGCCATGATCCACCAAAAATGGCGATGGATAACTAGCCATTGGTGGCATGGCATTGTTTTGTGGTGGAGCTGAAAACGGATAAACTACATAAAATTCGAAAGAACTTAACGCTCAATAGAATATACCCGAAATCGAACCTTGAGATGTATGATGAAACATTGAGTTTGTATTTGGTACGTTTGGTGGTTGTATGAAAACATTTGTATTTCGATATTGAAAGTTTTGTGGTGCATACTAAACAAGAAGATGAATTTATATCATACTATCGAATTACTTAACATCTACATCTGTGTTAGTTAAACAAGTAAATGCGAGAATAGTGTATTCATTTCTATATAATTGTATAAATAGAAGGGAATTATAAGCAAAGATATGGCATATACATAAGGAAATTCATTTCGATCTTTTTTGAAGCATTTTGAACTTTACATTTGATAGATATACATATATATATATATATATACATGAGTTTACAACGATTAAGCAAGGCACAAACTTACGATTTGTGAAGATTGAATACTCGAAAAATCTGAATTTATCGGATCCGTACTGGTAGTATTTGAAGTCGATGAATAAATCTATATTTATATATAAATATCAGATGGATAGGATCGGATTTAATATTCGTTTGTTTTTTATTCAAACTCTCAACTCAACGAATAAAACTAAGGACTCTGGCAAAAAATTCAATATATATTACTCGATTAAATTGTTGTTGTTGCTGTTGTTGTTGTTGTTGTTGTGCTTGTTGCTGCGGTAGTGGTGGTGGAGGAGCTGGTAAAAGATTTTCATAGAATGGATAGGTATGTTGTTGATGTAGTGTATTAACTTGAGATTGAGGAAGAATATGTTGTTGTTGTTGCTGTTGTAGCGACGCTTGAGACATCGGTGGCGGTAGTGGAGGAACTGCAAATGTTTGATAACTTGTTACATCAACTTGGTCTTGAATATTCGGTGCAACTTGCTGAGTTGGTTTTACCTAAAGACAGATTATAAATTCAGTGTGTTTAAATCTAATCGCTGATATAGTTCATCGAGCCCAAGAATTTATGGATCCGGACCCGATCGATAAAGCTTCTGGAACCCGGATCTTAATGCTCACTTTTCCGGGTTTGCAGAATTTTAAAGTTGCCTTTAAAAATGTCAAGAAAATTTTCTAATCGGACAACAAAATCATTCACTTTTCATCAGAAGCCTTAAAATTTTTGAATAAAGCGGAAAAATTCAAAAAAATATCGTTCAATGGATCAAAATTTTCAGCCCCGATGAGCTCTAAAACACTGCGGCGTAATGTCTTCGTTCGTGTTGATCCGGCCGTGAAATACTTACTGTGCAAATATTCTTTTGTTCATTTTTACTTGAAACAGTACTTGTTGAATATGTTGGCGGTTGATTGATAGTCGATGAAGATCCTGTCGATTGTAGATTACCAGTAGCTACCGTATTTTTATTATTTGTATCATCAGCAATTGCGGATGAAACATTTGTATTTGTGACTGATATATTTGTTGACGATGTTGGTATTGATTCTTTAACGTAGGTATCGGCTTTTGTTGAATTGTTACTTGGAACAGTATTATCTTGATGTTGTTTTTTTTGTTTCATCGCAACCATTGTATTAATTGTTTGTTCAAGTTGCATACTAAATTAAATCGAAAATTGTTGTTGCGGGAAATCATAAAAAGTTCGTTCTCTATACCTTGGATGATCGGATGCATCCCATATTGTTTTAAGTGAATTTATCTTTTGATTGTAATCATCACCAACTGTGCCGATAGACTGTTTATCGTCATAATCCAAAAATGTACTCTGAAATAAATAAAGATCGTAAGAAAATAGGAGTCGAAAACAATATCGACTTACCTTTTCAAATAATTGATTCGAACCTAATGATGCAATAGTATCATTCTTTTCATAACTAGTAGATTTTGTCTAAATGAAAAGAAAGAATTTGTTTTGTTTTCTAAGATATAAATTTCAGTAGACATTACCTTATTGTCTCGGTTAACTTTATTATCTGTTACAGGCGGTTTAATCGTTCGCGCAATTGTTTCATTAGTTTTCGATACTGTTGAATGCGTAGTTAACTATAAGAAAAAACGAGATATAATAAAATGCAAATCACAAGATAGAAATACTTACATCTGTTGCTGTGCGTTGATGAAGTGGTAATGATGGATCATTTGACGATGAAGAAGGAACTACTTCATTTCCAAATTTTCGATCGTGAGTCGCTAGAAACAAAAATTATTTTGGGTTAACAAGAAATGAGGGCTCTATCGGACTTCATATGGAATTTACATATAAGAAACTTACGTTTTTCGATTAATTTACTTGAATTCGAAATCGTACTCTCTGTATGTGGATCCCACATTTGAATATTTGACATAACATTTGACGCTGTTGAGTGAACTTTTTCAGCAATATTAACTTCAGGTTTTCGTTCACTACCGATATCATCTACTACATTTGCATCATGACTTTGTTGACTGCGCTGTTTACGACGTGTTGATGGTTGTCGATGAGATTGATTATAATTCCCATAGCTATAATAAGATCCGTCATCGTAATATTGACTTTGATCATAATAATAATAATTCTGATCATAATAATAGTTCATCGAAGCGCTCTGATGATCAGTTTTCGTATTATGTTGACGCGTCGTTGAACTCGATGTTTTACTATTGAAACGTGGTGGAACTGATTTACCACTGCGAGCACGTGTAGCACTCGTTTGATTAGTATCGTTCGAAATTTTCTAAAAGAACGAATAAAAATTATAGAATATGTTTTGCTAAAATAAGTTTTTACCTCAATTGTTTGTTGTTCATCATTGACAATCAATGCTGGTTTTATTGGTTGGTCAGTTGGTATGCTAGTAGTAACAGTTGATTCAATCGCAATTTGTTTCGATAGCTGAGCAGCTTTTTGTTCTTTACGACCACGCTTAGACATAACAACACAAAATTCTTCGCCGCCATCATCAAAAGCTTCATTTTCTTCTTCTAATGCACTCGCTGGTAGTGTCTCAATTTTAACAACACCTTTTTGATTAGAATATAAAATATAGAATTAGGTTCGAAGAAAAAAACAAGTTTCATCCTTACCAGCAACATTATTTAAATCATAGCCTTCAAGAGAATGGCGATGTTGATCTTTTTTCACTTGTTTTCCAGTTGAACTAAAACAAAATTTTCGAATAATTTTTCAATCCGGGTAAAAATTTCAAACTAACTTTTCTTCATCGAGTCTTTGTGTTGAACTCGGTTTTTGATTGGTTACTGAACGACTCGGACGATGAGTCGTAATTCGAGCTGTTTTACTACCACGATCATGTAGATTATGTGAACGACGATGAATACCAGTTTCAGCGTGACGAGAATTCAATGGTCTAACAGCGAAACAAATGTACGAGTTTAAATCTAGTTTTCATAATTACCTTTGACTTGAAAAACTTTTCTTTGGTGGTGTTCGATCACGATGTGTCGATTTTGTTTCACTTGTAATAGACTTCGCTACTTGTGGATTAGTCTCGGGATGACCAGAACGCATATTCGCACTTGATTCCGATGCTGTTTCCCATTCTTCGCCTTCTTTTTGTTCATTATCACTGGCTGATTGAAGACGAGGGTTAATAATAGCGTTACCTTTCGTTGTTTGCTGTTTGGTCTGTTGACGATCGTTTGTTGCAGTCGACAAACCAGCACGTTTGATAGTTTTATTCGGGATATGTACTTGATGTTGTTGTGAATAATGTTCATTTGAATAATTATATCGATTATTATAACGCCTACGAAAAAATAAGAACGCTAAAGAAAACTGTAAGCGACTTGGGATACATACTGCTGAGGATGTTCATAATAATAACCACCGGATAAATCATGCATACGTGCCGTACGACCCCCTCGTGTAGCACGATGTCCAGTACCGTAATAATTATGGCTAGAAATTTGTGTCGTATCATAATCTAAATAGTTATATAGTTGTTTTCGAGTTAAATAAATTTCGAATATTTACCTTGTGCTGAACGTCCATAGGTATTTCTATGATGAGATACTGGCTGATTTTGATTTTGATAATGATAATTCTGTTGATCTTTATTTGGTTTTCTCTGTGAATTTGTCGTTGCTATTGGTTTTTTATTTGTTACCGTTGAATCAATTTCTGTTTGTCCAGCAACAATTGGTTCATTTTCAGGTTTTGGTTCTGACGTTATTGTTATTGTTTCTTTTGGTTTTTCAATTTCAATTGATACTACAGGTGTTTCGATTGGCTTCACTTTTGGTACTTCTTCTATAATCGATGGTTTCGTATCCAAACCCCATGGTGTTGGCTTTTTTACTATTTCATCAGTAACGAGTTTTGTTGGTTCTGTTTGTTCAGGTGGTTCATTGGGTTTTTTCGTCGTTGTCGTGCGGTTTGTTATGACTTTTTTTGTTCTCGCTCCTGTACTTGTGTTAAGTTGTGAGGATGTAGTGTTGACATTATAGGCATTATATTGTTGTTGTTGACGAAGTGTTCCACCCCGACGATATCGTCCATAGGAGCCTAATGCAATGTATCCTCTATGATGTACATTCGAATGATAACCCATTGACTGATGATGGCGTTGATGATTTTGAATATTCGGATCGTAATAGCCTGTTTCATCATCATAATAATCCTCGTCATTGCCCCAAGCCGAATCATTTGTTTCATTGTAAAAATCATTTCGTTGAGAATAATGTGATGAACTATTATAATCTTGTCTTTGCGATTGATTTGATGTCTTGAAATGTTTCGATGCCGTGTTTGACGTTTGAATAGGTGCCGGGGGTACATCAGATCGTACACTCATTAATGGCGGAATCGATGCGGTATTAATTGGTGTTGTACTTGTTGTATAACGTTGTTTACGTTCAACGGGCGCTGATTGCCGACGATCATTAGAATCGTTCGTTTTTATTTGTGATTTATAGGTTATGGCTTCTTGTAGCGTTGGTTCGTTTGGATCCAATGGACGTGCTGGAGATAGTGGGCGCCATGCTGGCTGAGCTTTGCTAGTCACTGTTTTAGTCTCAACTTTCGACGATGATGATGATGGCATGTCTGATTGACGAGATGCTACTAAAATATAGAGATAAATATAAAATAGAGAAAGACAGTCTCTTGTTTTACCATTTGAACGTGTTTTAGCGGGTTGTTTAGTTCGATTGAAATCATTGGTTTGTTCGTTATGACGATTTGATTTTTGTGATAAATCTTCCGAGAGATTTTGTTGTTGTTGATGATGACTAGTCGAACGGCGATCGTTGAAGTAAGATTGTTGATAGCGATTATTTGCATTATAATTTGTTTCATCAACATCACCCCATTGATCATTAGATTTCATATGATGTTGATGTTCATTATTTTCAAAATAATCGATAACATCCGCAGGTTTAGCTTTCGGACGTGTTGGTTTCGAAAGAATTAAATTTGATTTTGGTTGTCTACGATTGGATATTGGATAATTTTTGGATCGATTTATTGTCGTTCCATTATTATCAGTTTGAGATTGACAACTGGATTCACTTTGTGATCGACTATACTTGTGTGTTACAGATGGAACACTAGTAATGGTAACTGCAGCTGTAGTATCATCATGATGATCATCAGTATCAACTTGTCCACCGGATCTTTAAAAGAAAAATATAGGAAAATTATTTTTCTTATGAATTTGCGGTAAAATAGAGATAAGACTACACTCATAGAGTCTAGGCGTACCAGAGAGTGAACACGAACCGAACAAAACTCGTGTCTGACGGGTGTGCTTGTAGAGAGATAATTTTTAAGGAGCGATTATCAATGACAAGATTGTGTGTCCTCTTTGAATTTCTCACCAACTCACATCTCGGAAATATCTTACAGCTGTATAAATTCGAAAACGAAATATATCTGCACTCAAGATGTTGACCCTGCGGTTACATAATTGTTTGATTTATATTTACAGCAACTGTCATATTACATTATTATTGTAATATAGTTTCTATCTTTTGTAAAAAAAACATAACACGGAGAGAGCTGATGGGTATTTTCTTTCCAGGGTGGATAATAAAAAGAAAATAAGAATTATGATTGGATTTGCCCGACCATATGATATTAATTAATCAATTCTCTACTTATTTTAAACAACGCAAAATAATGTAACCTCAACATAAAGATATTCTTTCGCTTGTGTACGAAGATCTCGCCCTTAAGAGTATCGTTATGCATTTGCATCGACAAAGAAAAAGGACTTACTTTTCATGTAATGAAGCATAATTAAAAGAATCCATTTGATCAGACCAACTTTTCATTGCAAATGTTTGACTATCGGTTGTATCGTGACGAGTACGAGATGTTGTTCCACTATTCGATTGTCCCCATAATGACGATGAATCGATTTGTGATGAACTTAAATTGTCTTTACCAGTTGAAGTTATCAATGGACGCGTTTGATAACCAGGTATTTGTTTTTGATCGTCGAATGATTTTTGTACAGTCGTAGACGGTCGTTGTGATGAATCGCGAAGATTACGTTCTTGTTCATCACGTCGTTGTTTAGCGACAGTTAATGTATTGATTAGTTCGGAATTTTTATCGTCTTGCATTTGTTTAACATGTTCATCGTCTTGTAATAAACGCGAACGTGTTGTTTGCTGTTGAGAATAATTTGTATGCATTGAACGATTATTATTATTATTATTATTTTGTAATACTTGAGGATATGATTGTTTCTGAGAATTATTATTATTATTATACCGACGAGATTTAGTATTATTGTCCGTTATGTCATTGTCTTCATCATCACTGAAACGTATTTTTTCTTCATAATTCACTTCCTGAGGTGCACTCGCCCATGTTACATTATCGGTTAATTTTGATAAATCATCAATATCTTTATTTCGTAGAATAGTTGGAGTCTTATAATCTGCTGACGCATTCATACGTTGCTGTTGAGATTGTGATTGAGCGTTATTACCGTACGGTGATGCGCGTTGCTGATGATGATGTAACTGATGCATAGACATGGATGAAGGAGCTTGATTTGCTCCATATGAACCATAGGAATTACCGACATTATAGGACCACTAAAAAACAAAAAATGTTGAATTAAATACTTTTTACTGAGCAGAAAAAAATGATTCGAATGAATGTGGTTTAATACAATATAAACTCAATTTGTTTTTCTTATAGATGATTAATTTTTAAAAGAATTATTGAGATGATTTGCAAAGAATCATCGATTTTTCTCATATGTGTTTTTCTACATTTAGGTTAGGTGCGAATCTGGCAAAAATGATTTATATTCAGGTGACGTGATTCGCTCTAATCAAGTATGACTAAAGAAAAATCTCCATTGTTCAGTTATTAATTTTATATGTTTTTTGTGATTCTATGGAAAATTACCATTTGTTGTTGTTGCTGTTGTTGTTGTTGTTGTTGTTGTTGAGGTTGATACATTCGGTTGTATTGTGAATTATTAGAATTCTGTATTTGTGATTGAAGTAAACTAGGACTTGCATTAGTCGGTAGCATCTGTGATTGCATAGATAAAGCTGATAAATTATTATTATTATTATTATCGTTGGACTCTTTAGTTATATCATTTGATACTGGTTGAGCACGACCACCACCTTCTTTCCATGATGCTAGATTTGCTGGTCGAAAAATAGGTCCTTGTGACGTTGCTGATATAGAATTAAGCAATGAATCATGTTGTGATTTTGCAGTTTTATTATCTTGTGTAGCTAAACGTGGAAAATCATTTAAGCCGAGTAAATTTGGCGGATGATCATTGGAATTTCCCGAAGTATTGCCAACTATTACTGTACTCCATGTTGCTGATCCACGAGGTTTCTCAATATCAGATGCAAGTGTCGATGATGATGATGGTGGTAGAGGCGGTGGTGATGTTGAAACGTGAGCAGATAATGAATCAAGTTGTTGTTGTGTTGGCTGTTTTGATGGTGTTAATGGACGTGTTTGATTAGCAGCGAGATTTGTTGGCGTTTGATTTCCACTAGCTGTCCATCCATGGCTAGTGCCAGTTGAGACTGTTGGATCGAATGATACTGTAGTTGTACCTGTTTCACTTTTTAAACTTGGTAAATTAGCCGGTGGTGGAATACGTCGACTACTGATTTTTCCGAGATTGGTCCATCCTTGAGTGCGAGCTTAAAAAAAAAGAAAACAGTTCCTATTTCTGTTTCAAAGAATTTTTATTATTTAACTTACCAGCTGCTCGACTCGTTTCGTTTGTCCTTGCTTTGTTTACAAAATCATTTGCTTTGACACCAGCATAGCGTTTATTTTTATCAATAGATTTACTCGGAACAGACATGATGATGAACTAACGATTGATGGTGATGTAGTGATCATGCGAAAAAAAAATGTTTCAAATAATGTGAATAATCGTACAACGAGACGACTAAGTGATAAATAATTAATAAATAGCAAGATCGAAAAAAGTTTGTTTAATATGAATTCGTCTGTCGAGCGACAATAAGGACAGAGAGAAATCTAAAAAACCTACGAAGAAAAAAGATATTGTCTTACGTAATTTAAACAATAATAAACATGCTTTATAAAGAACGGAGAAATAAATTTCATAAGAGCAGATTTCAAAATATTCAAGCAAATTTTTGTTTTGTTCTTCGTCTTTTACTACTCCGATAGGGACACGGGAAGATGAATGAATAAGTGAAGGCCAACAAACAGGAAACAATGGCGATATGTAATACACAAAGCGACATCTATACAAATTTAACATATATAATATATCAATGTATCTCGATTCGAATTTTTTATGTATTCGTATGAAATCATGAAAATCTATTCATAGATTACAAGTAAAATTTGAGTTGAAAATAATTCCAAGATTGGTTGCTAAGCAGTAATATCTCTAATAATAAAAGACAGATCCCGTGAAAATTTCGTAAATAAATCGTTCTGTTCGACTAGCTTCACTGTGATCACAAAAAACATTTTGGTTCACCTCCTACGACCGAATGCGTTCTAGAAAACCAATCAAAAAATTCTAACTTTGATATCATTTTTAAATGAAAAAAATATACACGGAAGATACATTTATCTCAAAGTTTGGACAGAATATACGTTTTTTTTCCGTTCTTTTAGTGTATCTCCATTGCTATTGTTATTGTTTCCTTAGTTTATGTTATCGCTATTCATTATATGAAAATAAGCCTCGATACGTTCTAACAGTGCTAAACATGAAAAAATTGAAGAAATGATTTTTTAATACGTTTTTTCATTTTTAGAATGGAATCTTCATATTAAATTGAAGGAAAATTTGAATGTCAAAATCAATCGAATACAAATGGACAGATATCCGTCTGGTCCGGATCCAGTTCCGGGTCTGGAACTTATTTTTGACAGGCTTCGGATCCAGATGAAATAGTTTTTACTCATTGTTTCAGATTACAAGAAAATTTTTGTGCATACAATTCAGTGAAAAGGAAAAAGATATTGTTAATGGTCAAGTTATCTAACAAAGGAAACAATATAAACACTTTAATCCATTCATTTCTTATTCCATTCGAAGCTGCACACTACTAGCGAGTCGCTAGAAATCAGAGACCATCATAAATTAATTGTTTAAAAATCTTTATCGGATAGTTGAAAGAACATGTAAAATGCACTACTTGTCTAGCACAAAAGGAAAGCAGTATGTTGTATCTTCGGAGTGATCACCAGATTCGATTAGAAAAATTTGTTAGCGCAACCCCTTCGGGGCTAAAATGTGGAACTCATATGATTTTTCGTCTAATTCTACTAATACACAATACGTAAAGTGGGAAATATACTGCAAGAGAACCGATCGGCAGAAAAAATGTCTTATTTAGTTGTTGCATGGTTGCTAATGTTTGTAATGCATCGTGGGTACCTGTAATGGCAGGTGGATTCTGTAATGGGGAGGGTTGAGGGTGAGGAGCCGTAAAAATTTCGCTTTTAAAATTACATGCATAATTTTTCTTCAAAAATATATGTGAGCACGACAAAATCTGGTTACACGTTTAAGAGCACCTTTCATTTCAGATCTATTTTTGATTAATAAACCAGGCATTTGTTAAGGATGCCAGCTTCAACTTACTTTCAAATAAAAAAAAGCATGTTTAAAATTTGCGGTTCAAAGAGTTAAAATTCAAATAGAGTTTTTCATCAAAAGTGTTCTTTTTTGTTTAGAACTATTTTTTTTCATTGAAAACAAATTTTCGCACAAGAACGATTTACTGGAATTTTTTTTCTGAAAAATATACTTTCAATTTTGACTTTTTAGAAAGTTAAAGTTCAAAGTATGCTTGTTTTATCTTTAAATTAAATTCAAAGATAAAAGGTGAGGTGCATTACTTTAAATTGAATAATTTCATCAGAGCAGCTTCAGAGTTATAGTATTACCACTAGTATAGGTTCAACAGCTTTTGATGTATCTGGTCCGGGTTCGGGTATGAAATTTTTAATCGGGTGGGTTCGAGTTCAGGTTCGGGTTTGAAAATTCTGATTGACCGGACCCGGGTTCAAAAATTTTTGGACCCGACGGACGCTACCAGATAACCCCTAAATCAAAAATGGATTCAAATTTTAGGAAATAATTGCGAAATTTATATTAGTGATATTCATAAACCTGATAATGATACTCTTGGTTTAGCACTAGAAGGCACAATTGACACTGAAAATGATAAAGAAACTGATGCACATCATTATATAAGAACTTTATTGTCTGGTGGAGTTATTGACATAGAAGTAACATTAAAACCTGGCGATGAACTTCTTGAAGTAAAAAATATTTGTTCGATTTTTTAAATCTGTTTTTTCTTCTTTTAAGATTAACAATCAAGTGTTATATGGAAAAAATCATATGTATGTTATTGAAATTCTTAAATTATTTAAACATCAAATAAAATTTGTCCGTGCTCGTCGTAAAGTTCAACAATTTAATGAAATAAATGGGGAAGTCAATCGAAAAAGTACTCGTCCAACATCATTTGATAAATCAACTGAAATTGTTCATAAAGCTAAAAGTATGGAAACATTACATTTAACAAATAATACTTTATCTCGAACAACTACAGCACACACATTAGAAGTCTTTTCAAATTTAGCTCTATGGTCAAATTCTACATTAATTATTGAATTAAATAAAGGTGATCAAGATTAAGGATTTTCTGTGCATGATTGTCAAGATCCATCTAATCCAAGTAATTCACCTGTTATTGTAATACGTGCGTTAGTACCTGGTGATGCTGCACAATTAGATGGGAGAATTATTCCTGGTGATAGTTTGGCAACTGTCGATGATATAACACTTGAAAATATGAATTCAGATTATTCTATTAACATATTGAAATCGATACCAAATGATCCAGATAAACTTATCGTATCAAAATCATTACAATATCCGAAAGTTATAAATGATAAGTATAATGATGATAAAGTACTATATATATATATATATGTGTGTGTGTGTGTGTGTGTGTGTTCTCAGTCTTTTTATCGTTCATATTATTATTATTGAGTAGTTCTTAAGGTTGTTTACAAGAATAAAATAATGTCTGAAAAGAAGTAAAAGATACATATATACATGTTTATTTTCGAGTATTAATTTTTTGAATTTTTATATTTGTAGAATTCATCTTTTCAGCTATTCATACAAATGGAAGAGTTACGATAACAAATGCTTCAAGATTTTAGTTCATTGGACTATTATCTCAGTGAAATGAAAAACTGATCAATGCAGGAAATATCTATTAAATCCTTTTCTTTATTCGTCAATTCGTTTTTTTTTCATGTTTGACATATATCCTTTTTTGTCTTACATGATGATAAAAATTCCTTTTTCCTTTTCTTTTTTTTGTTACATAAATTGTTTGATATCAACAGAAAAAGAAAAAGAAAAAATTGTTTATGGCAAACTCATAAATAGCATTTTAGGAAAATAAAGGGAACTGAATGAGAATTCGATAAATTTTACACATTAATGAAATAATCATTGACTTTTATAGAAGCATTATAAATAGTTTATGTTATTCTAATTATTTCTTGTTAATATTCATGTACATTATGCATATGCTTGTCAGGGTGTGGATTTAGTCTTCACACTTACCCCCACACCCACAGAAGTTAATATTAAATACTTCTTGAAACGCTAGAAATAATATAAAGTACTTCGAAAAGTATAGAAAGTAATAAAATAAACTTTAGAGGCCAAAAAGTACTTAAACTTGCTTCTTGAAAAGTAAAAAGTATCATGAAGTACTTCCAAAAGTGTAAAAATTAATAAAATAAACTTTGTAGGACAAAAGGCACTATTAAGTACTTTGAAAAGTTGAAAAAATCGAAATAGGTACTATAAAAAGTGAAGCTAGTGAAAAAAGTTAATTTATTTTACTTTATTAATATTAAACGTACTTAAAGGTTGTTTTTTTCACCTTTTTTTCCAAGGGGGAAAAAGCGCGACTTCCGAACTTCCGCACTTCCTTTGTACTCCCCTGTACTTCTCTTGTACTTCCATGTACTTCCTTCGTACTCCCTCGTACTCCTTCGTACTCCCTCGTACTTCATTGTACTCCCCTTGTACTTCCTTGTACTCCCCTTGTACTTCCTTGTACTTCCATTGTACTTCCGTGTACTTCCACGTACTTCCATGTACTTCCATCCAATAGAAAACTAGATGCAACAGCTTCACGAAATGTTTAGTATAGCTGCTGGAATCAGCTTGTCTGTTGGTTGTCGAGGTTGGATAACTTGAATCCGGCATCAATTTTTAGATAGTTTTTACCAGATGCTTTTTTGATTAAAATATATTTTTTTTGAGAAAGTATTAATTTCGGTAACGTTTGACCGAAGGTTCTCGAGATCGGGGAACTCGAATCTGACGTCGGTTTTTAAGAATTTTTTACACAATTTGTTTTTTGGTAGAAAATATGTTTTTGAGAAATAAATTCTTTTCGATAAGAGGAGAAGGGCGTATAAGACCGTTTTGCAACTACCCCCTTCAGATTTGAATTATTTCTATCAGATATTAATCAGGGATCATTCTTAATTACTTTTTTCAACTTTGTTTCTGGAAAATCGACATTGACGATCTTTTTGCCTGGGGTACCCCACAGGTATCATCGAAAACAAAATTTGTTTTATCACGAGCCAAATTTTGATGTAATTGTAGATTTAATGGGGCTGATTACGAATATCACAATAAAAGCTCCGAAAATTCCTTTATTCCTTATAAAACCTGAACCACACGCTTGACCCTATTTTTCATTGTTTGGACCCTCATAGAATAACGAAACGATAAACTTTAGTGCAAAATGATTTCCTCTAACTGGTAATTTTGAGTTCTCTGCGAATCTTAAGTTTTTACATCGAAAAAATGTAACTTATAGAAAAAAGTAGGGATTTCGGGGGTAAAATTTGACCCCTTCTCGCTATACTTGTCTATCTTGAGAATGAAGCAAGTCTTGCCCCAACGTCAAATTTTGATCGTACGCGTAGTTTTTCAAGCTCTATCGGCTGGAGATCTCGAAAATAATAGAAAAGTTGTGCAACAGGGTGAAAAGGTAAGAACACAATTAATTTCTATCAAATTGATGCAGTGACCCACTGCTACTAAAAGTATAAGATCGGGAAATCAACAGATATATAATCGATCTTGTGCAGCGTAATGAACTGTGCACGCACTTAAAAAGTTATGGATCTCCGTTCTTTCTTTTGACTCACATATTTGCTTCAAAAGATGTATGAGTCGTTTCAAGCAGGTAAAATTTCACATCAATTTTTGAACCGAAAGAAAGAACTGAGATCCATAACTTTTTACTGTATGTACAGTTGATTAAGCTCTGCGATTTGGGCTACATATCAGTTGATTTCAAGATCTCATATATAATCGTGGCTGTGGTCCCCTACATCAATTTTATAGAAATTATTAGTATTCTTAACTTTTGACACTGTTACACAATTTTTCTATTATTTTCGAAATCTCCAGTCGATAGAGGTTAAAAAACTACCCTTACGATCAAAATTTGGCGTTGCGGCAAGACTCGCTTCATAGCAAACTACTAATGAGAAAACTATACATTTAAAAGACAGTCAATGTTTGCCGCTGAATCGCCATGTCGTTTGCTAAAGGGTTCATTTTTCGGTATCAAAGGTTCAGATTCGTGAAGAGCTCAAAATTTTTGGTTAGCAAATATATTTTCTACTTAATTTACAAACAAATGCTATTGTATAACGGCCCCAACAATGAAAAATAGGGTCAAACGAGTAGTGACGACGACTTTGGAAACAAAGCAGTTTTGAGACTTCTTATTTGTACATTCGTAATCAGTACCATTAAATCTACAATTACATCAGGCTTTGGCTCGTGATAAAACAAATTTTGTTTTCGATGATACCTGTGGGGTACCCCAGGCAAAAATCGTCAGTGTCGATTTTCGGGAAACGAAGTTGAAAAAGTGATCAAGAACGATCCTTGATTAATAGCTGATAGAAGTAATTCAATTCTGAGGGGTGGGGCACAAAACGGCCTAATCCGCCCTCCTCTTTGCCTAATATTCTCAGAAGTATTACAAATCTGCAGCAATATAAGCTTACGCTATTTTCCCGCTTTTTCTGTTTTTCTTTTCGCTATTTTCCGCTTTTTAAGGTCAGCTTTCCCATTTGTAGACCTCATCAGGTGACAACCCTGTGTGACATTCTTATCATCTGCTGGCAGCTGATAAGATGAAATGATCAATTCGATTAGCGCAATGAAAAATACAAATATTTTTCTGTTGATAGAAGAATATCTATCGAAAACTCTTATAGAATGTATTATATATCATAGTTCTGAATAATAGCATACTTAAAATGAAAACCATGATACTTACATGAGAAGTTGTTCATAGTTCAAGATAGTTCATTGTATTTCTCTTGTACTTCACTCGTACTTCCTTGTACTTCACTCGTACTTCCTTGTACTTCCTTGTACTTCTCTTGTACTTCCATGTACTTCTATCGTACTTCCATGTACTTCCGTGTACTTCTATCGTAATTCCATGTACTTCCATCGTACTTCAAATTTTTTTTGAAGTAGATGAAGTCGCGCTTTTTCCCCCTTGAGGTAAAAACATTCTATGCTAGAGAAGCATTATTTATCTATATTCTTATCAACCATTTATACTCGGAAAAAGAACATGTATGAAAAAGAATAAATCTCTTCTTTCCAATGCATTAACTACTAATTTCAGAAACATCAAAGGTAAATGGAGAAACATCTGTCTCTCGCTTTCTAAAATAATCCTAGCAGGAAAATAAAACATATAACAGAATGCATCTATCTTTGTGTATAATTTATACTACATTAATTGTTACCTTGCAAAACATTTATATACAAGAAAATAAAAGCCTTGATGGTGTTAGTGAATGTGTGTGAAAGTTATATCCTCAGCAGCACCCACCGTGTAAAAAAGTCAATAGTTAAAGTTTAAGTCGCAAGTGTTCGAAAATCCAGCAAGACCTATCTGATGAAAATAATGATGAGCTATCATTGCAGGTTCTTTATTATGAATAAAATAAGTTCGTTGTTGCAAGTTATTGTATATGAATTTTAGAATGACGAGAAAAACAATTTCCTGAATTATTTCACTGTCATCAAAATAAATTCGATCCATTCGAAAAGTGTTGTTACCCATGATTATAGCGAACGTTATATGACAAATTTCACTATTTAAGGATTGACATGATTGAAAAGTAAATTTTCGCGAGGTCTCTTGTAATTTGATATTTTTAATCATTTTTTCCTTTCTGTGGCAGATATGGCTCAGAGCAAAGAGCAAGTAGATAATCCTACGACTTCGTACTTTTTATCAGCATTGTGAAAATCTTATTGCCCTTGTTTCTTTTCTTCTTCTTTAAAACATCGTTGAGCACAACACAGCCGAGTCCAACGGTATCTTGGCTTATTTTTAATATTGAGTTAGTGTGTAGTTACAGAAATGTAGGATTATCAATCATAAAGCTTTAATATCATCAATAAATATTTTGGTTTCCATTAAGTAACAGCTACTTACACAACGCTGAATGCTGAGGTCAAAGCAACGAATCGATGTACTTCGAAACGTCAATGTACAATACAATGAACTAGATATTAATGATATTTTTCAAGGGTGATATTTAATTGTTTTATCTATCAAAATAAATTAGAATAAACGAAAAGCTTTTATTAAAAATTCGATAGATCAATCACGGATGGTACGTGAAAATCTTACTTATACTTCGTATATTATCTTCTCATTGTAAACAACAGACCACATAAAATCGACATAACAACAGAGAAATATATAGAAAATAGAAACATGAGATGCTCATGCCAACAAATAGGCGTATATAAA